ATAAGCAAAGCACCCGCATTGCACTGACTACTTGTTAGCATGAAGCCCACCCTGCGTGACTAGAGGTGTCTGAAACAGCCTGAAACCTTCCAGCTTCGAGCGCCTACAACGTGTTCCTGACCTGAAGGGCGTTGCTTTGTCGCAGGTTTCGCCAGGAGGTTGTGCTCTCTTCGAATGTACCTTTCGTGGTCCGAGCCTTTTGGTACAGCTTAAAGGCCACATTCAGCACCTACTTTCCCATGTGTTTCGTACACGAAGATGACGGCACAAGCAAAGACACACGTAGGCGCAAGGAGGCGCAAGGGCGGGCGCAAGGGATCCTAAAAGGAAGCCGTGGAACAATAATTTTCGACAACCCCCAGATGTAGAAACTGAATAGGTGCGGAATGGTGCCGAATACCCTTGCTTGGCTAGTAGGCATTGCTGCATGAGCGGGCCGCTATGGCATTGTCGGGCAGAACGAACATTGATCAGTCAACTCCTGCTTCTTTTCAGCCGAATTGCCCGCAAAGGGGCCAAACAACTGGGGACCCTTTTGAATCTGGCCAAGTCGCTACACGTGCGCACTTTGTTTGCTTTTGGCTCCATGGGCTAGAACAACACGCGCGCGATATGTGGTGCATGCCGTCATGTGCGCCGGCCTCGACCCCGAAATGCATGCAGCTTTCTGTCTAGCGACGTACTCGTCGCCACGCATGTCCCCAGTTTCGCGGCCGAGATGCTGATCTTGGATGTGAGCCTGGTGGCCCGCATTCTCTGTGCGCAGCTGGGTCTTCGCCCCTCAGCGTCGCTTTTGCTCAGGCCTTGCGGCCACGACTTCCCAATGCCCCAGCCAGAAGGCGGCTCGGGCCTGATCACAGTTGTGGCAGATGCCAGACGCGCAGGTATGCGCTTGATCGCTCACAGAGAGGCCTGTTCAGGGCGGCACATGAGAGACTCACCCAGTTTTCCACAAGAATCGCGGGACTCATTAGCTTTCCCAGGTGCAGTATGGGAAGTGCAAGTTTGCGCCAGAAACGCGCAGAGATTCCATGTGTTCGGCAGCCGCGCGCAAAAGTCATCTCCCGGCAGGGTGGCTCGCGCAAAAGCTCGCCAACTTAAATTAGTCATGGTTAGAGATGCCCTGAACTGACTAGGGGTCTAACACCTGGCTCGTTCAACGTGAATTTCTGAATGCTCCAGCATGAGGTTTTGACGCACACTTTGCAGCGCGGTTTCGGGATTAAGATTCAGCAGATTGCGGATTGTGATTGGCCCCCCTGGAAATCTCGAGGTGTGCTGCTCGCCCTCATTTGCCGCGGCAGCGATCCAGCTACTCTGCAACGGCCACGGCAGTGTCGTTGCCCATCTCTCCGAGAAACATCCCGGAGCCGTAAACTACCGGGACGCCACGGCGAGTGTGTCGCACTCGATGCTCGTCCAATCTAGATTAACAGAACACAAGCCACGGCGGCCTGGATACACAAGAGTCCGCATCAGGGCCTAGCATGGTTCATTCACCGGCAACAATTTTTGGCAAGCCAGGTCAACGTATAGCACACCATCCTGGACCCCCAAAACCTTACACCGCTTGAATGGTCAGAGCGCGGTTCAAGCGAGGTTCGGTCAAAGATTCGAGTTGCCTATGGTCTGGGGAGGCATATGAGAGACTCACCAAGTTTTCCACAAGAATTGCGGGACTCATTAGCTTTTTCAGGTGCAGTATGGGAAGTGCAAGTTTGCGCCAGAAGCGCGCAGAGATTCCATGTGTTCAGATGCGCGCAAAAGTCATCTCCTAACAGGGTGGCTCGCGCAAAAGCCCGCCAACTTCAATTAGTCATGGCTAGAGATGCCCTTAACTTACTAGGGGTTCTGCGGGGTTGTCCGCATTAGGGTCTTGCGTGGTCATAGGACCATCCTGGAGCTTGCCTGGAGTTGCTGAACCTTTTTAGACCCCCTGTTCACTCCCCGGCAACAGTTTTGGCAAACCAGCTCAACGTATTACGCGCACCATCCTAGACCTCCAACACAACAGGACGCTATGGTTAGAGTGGAGGCACAAATGCCGAGTCAAGTGCTTCCCACTCTGAGGTTGGCAATGCCATGGCTGCGTTTGCGAACGCGGAGCTTGCGGGTGGTGCGCGCAAGCTCCGCGCCCACCAGCTGTGTGGCTGCGTTGGCGGCTTGCAGCTTGCCTTGGAGAAGATCGCTGCCAACCATCACTTTTTTTTCGCGCGTGGCGAAAGGCATGCTTGCTTGATTCCTTGATACGCTCGCGTCACGGAAGGTAGGGCCGATGCAAGTGTCTAACCCTGGGTCAAGCGCTTCCGACCCTGACTTTGGACGCCTTCCTCAGGCCCAAATGTCCAGAGTTGCGATTCACTCAATGCAAAGCCATGTGCCCCAACCTCACGCATGGCTCCTCGGTCCCATGCAAGGCCCTAAAACAATGCCCAGTGTCGCGCTAAAAGATTCTCTGGGCAAGCAGGGTTTTGGACTTAGACCTCGGCTCGAATTCGTATGTCCTTCGCAGCCTTTCTTCATGGGAGCCATTGGACGTGAGCTGGACGCTGCAGTGGCTGCGTCATCACTAGCACTCTCCAGAAAACGGTGGTAGTTTTGCAATAGATGCGGAAGTGCCTGTGAAAGAAACCCTGTGCTGCCAAGAAGTTGCGGTGCCAGAAATGGCTGGATTGGGCGATCAAAATTCGGACCCTTCCGGGGTATACAGGGAGAGCAAGCAGCAATTCTAAGGGTAGGGTGCCGGGCGTCCGCTCCAAGAGCTCCTGAAAATGATGTAGACCCGTGAACAGGGCTGCTTAAAAGATACATTTTGTTTCAACACCAAAATAAAGGGAAACCGCAATTTACAAGGCAATGTTCAGGTGTACAATGTAAGGATCCCTGGTGAAGGTTGAGTGAATTCAAGGCAGCCCCCATGCCTGGGGCTGAGGCTACGCGCGCAGGCTAAGGAATACGCTCGCGTCGCAAACGGTAGGCTGTGCAGAATACACAAGTTAACGCAAGCTTCTCGAACCGAGGTCTGTCGAGCGATTTCCGAATGCGCGGACTGCGGCCGAAGCAGGGGAATTTGTTTACCCTACTCTTTGTCCCGACGGGTCCGAATCCAAGTCTGTTCTTCGGCGCAGGCGCTGAAACCGCCACTGCTTTGCTGGCTGTGAGTTCCCGCCTGAGTTAAGTAATTTGGGGCCTACAACCGGGTGGCAATTCGCATGGTCTCCGCGCGTGTTCGGCAGCCCTGCGCAAACTTTTCGTTTTACCTGGCAGGTCGACCTGCGTGGCCGACTTCCAATCAAGTCAAATCCCTCGCGTGTTCGGCAGCCCTGCGCAAACTTTTCGTTTTACCTGGCAGGTCGACTTGCGTGGCCGACTTCCAACCAAGTCAAATCCCTCGCGTGTTCGGCAGCCCTGCGCAAACTTTTCGTTTTACCTGGCAGGTTGACTTGCGTGGCCGACTTCCAATCAGGTCAAATCCCTCGCGTGTTCGGCAGCCCTGCGCAAACTTTTCGTTTTACCTGGCAGGTTGACTCGCGTGGCCGACTTCCAATCAAGGTCAAATCCCTCGCGTGTTCGGCAGCCCTGCGCAAACTTTTCGTTTTACCTGGCAGGTCGACTTGCGTGGCCGACTTTTTCCCTGGCAGGTCGACTTGCGTGGCCGACTTCCAATCAGGTCAAATCCCTCGCGTGTTCGGCAGCCCTGCGCAAACTTTTCGTTTTACCTGGCAGGTCGACTTGCGTGGCCGACTTCCAATCAGGTCAAATCCCTCGCGTGTTCGGCAGCCCTGCGCAAACTTTTCGTTTTACCTGGCAGGTCGACTTGCGTGGCCGACTTCCAATCAGGTCAAATCCCTCGCGTGTTCGGCAGCCCTGCGCAAACTTTTCGTTTTACCTGGCAGGTCGACTTGCGTGGCCGACTTCCAATCAGGTCAAATCCCTCGCGTGTTCGGCAGCCCTGCGCAAACTTTTCGTTTTACCTGGCAGGTCGACTTGCGTGGCCGACTTCCAATCAAGTCACCTCAGCTTCGCCATGCCAAATCCATTTCCAAGCTGCCGGCTCATGCCCCAGGCCCGCGCCCCGACCGGTCAGGGCTGATGCGCCAATCGTCATGTCCATGATGCTGCCTTTCAGCGGACGGCGGGTGCGCTACCGTCTTGCGAGATCGATTGGGAAAACATGAAAAGGGATGGTGGGTGTCGGTGTTCCCGGAAAGGGATGGGTGTTTTTAGCCAACAGGTTCCAAGCGTTTTTTTGCTTCAGGTTCTGCGACCCGCTGAGATGCCACGGCTCCAGAACCACAGCCTCGCTTCGATTTCTGCAAACTAGGCAATCCATTCTTGCCTATTCTGCAGCTGACGTGCCAAACCATCTCGTGGCGGCCGTTGCAAATGCATGAGCAAAATTATGCCAAAGCGGGTCCGTCTCAACGTGAAAGGAATCACGTGCATCGCGAAAGGCCGGCGGTTGAAGTTTGAAATGCTTGCACTTTTCCTGAAATAGCGCAACAAATGTTCCCAAGTGGCTTTTCAAGCATTGTCTTTCCGCGAAGGGAAACATGAGACCAGCGAAAGGTCGGAAGGCCTGCGGTCAACTGAATTCAAGGTGCCTGTGCTTTGAGGAGCCCCCATGTGTGCTGCTGCGCTTGAGAGCGCCGCGTAAGGTATGCTTCTGCCACAAAAGGTATTGGCTGCAGAGTGTGCAAACCCGAGTATCTCGCACAGCATGTGGCTCCCTCAAGGAAAGGCCAGGGATTTCCAACGCGATGTTATGTTGACATGCGCTTTGTGGCCTAGCAGGGGGAATTGTTCAAACGAATCCCAATCGCGTCGGCGGAGGCGGCTCTGAAACTGCCGCTGCGTTGGCCGTGACTGCCAGTTGCAGAAAGGCTTTGAGCTGACTTTTGCGACTTTTTGTCTGATTCTTTGGGCCAGCCGGCTGGCAATGTGCAGAGACTTCATGGCAGCCCTGTGCAAAAGTCAAGGTCCGCCCATTGCGAACAATCATGGCTGGAGCAGATCCAGAGCTCCTCACTCACTCTGAGATTGGTTATGTCAAACGCATTGCTCAGCCACGTGCCTCAGGAGCAACTCTCCGGAATTTCATCGCGCCAGGCAACCCGGGCCCTCCCTGCCCCGACTCCGCGGCAGCTGCGCCGACCAGCATGCCTGCCAGGGCTGCGTTTGCGCGTGAGGCACGCTTGCGCCGGGCACTCACGTTTGAGGTTACACGTGCAAATGCCGAACAGTATGAGAACAACAACCGCAAGTGCCGCGGGTTCTTGGGCCTTGTGAGCCACAATCCGTGCGAACTGGAAGTGTTGGATGCACGAGTGTGGCTTGCTACTCATTCGAACGTTGGCCTACTTCTCGCACGCAGAGTTGCAATGACAATAGCGCTGCGAGAGAGCCACTTCCTGCTCGTGGTCAATAAATAGAAGGCCGCATCGTGTTGCGAAGTGCTCGGCTTGGCACCATTTGCGCACTGGCAAAGGACACAAGCTTGCGGGGCCTCTACAGCCCAGCAAAATATGCCGACAGTCAGAGAGGCACACTATGACAGCTTGCAAAGGTTGTGGGAGGCATGACTGGACCAATCCCGATGGACAAATGCCAACCTGGCATGGCTGGGATATCCGACCATTCTTGGCCTAACGCTGAACAGAGCCGACAGAAACACCGCGCTGACCAACAGTTTGGTGGCCCTGGTCTCCACACTTCTTGTTGGGTTTGACCCCATTGGGACACTGGCAAGGATTCAGATGTATTTTGGTTCAAAAGAAGGCGGCCCAGTTAAACCCCACAGCACTGCTAATGACTTGCGATTTGTGTTGTCTTGGCAGCCCAGACGTTGGGTGACCCCAGGTTGATCTTTCGAAGCGCGCGTGGTGATGTTCACAGTCAGGCGGTTGGGCTGTTCAAATGGTATGCGCAGTCCGGTTTTGAAACGGCTCGGAAAGGCGCCCCCAAAAAAGAGCACGTGCTGAGTGCGCAAGAGTTGGTGGCTTAACCACGCCTTTTGTGATGTATCTTTGCGAACTGTGTGATTGCGCTTGTCATCTTTGACTCAGCTTGCGCTCGCAAGTTTCCCATTCTGATTGAGCTTCCCGTGTCTGACCCAGCTTGCGTTGGCAGCTTAACATGGGTCTGTATTTTTTTGCCGTGCCCATTCTTTAGTCTACGCGGGAAGTGGGACCTGGGCGAGCCATACCCCCGAATCATACCCCGAATCGTACCCCCGATTCATACCCCGATTCATACCCCCGAAAAAGTCCAAAAAGGAGTTCAAGAACTGCTGACCTTGCAAGCCTGCTTGAAGGCCTTAGCTAAGGGTATGCAATTAGGGCCTGTCCTGCGGGCAACGCGATAAACTGTTTGCAAGCAGTTTCTACTCTAACTGGCGTTTAGGGTAAAAGCTACAGGTTCGCTCACAGTTCGTCACGCGCCAGCTGACGGCGACGCACGCGTAATTGCATTTCAAAAGTGCGCAGGCTCGCACGAGCTCCTAGCTGTTTATCCCAAGTGCGCTTTCGCTGCCGCGTCAAGGGGTGGACTCGCGCGCTCGGCTTTGGTACGTGTACTGCCGCGAAAAATGACCAAGAAGGCTTGAAAACTCTGTGACGGACATCTCGCCCCTGCTGCTACGTGGTTGAGAGTTTGACCACTAACCAAACCTTTGCTGACTTTGCGCGGGTTGACACGCTCTGCTTCATAGCTTCACATGGCGCGGGCCTGTTCCAAGTGCAAGGGCGCTGCCGCTTGCAGCAGCCCCGCATGCTTGCAAGCTTTCTTAGCCATGCTCGCTTTGCGTCTTTCCGTTAGCAAAAACCTTCCCCGCGATTCATACGCCAATGAAAGGATGGCCTCTTGCGCGCCACTCCTTCAAGCACAGGCCGCTTAGCAGCGCTCCAAGCAGAGCGAAACAATTCACGCTCGAAGGATGCAGCTTACAAGGGTTCAAACTCTTCCTTCAAGCCGCTGCAAACCTAACCGATCCTCTCTCCCCAAAACTTCTGCAGTCCCCCCCTTTGTTTGACTAGCTTCTGCAGATCTGGTCCCTGTAGCTTCACCAATTGCGCCCAGAGCGCAAGAGGCTCTTGGTTGCAAATGGCTGCGAAAGGGTATGACTCGGGGTAAGCAAGTTCTTGTCAGCGCCTGGAAGGAAGCTCTGGCGTCTGCGAGGAGCAACTGCTAGGCGAAAACAGGGTTTGGCCGTTGCCTGAGCTGGTTCGCAGAGCATGCCCTGGCGATTGGTGAGGCGTCAGGCTTCGGTGTGCCACGGCTATTTAGCCTGACGCAGCGGCCTAGTTCAACCCGTTCTTGGCAGCGTCAGAGGCTAGCTGTGGCAACTGAGCGGTTCGGTTTCTTGCGGCTATCTGCTTGGCAGCGTGAACGAGAATTGCAGCGCCCAAGGCCACAAAACAAGAATTCAGAGACGCGCGAGCCACACCCCGAACCATGCCCTTGAGTCATACCCCGAGCCATACCTACGATTCATACCCCCTATACCAACTTCCCGGCGCGGGCACGCCAAGAAACACATACCCACATGTTGACAATGTGCATGAACCATGAACCAAGCTAGCTTGCGCTTTGTTTCGTTGAGCTCCTGCCTGCAGATACGGATACGTCTTAAACTTAGTCTATTTGGTTGCAGGTTGGTCTTGGAAGCAATTGCCAATTCATGTGTCGTTTGATGAAGAGTCTGTCCAGGCTTAGGTTTGCCGCTGCGAATGAACAGTCGTTGTTGCATGTGGCAAGCGAACAGCTTGAAGCGTTCTTTGGCAGAAAGACTCATGATCAGCTGCAAGCTCTTTTTCACTTCTTTGTTCTAGCCAAATAGGGCCCCCTTTTGATCTTGAATCTGGCCCAAGTCGCTACTGATGTTGTTGGCTCAATGAGCAAGTGGACCGTGGCACGCGGGACTTTTGCATATGCGCTGGGATGAAAGCGGCGCACATTCCTGGCAATCGCGTCCAGCAAATGTGACTTGCGTGTCCCCCGGTGCCCCACTCAGCATCTTCGACACGAGTCTGGTGGGCCACATTCTCTGTGCGCAGCTGGGCCTTCGGTCCCTCCAAGGGGCAATGACTTGAAGCAATGACATGAAGTTTCCGCCTGAAGACGGCTTGTGCCTGTGCGTGCAGCGCCAGAGCCTCCGAAGGATTGGACGGCCGTGTGCCCCTCCGACGGTTGATGTGCGGTTTGCGGCAGCGGCAGCTGTTCACCCGATTTGTCCAGGCCGTTGGTCCCAAGCCGCGCTGAAACTGCCGCTGCTGGCTGCGACTTCCCTCCTCGATTTTATTGATATGTATTGCTTTGAATATCCGATAAACTTGCGATACAGCAGGGGAGTATTGAACAATATCTCGATAAAGGAATATACTCAACCGCTGCGGCGCTGCGGCTGCGCGCTGGTGTGCAAGCTGTGCTGCCAACAGGCCGGGAACCTCGAATTCGGCGTGTTGTGTCGCCAAAAGCCCGAAAGAAGCAAGAATCGAGCCTGCTCTTCTGCAGGTGCCACCGCTCGCGCCTGCGGCTGCCCCTGCCCAAGATTCTTCACATCTCGCACGTCCTGCTGCAAACCGCCAAGGGCCTGCTGTTCGGGGACACGGGCAAGCGGGCAGAGTGGCGCAGCCATGGTCTTCCATGCTGAAGCGGGCCGCCGCGTCTGCGGCGTGCTTCGTCTGAAGTTTCAGGATGGCTCCCGCAAGGCGCCGACGCAGGGCTACCACGGCTCAGGGCAAAGACTTTGCCAGCGCCTCCCGTGCCAGGCAGCCACCAGCACAGCAGCAGCTGGCTGCCGCCCTTCTGGCCCCAAAGGGCCCCTCAAAGCAAACCCCAACCGATACCGATACAATTCGGTATGATTCAAAACGATTTGCAGCGATAGTCTTCGATACGATGTGAGGTTGCGATACTTGCTTTTCGATACCGATAGCTCGCAATACGCAACGATACGATTCGGTATGTTGTATTTGTATTGTTGAAACGAACCTGTTCGCGCATGCTGCCAGCTTCGAGCAATTATGTCCAAAGCGGGGACACTTGTCTTGCTGCGTAAAGCGTGCCCGTGAAGGGCCTTCCGCGAAAGGACTCACGGGCATTACGAAAGCCCGGCGGTTGGAATTTGAATGCTTTGTAAATGAACTTGACTGAACTAGCGCAACACATGTTGCCAAAGTGGCTTTTCAACCATGTCTTTCAGCGAAAGGAGGGCGGACGCCCCGTCACCGAGTCAATTCAAGGTGCCTGTGTTTTTGAAGAGCCCCCAGACGCTGCAAACGCAAGCTTCTCGCACAGCATGACTCCCAAGGTCTTCCGAGGGGGTGTGTCACCCTACTCTTTGTCCCGGCCGCAGGTCCAAATCCAAATCTGAGCGTTGGTGCAAGCTGCGCTGAAACTGCCGCTGCCCTGCTGGCTGCGACTTCCCTCCTGAGTACTTTAACTTGGCTCCTGCAGTCAGGTAGCAATGCGCAGAGATTGCATGTGTTTGGCAGCGCGCAAAGCTCGTTTTACCTGACTGGGCGGCTTGCGCGCAGGCTGCTCGAAGTTGGCAATTATGTCCAAAGTGGGGACGCTCATCCTGCGGCGTAAAGCGTGATCGTGAAGGGCCTATCGCGAAAGGAATCGCGGGCATCACGAATGGTCGGCTGGAATGTGGAAAGTTTGCAAAACCAAGGAATCAGCAACAGATGAGCTTTTTTGAAGTATAGGGTAGCACATGTTGCCAAAATGGCTGTTCAAATTTGTTTGTTCCTGCAAAAGGATTCATGAGACCCGCGAAAGGACGGCGAAAGTCATGCGATCGAGTGAATTTAAGGCGCCCGTGTTTTGAAAAGACCCCAAGTTGCCGGGGATGCGTTTGAGCGCGCAGTGTAAGCTGGTTGTGCCTACGCTCGCATCGCGAGGTATGGCCTGCAGAGAGTGCAGATGCAAGTTTCTCGTGCGGCATGACTCGCAAGGTATCCACGTCGTAGGCCACGCTGAAACTGCCGCTGCCCTGCGGGCATTGTTTTTTTTGGGCCGTTGTTTTGAAGATCCCCATGCATTTGCCGGGGCTGCGCTTGAGTGCGCCGCGAAAGGTACGCTCACATCGCAAAAGGTAGCGGCTGCAGATGGTGCAAATGCAAGTTTCTCGCACAGCATGACTTCCAAGGTCTTCTGAGGGATTTCCGAAATGTTTGATGCGACTTCCCTCCTGAGTACTTTAACTTGGTTCCTGCAGTCAGGTAGCAATGCGCAGAGACTGCATGTGTTTGGCAGCCAGCAAAGGTCGTTTTAGCTTTCGCGCATGCTGCCTTCGAGCAATTATGTCCAAAGCGGGGACACTCATCCTGCTGCGTAGAGCGTTCCCGTGAAGGATCTACCGCGAAAGGAATTGCGGGCATCACGAATGGTCGGTGGGTGGAATGTGAAAGCTTTTCAAAACCAAGGCATAAGCAACACATGTTGCGCAGATGAACTTTTTGAAGTATAGGGTATAGCGCAGGTTGCCAAATGGCTTTTCAATCATGTCTTCGTGCGAAAGGAAGCATGAGACCCGCGAAAGGACGGCGAAAGTCCTGCGATCGAGTGAATTTAAGGCGCCTGTGTTTTGAAGAGACCCCAAGTGTGCCGGGGATGCGTTTAAGCGCGCAGTGTAAGCTGGTCTTGTGCCTATGCTCGCAACGGCAGGTATGGCATTTTTGGCCTGCAGACTGTGCAGAAGCAATTTCCTTGCGCGGCATGACTCACAAGGTATCTCGAGTGATTTCCAAACTTACGTGGTAAGAGCCAGAGCCTTCATGTGTGCCGGGGCTGCTCTTGAGTGCGCCGCGAAAGGTATGCTTCTGCCATGCGCTTCAACAGGTAGCGGCTGCAGACGGTGCAAATGCAAGTTTCTCGCACAGCATGACTCCCAAGATCTTCCGAGGAATTTCTTTGATGTGCGGTTGGCGGCCTTTGTGGGTCACCCTACCGTTTGTCACAGCCGCAGGTCCAAATCCAAATCTGAGTGCTGGTGCAAGCTGCGCTGAAACTGCCGCTGCCCTGCTGGCTGCGACCTCCCTCCTGAGTACTTGGCTCCGGCAGTCAGGTAGCACTGTGCAGAGACTGCATGTGTTTGGCAGCCAGCAAAGGTCGTTTTACCTGACTGGGCGGCTTGCGCGCAGGCTGCTCGAAGTTGGCAGTTATGTCCAAAGTGGGGCCGCTCATCCTGCGGCGTAAAGCGTGATCGTGAAGGGCCTATCGCGAAAGGAATCGTGGGCATCACGAATGGTTGGTGGCTGGAATGCGAAAGCTTTTCAAAACCAAGGAATCAGTAGCACATGTTGCGTAGATGAGCTTTTTTGAAGTATACGGTAGCACATGTTGCCAACATGGCTTTTCAATCATGTTTTCCTGCGAAAGGAAGCATGAGACCCGCGAAAGGACGGCGAAAGTCCTGCGATCGAGTGATTTTAAGGCGCCTGTGTTTTGAAGACCCCAAGTGTGCCGGGGATGCGTTTAAGCGCGCAGTGTAAGTTACAGCTGCTTGTGCCTACGCTCGCATCGCGAGGTATGGCCTGCGGAGAGTGCAGATGCAAATTTCTCGCGCGGCGTGCCTCGCAAGGTATCCGCGTCGTAGGCCACGCTGAAACTGCCGCTGCCCTGCGGGCATTGTTTTTTTTGGGCCGTTGTTTTGAAGATCCCCATACATGTGTGCCGGGGCTGCGCTTGAGTGCGCCGCGAAAGGTACGCTCACATCGCAAAAGGTAGCGGCTGCAGATGGTGCAAATGCAAGTTTCTCGCACAGCATGACTTCCAAGGTCTTGTGAGGGATTTCCGAAATGTTCGATGTGCGGTTTGCGGCCTTAGTGGGGGCGCGGCCAAATCCACCATACAAGAGGAAGGCCTTTTTGATGTGCCCCTTGTCATGATGGATGGATTCCAGAAGCTGAGCGTGGGTCGGTTTCACACGGGGTCGCCAGGGTGTTTGAGGGTGGGCAGGATCAACACCCAAACCAATGCAAATGCAAACGCAATCAGATTTCTATTTTCGGTGCACGCTCGATGTACGGAGTGCCTGCGCCGTGCGCTCGCATCACAAAGGAGTGTCAAGCTGCAGAATGCGTACATGCGCGAAAAGCAAAGTACTCATACAGCATGGCTCCCTCAAGGCATGTCGAGGGATTTCCAACACGATGTCATGTTGACGTGCGCTTTGTGGCCGACCAAGCGAATCCCAGTCCGGCACTGAAACGTCGCAGCAAAGGGTTTGAGTGCGCTATGAGTGGCTCGTGACTTCTTGTTTGATTCTTTGGGCCAGCCAACTGGCAATGTGCAGAGACTTAAAATCAAGAAGTCAAGGGCCCATTGCGAACAATCGTGGCTAGAGCGGAGCTCAAATGCTGAATCTAGGCTCCTCACTCTGAGATTGGCTATGTTAAACGCATTGCTCAGCCAGCCTCAGTCGCAACTCTCCAAACTTTCATCGAGCCAGGCAACCCGGGCCCTCCCTGCCCCGACTCCGCGGCAGCTGCGCCGACCAGCGTGCGCGCCATGGCTGCGTTTGCGCGTGTGGCGCAGGTCCGCTTGCGCCGGGTCACGTTTGAGATTACGCGTGCAAATGCCGAATAGCATGAGAATCTGGAAACATCGACTCACTGAGGGCCAGGCGGGGTGTCGAAATTCTGATTTGCAGTTGGCAGCTTGCACTTGAGCGACACGCACTCACCTTCCCCGAGCCAAATCTCTCGTATGTAGTCCGGCCGCGTGCCTTCCCTGCACGCCGGCCCGCGCCTCAAAGCCTTTCAGAATTGGAGCTTGGGCGCACTGTGCCCCGAGGCATTTGGTTTTGGCCATGCTGCTCCGAGGGGTTTGGGCTTGTGAGCCAGAATCCGCTGGAAGCAGCTGGAGAAAGCTAGGCGAGTGTGGCTTGCGACTCTTACTCATTCGAACTTTGGCCTACTCGCACGCAGAGTTGCAATGACAATAGTGCTGCGAGAGAGACACTTCCTGCCTGTGGTCAATAAAAAAGAAGGCCGCATCTGGTGAAGTGCTCGGCTTGTCGCCATTTGCACACCGGCAAAGGACAAGCTCCCGGGGCGCAAATAGCCTGGCAAAATATTCCGACAGTCAGAGATGCACACCATGACAGCTTGCAAAGGTTGTGGGAGGCATGACTTGACCAATCCAGCCGGACAAATGCCCACCTGTCATTGCTGGTGGGATATACGACCATTCTTGGCCCAACACTTCACAGAGCCAACTGCAAGCTGGTACACATTGCAGGCGAAACAAAATCCGGCAGGGTGATTCATTGGCAGGGATGGACCCACAAGCCATGGTGGGGGGGACATGCAGAGGGCCTCCAAAGCTCACGGGAGTCTTAAAACTCCCATTTCCGCCTGGCCTGCAGACCCAATCGATGAAAGTGAGGTAAACAATGGTGGTGATATTGACTTCACTGCTGTTTGCAGGTTCTTAGGGGTTGTTTGGTTTTCTGGTTCTGTTCGTTTTTAGTGGGGGGCTGCAAAACACGGAAGTTTATGGCTACCACACCAAAAGTTACACATGATTCACCCACCTGCTTTGGCGTGCAACGTGTTGGATTGTTGGACCATGGAGCCAGCAACCCCCTCCCCCCTAAACAAAAAGGACCCCCCCCGAAAAAACAAAGCACACCCCCCCCAAAAAAAAGCCCCCCCCCCAAAAAAAAAAGGAGACGAAACCCGTTGGGTCAAAAATCGACACCCGTTGGGTCGAACTCGGATTTCGATTTTCCGTTTTCCGAGGCGCCTCTTTGCCAAAGCGCTGCGGCTGCTGCTGGGGCGCCTGCGATCCGTGGAGCTCCAAACTGGGGCACAGCTGCTGCCCTGCCTGCCCTGGCGCAGGCCTTTTCAACTTCCGTCCATGGGTCAAAAGCCAAAACATCCCAATCCAACCACTAAAATAGGTTCTAAAATGGGTGGTGAATTCACCTACCCCAAAATGGGATCCCATTGGTTTTGACCCACGGCCATGTGAGCCACGTGCTCAAAACCGATTCGGGTAGATGAAGGTTGAGGGACAATCAAATAGCCAGATTTAGTTGCGGAGATCCGCCTTCGTAGTTCCTTACATGGTTCTGGGTCCACCATTTTAATACCGGGTTTTGATTGTGACTCATGCCCCCCTTTAATTTTCCCCTGCCGACGAGGGCCTGGTAACAAAACAACATGCAACCACCTGAAAAGGGCAAACTGTTAAGTTTGTGACAAGCTTGATTCTTTCTTGCGGCATAGCGAAGTGGCCTTTGGACTTGAGCGACAACGTTGGAATCTGCTTGGACTTGTGCGCTCGTACAAAAGAGCTTGGTAACTCGAAGATCGAAAGATGTCGGTGTGCCATTTTGTGAGGGGAATCTGTTTGGGGTGGACAAGCCCTTGGCTCCCGTTGCATTCAATTCCTGGCTGTCTGGCAGGGACACGATCAGTTGGATCCCTTATGAGGCCAGTTTGGAGCAATGGGAATCCCCCTGATCACCACAGGTCCTATTGGGGTTTTCCAGTTGGACACTTTTGGACTTGGTGACGCTGTCGCGATCCGCAGGTCCAATCCCTTCAATGGATTCGAATCGGATGTGTCCGGTTGGGGTTTTGGGCAAATATGACAAATCAATTCGCCGATCGGCGAAGCGGACGGCACTGGTCTTCAACACTCATACACCAGTTTCTTCGCTCGCAGCCCCCAAATTTGGACCATGCTGGTGGTTCCCCGGTTTCGCGGGTGCCACCCCCATTCAGAGGCGTGGCACATGAAATTCACAAACCGCAACCTGCTCCCTGTGGCTGGCAGGGGGCAAGAAGTTGATGTTCAGCCCTTTCGGTGGCTCCTGAGAAGGGTAAGGTTGACCCCATATTAGTCAACCCGAGTTGAGTAACAGGGAGGTGCTTCTCCCTGAGTTTAGTGGGGACCAGACCACTTTTGGAGGGCCCCGCCCCGCCCCTACTAACAATCAGGTGTTGATTTTTTCCCATATGGCTGTGGCTGAGATATGTTTTCCACCAAAATGGCGCCCTGGGAAATGGAGCCAAAGACGAAGAGCTGCGGTTCGCCCTACCCTTACAATTTTGAGCCACACTTGCAACCAGGGGTCACCAGCCTACGTCTGGTGCTCGGCCAAGTTGGTTCAGAGGTTGTGGCGCAGCACACGCTACGTGCCTGGCCTGTGGGCTGCGCCGGAGGTCCTCGCCGAGTGAAAGCTCGACACGCGAGATGCTTCGGGCGGGCAAAGATGGGTTGACGCAAAGCCCAGGTCTCCGGGAAAACACAAGGAGTTTGTTTAAACAAGGTTTTGAACTATTGGCATATTGGTTTGAAGGTCTTGTTCCGCCAATTTAAACAAGCAAGGTTTTGAACCATGGTTTGAAGGTTTTGTTCCGCCAATCTCTTCGGCTGCACCATTTCAAGCAGTGGAACTCTGGGACCCACGTCTGCGAATCGGAGAAGAGAGGTTCAGTACTTAAAGATGGCGCGCGGTGCCAGGTGAGACGAAGTAATCACAGATGCGTCTCTCTTCGGGTGTGGTTCCTTTTTTTGAGTTGGTACCCTTCTTGTGGTTCGTAAGGAATCCACCAGGAGAACTTCATCACTTTGGCTCCCCCTATGTTGAGACACACCCATTCAGGAAACACCTTGAATGGCTTCAACAAAGCGGGTTCCGATCTCCAATCGGTGTAAGGTTCTGGAACTTGTGAGAACTCATTCATTCAACGAGTCACCCAATCTACACTGCAGCTTCGCATGGAACCCAAACAACCCATGTGGGGCCACGTTACTGCATGCGATCTGGCGGGGATTGGCCAATGGGCAGTACGCTTGGGGATCCTTTTCGACAAGTCGTCCCCTAAAGTGTTCAGGTAACCCCAAATTGGTGGTTTGGATGGATTTGGGAAATGAACCTGCGGTTCTTGTAGAGGATACATGGGAAACTCCTCCTTAACCCCGAAACCAGCGGGCTCCAAAGCAATCAAAGGTCGAAGTGTTGCCCTTGGCCCTGCGCCAATCGTGCTGAGTCTGAAGGCTCAACAGCTAGCGTGAGCAGCTATCACTGCAGGCGCAAACGCCTTAGGCACCAAAGATGAGCATTGAGCGTTCTCCCATGTTGGCAACCCACAGAATTCACCCACGCGCAAGACGGCTGCTTTAGGAGCCGACAGACAGAGCGAACCGGAGACATTGTACCAGCTTGGAGGCCTCTTTGTATTTTTGTTGCAAGCGGCTCTTTGGGGCTTTCAAAAGGCGAAGCAGAGCATGGACCAAAGCACTTGGTGGCTCCCAGCCATCCGGTTCCTTAGCCTTTTAGCCTTTTAGTGTTTAGTGGTAGTTTCCGTATTTAACCCGCGCAAAGTTAGTCACTTTTAGCGGGGGATCTGAGGGCAGCCCAGAACAAAGAAGTCATACTTTAAAAATCCCACGGAGCTGCTCTTAAATCCCAGATCATCGCCATGGCGCCGAAAAAGGCCGCCGCCCCGGCGGCTGCAAAGCCGAAGGCAGATGCCAAGGCCAAGGCAGATCCAAAGGCCAAGGCGGACGCAAAGGCCAAAGCGGAGCCCAAGGGCAAGGTGGACAAAGCCGCGCGAAGGCAAGGGCCGTGTTTCAGCTTTTCTTCTTTTTTTCGGCAGAACCGTCGTTGGGCGGTTTCACGGCCCGACTGCTTGTGAACAACTTCTACCTGGCTTTGGAGGACCATCAAGTCCTCAGACTTATGTTTCAATTACCTTTGGCCGTGCCATCGACGTATGGTTTCAGTTTTAGATGGCAGAGGGGGGGTGCGGGGGTGTCAATGATATGGCCGGTTTGGGCATGGACCCAGGACTGTGATACAACCCCTAGGGTTCAATTTTTAAGAATGGCCCAAAGGACCCAATTTAGATGAACAGGCAAAAACTTATGCTTATATTTTCACTCATAGTGATGGCCAAGGAAACCTAACAGTTTGTATTTGTTGAGTTTGTGACCCTTAGGGTTGTTTTCTACGGGGAAACCACAAAGGCCCAGTAAAACCCCGCGACCCACATGAGCAGCGCCCAAAAACCGATTTCCCTCCGCGCCATTTTGGTAGGTGGCTCTACTTTAGCACAGGCATGTCCTAGCAGGCCTCCAAAGAAGAAGAAGAAGAAGAAGAAGAAGAAGAAGAAGAAGAAGAAGAAGAAGAAGAAGTGGTTCTACTGCCTTTCATCGGGGGTATGGTAAAGCCTCTACGAACCTTAATACACCATTCATGAAACCCTTAGTTGGTGGTTTGGATGGAGGGAAGCGTCAGCTGGCGTGTCGGGCGCTCGCAGAATTCGACGGGAGCCGAGATTCGAGGCAAGCCAAGGAGGCGGAAGAGGAACAGCGCCAGGCGGCCATCGACGCGATGATGAAGCTGGGCGAAAGAGCTTTTCGTTTTTATTTTTTTTGGAGGGGTCCGGGTGTATTTCTTTGCAACCCTGGATTGCTTTTGTAACTGGACAAAAATGAGGTTTTCTTTGCAAGTTGGCTCATGAGCACGGCATGCTCTAGTGTAAGTTGCTTGCCTTTCTTTCTTTTTGGTGCGGAGAACAAACTAATCACACGGGCAGCTTGTTGTGGCAAGGTTGCCATTCGGCTGATTTTGTTTGCGTTGCCCCCCCTCTCCGGAAACCCCTCTCGCAAGGAATCCAGAGTGCGATGAAGAGGACGAGGAGGTGGACGAGGCTCCAGAGAAGGCAGGGATCAAAGTTCCAGATTCCCCCCCCCCTCCCCCCCGGGCATGTGGTCCCAAAACCTAACAAACAAATATTGTTTAGAAACGCTGATCATTTTACCGTGCTTTGTGTGTAGCCGTCCCCCAAGTTAGTGTTTGTTTCTGATTTTATGTGCCCTTGTACTCGAGTGAAGGCCCGTCAATGCAGACGACCGCGTAAGTCGCATTTGCCTTGCGTTCAGGACAACATAAATATGGGTACACATCTAGCTATGCAAATGCGTAGATCGACTTTTACTATACACACACATTTTGCCTATGTACATAACTATATTATGCAGTTAGGATACTCAGGTTTTGGCCTCTTTTGAGCCTTGATTCATTCAGACTTCTGCCAGATGTCAATGCCTTCTGGTCGTCAAAGGCAAGAGTTGCGGCGGGTTGCAGTGCAGCCAAAGTCTAGAGCAATAACTTGCCGGGATACTGTAAACAATTCCGGCACTCGTGTTCTTGGGGTCGCCCTGATGAGAAGAGCGGAGATGAAGAGACATAACCATTGCGAACTATGACAAACATGCCAAGCACCCATCTTCATGACTAGCAGCGCAAGCGCCACGGGTAGAGCAATTTTCCCTGCCATGATCCAGGCGGGGGATGTGACCCCTTGCTGAGTGTTGATGCACAAGAACTGGTAACTACTGTTGCCAAGATGTTGCCAGGGTATTCTTTTTGAGCCAGTGCGTGAATCAGTTGAGTCGACATTCTGCAGGGTGTTCCTCTTGGAACTTGATGGGGCTTGACGTGTAATATGTACGAAGCTCCGAGATGTCGTTGCTGCCAAATTGCAGTGGGCGCCCTCTAAGCCTCTACGAAGAACACTAAATGGCGCCCAACACCCCAGGAAAAACACAACTTTTTGAAGTGCAAAGCTGAAGAGGGCACCTTCCAGCACTGGAAATAATTTCTGGATTCAGGTTCGGGATTCTCAGGACTCCTTTTTTTTTGAATCTTCAGCCCAGTGCTGCTGCAGGCCAGCAGTCTCTCTCTGCGACGCTTTGGATGCAAATTCTCCGGAACTCTCATAGGACTCTCATTTCACATCCCATGCTAAAGATGGACACCCGCATGAAAAGAGGATGTACGGAGCTCAAGTTGCGTGGTTTGGTCCAGAATAAGGCATTCTGCCCATCGCGACAAGAGCGGCACTTTATATTTTACCAGTGTTATGGTGAACTCGTGATGAATAACCAGGGTACGCACTAGAAAATCACATAGAATCTCTCTATATTTACCTTTATATGCATATATAATTATCGGTATATATGTTCGTATCTGTATATATACATATATATATATATATATATTCACTATACTGTATATTCATACTATATATGTTATATATATATACATAGGCACATACCCTAGCAGATTCGCTTAAGGACATTGGAACTTTTGCCGCTTCCGCCGACAGGGCTTCAAGCCTCCGAAGCGCGGGGCGAAGCCCAAAGAGGCCAGTGGCTGTTTGGTCTTGAACCGTGGCGTAAACCCAAAAGAGGGCCCTCCCGGGGGAAACCCCGGGGCTTGGTCAGTGGGGCTTGTCTTGAAAACCCTTCAAAAACCCTGGGTCCAGCGGGCATGCACTTTGGGGTGGTGCAGGTGCTGCATGGTTGCGGTTGGGAAACATTTTACATTTTTGTTAACTGCCAAAACTTCAATTCTTGCTCCCCTTCCAACGTCAACCAAGTGGTTGTTGGGATTGGTCAAAGAGGATGAAGGGCAATCAGTGATGTTAGAGTTTTTTTCTGTTGGGCTTGGAATGTGTTGGCAAATTTACGGTTTGCCGAAACCAGGACATTTTGGCGCTTGTATAGAAATTGCAGGGTTCTTCCTCACATTGTTGGCTTGTCAGTACAGGCACAAACAACTTGGCAACTCGATCCCCAAAACACAACTTGTTTTGAACATATGAATGAAGATGCAACCAGGCGTCTGATCAGGTAAAGGCAGCTACCCTTGGCCACGAGCTCGGTCCAAATTCAGTACCCTGTTGTGCCAACGATTTTGTCAGGACGAGCCCTCCGACGCAATGCGCGAGGCGCATGAATGGCGGGAAGGGGGGGTGTTGGTTGTGGCAGGATTCTGCTGTTGTAAAAACAGATCGAGTTAGTTTTATCAGTTCCCTCGCTGGCTCCCTACCATCAAATAGTCCCCTCTGTTTGCCACCTTTCAACCTTTTGCAAGCCCTTTACATTTGATCAACACTTGGTAACCTCTGTAGATTTGTGTGCTTTTTGCAGGGCCGCCTTCTTTTTGGTCGTCAACCGAAGGGACAGCAACAGAAGCAACACGCCACGCGGCCAACCCCCAGCGCCCCCAGCGCCCCCAAAGCCTCCGAGGAGCTGCGGCGCCAGCGCGAGGAACGCCTGGCAGCGCGGCAGCTGGAGAGGGAGGCGGGCAAGGCGAAGCCCGCCAGCAAGGCGCGGGTTTTGGGGGGGGCGGGGGGTGCGACCCGCTGGGCCGACGGGGGCGATATTTTGTTGGGGTTTGTTCAAAAAACCGGGCGGCGGTGGAGTTGGGAGTTGTTGTGGTTTGGAAGTTTTTGCAACCCTGGAGCTTTGCCGACCACCCCCAAACACAGCTCCAAATGTAGAGGGCGTCTTCAGGGGATCTTCAGGGGGTTGTGATTGTGGGGGGGGGGGCTGGTGGTTTTTGAACCTGGGGCGGATTGGCGTTGATTGGCTATTGGTGTTGGTGTTCTTTGTAGACGTGTCCTTGGTTGTTGATAGGCTGTTGATGCTGTTGTTGGCCTGGTGTTTGGATGTTGCTAATTTTGCTGGTTGCCAGTTATTTGAACTAAGTGTCGATTGTTGGTTCGTGGTTGGCAGCTTGTGGTTTCCTGGTTGCCCTTGTAGCCCATGGTTGGCGATTCCCACCGGTTGCTACTCTGCACTAGCCTCTCTTTTCCCTTGCTACCTGCTGCTACCCTTTTGCCGCTTCCTTGGTTTCTCCTGCGCGGCCTCAGCTTCTTTTGTCGACAGCGGTTTCTTGGGTGTGTTCCGTTCCCCGTAAAAAAATTGGGAGGTGCTCAAAACATGGTATCCAACATTGCATCTTGAGAAAAGGGAACAAAGACTAAAACCTGCGGTCGGCCCCGGCTGTTTAATTTGGAGCCACACCCAAATAGGATCGTGTTGCCCTTCTTGCTTAGATTTGGGCCAGCAGGCCTCTGGTTGATAAGAAACTATTCACTGGAGCAAAGGGCCGGGTGCATGGCTGCGTCTGAATCCGCAAACTGAGTGTTTCCCGTTTCCCTAGCCAACCAAGGATAGCCTAAGAACCCCCACTCCAACCGGGTGCTCTGTGCGCGACTTTGTTTCAGCCGAGAGGTCTGGCGAGGTCTGGCGAGTCTTGGGTTTGGGCGCCCTGATTCTGCGGTAATTCCCGGAGGAAAAAACTTGCCAGTTCCCTTAGAGATCACGTGGCGAAGGTCCCCCTTAGTCACATGGGTCTGTGTCAAAGGGGCTTGAAGCGTAGCCTCTAACAAACACAGCTCCATGTCAACGCGTCATGCTTCAAGAGTTGCGGCTGTCTTTGGGCCTGCTCTTGCAGGTTTTCCGAGCTCCCCAAAAAAGTCTTGAAGCTGCTTTGAGCAAACACGGGCCCCGTGATCCAAGAGGTGCCGCAGTTGTGTTGCGCAAGTATCGTCCGGGTTTGTTTCAAAGCAGTGGCTTCCGTTGGGTCCTTCGAAACCCCATTTTTTTTTGCCCAAGGGGACAGACTGATTTGTTGTGTTGTTGTTTTTTTTTTTTTGTTTTTCTCCGTTTCTTTTTGGAAATACCGGTGTCAGTTACTTGTCCTGAGGCCCTATAATTCGCATGGCGTCCGAGAAGCCCCACGTTTCTCTATCAGGATCTGGCGGCGGTCCTGGAGAAGGTGGCCAATGAAGGCGGCCAATTGCCAATCTCAGAACCCGTCAGACTTCTGGGTCTGATCGCTACAGGATAAACAAAATGCGTGTGTAGCATCAGAAGGACCCCATCCATTTAGGATCAATTTTGGGCATGACAAGTACAGCCGGCAGGACCTGCCGATGTTGCTTCACCGGGGTATGGTGGTGAAATGTTGGCCAGTTCCAGTCTGGATTCAACACAGCGCCAACAACCCTCAGCGCATCCGTTGGATTCCAGGCGAAGGCAAGCTCTCCAACAAGGCGAGGCTCGGGGTTCGAGTCCGTTCTCGCCGCGAAATCGGTGGACGCGCCCCTTTGTTGGGTTCTCAAACTGGTTGGCGGATTTTTGGTTGGCTTCCCTTTTAAAACCAATCAAAGGTTCCACATTTTGTGGCCAACACGGCTTTGGGTTTTCCAAGGCAACCGACCCAACGGGGCTTCCCCGACCATCGCCGCGAACCAATGTCTCGCCGAGGAGCGGCGTGTCTACGCCAAGCACTTGGAGAAGCAGAGGGAGGAATCAGAGGAGCAGGAGAGGGCTCCGACCATCGGCGGCACCGGCCCTAGGCCTTGCCGGAGATTTGGATCTGTGGGTGAAGAATAGGGTAACCCCAATTTTGAACCCTGGTAAATGGAAACATGGACTAAAACCTGCGGTTCCCTGGTGGTTAAATGTTGACCCATACTCATTTGGATCTGTGGCATCGAATGCGCGGAGAGTCATGGGGCGCGGAGAGTGCGAACAGATCGGAGGTGCGAAGCTCTGAGTTGCGCGAGGCCAAGTTGCGAATCGACATGGACGCCGTGTCCATTTCCGAATTTCAGGTCCTCAAGCCATGGGGGCGTTGCCTGAGCAGCGGTTAGGAGGCTTGGGGCGGCTTCCTTCCCGCGTTTAAGACCGCGGCCAGGAGGCGTGGGCGAAGAAGGCGGAGTTGGGGGATGAGGTCCTGCGGCTGGAGGAGGCTGCTGGTGGCCCGTCTTTTGTGCTGCCCCAAAGGCAAAAGGACACCAACAGGGGATGGGGGTACTTGAGACACCAAAATGGGATGGACACCAAAATGGGACGGCATACTTGGCAAGTCTTCTCATTTGAACGGACTTCTTAAGAAAACACCCAGTTCTCGAGGAGGGGTGTGATCGATAGCCAGAGGAACCATTCTTGTTTTTCATGAGAAGGGAGCCATCTTGTTCTTTGTCCCAGACTTTTCTGTTTCCGGGGCTTCTGAGCTCCAATCTGCGTGCCAGGAGTTGAAGGCCTTCACGGTGTCGCTGCCAAGTGCAGGGCTCGCGCCAGGATGGGCTGGGGCACCCGATTTCAACCGGCCAAGTTGACAGCACGCGTCAGGCTTGGTTTTATCTCGCCGAAAACCCCTGGCTGTGACAAGCGCAGGCAAACAGCAAGCCGGAGCCGCGCTGATTGGAATTCGGTTGTGATTGGTTAGGGTTCTCGACGTGACTTGCGTTTTGGCGAGAGCCCCGTGGCTTCTGGTCGCATGTCGGCGACCTGCACGGCTGCGGTCGCGAAAGGGCGAATCGCCAGAGGTGTGAATCTTTGGTTTGGGCGATCGCAGATGGCGCCAGGTTTCTTGGCGGCTAATTCTGTGGCAAGAGCTCTGGTGAGATTGCGCGTTCTGCTGCTGGCAATATGTGCCCCACGCTATTGAAGCGCAGTGCGCTAAGTCAGCGTGCTCGCTTTCAGAATCAAAGCTGGGCTGAAAACAAATGCCGAGAGAAACTGGGCCGTAGCCTGTGGCGAACGTGGTCGCTGCGTCGTCCTAGGCTTGCCATATGTGGTGTTGAGCTTGTGAGGGAATGTGACGTTTGCGGTATGTGCCCGTGTGAGGCGTGTGTCTTGCAACAAACGAGAAGTTTGGAGACAGGAATTGATGCAAACAATGGAATAGCTCCTTTGCTCTCAATTCCTGCTCCTGAATTTGGTTTGCATTTCTATTCAGACTTTGGAACAATAGGAGTAGGATCATTCCTTTGAATTCAGAGGAATGAACTAGCTCCTTTGCTCTTCCCTCCGTTCTTTGACCCCGACTTGTAAAATAAAATGATGGCTTCGGCTTTCTCGTGCCTTTGCAGGAGCGGTGGACCTGCATCTGGACCGCTTCTCCATTTCGGCAGGCGTGGCGACTTTGGCGTCCGGAAAAAACATAAGCCGAAGCCGCCGCCGAAAGGTTTGGCCGCGCAACAGCTGTTGGATTTTGGACGGGCGGATCTCTTGCCGCTGGCCGCGTTTGCGCAGGCGGCCAGCGGCTCTTCGACGACGCCAGCCTGCACTTGGCGAAGGGCCGGCGTGGGGCCGCCGAGTTCAAGCGGGCCCACGGGGCCGTGGCCTCCACATCTGGGCCCTTCCGGGCGATTTCAGGGGGCGACGTCGTGGCCTTTTCGGTCTTGTGAAAGAAGGGGCTCTTTTTTTTGGTATGTTTTTTTTTGCGGCATCTGCCGTTCCAAAGATGATAAGTTCGAGGTGTCCCTTCTTGGTGTCCCTTAGGGGCTGTCGCCCCACCAGTGCCCTGAGCCCGTTGTCAGGTTGGCACTTGCACCTACTGTGGATGGACGGAATCCATTTCGCACCGCCGTTCAGAAACCCTAGACTGATATGATCCCTGCAAATACCCTAGCAAACGTAATGGTTCCCACTGTGATACTTTTGGGAATCCCGGACTCCCCCTTTCTATGAACAAAGTAGTCTCCACAGTATCACTTTGCCCCGGTGCGCCAGGCTACGGCCTCCTGGGCCCCAACGGCCAAGGGAAGACCTCCCTCTTGCGGCACCTGGCAGCGCGAAGGTCGGGGTGTGATCGGTCAACCGGACGTTTTTTGGTGGGGGGGGGGGCTGAAATCCTGGATTCGAAAGGGCTTTGTGGGGGTGAACCGGACCACTTTTGTGGAGGTTTACCTCCTGGATTTCGGCCCTAAGAAGGGGTTTTGTGGGGGTTGACCTTAAGAAGGGGTTTTGTGGGGGTTTATCCTCCTGACTTTCGGCGTTATGAAAGGGGCGGGCTCTTTTTTTTTGGCAGGCGCACCAAAAGCACCCCCCACGAAGGGGGAAGTTCAGCCCTATTTTGAGAACTGTTCCCCCAAGTTTGGTCGGGTTTAGACCCTGAGCATGCAATGAAACGCTTAAGGCATTTGCGGACCAACTCTTTGAACATTCTAATTAGTTGTTGCTCAAAACCAATGCCTAATCCTTGTAAGCCTCCTTGTAATTTCCCTTACGGGTTCTCCAATTAGGATTCAGGACTATAGGGGGTGGGCGTTGCCAGGCACGCCCAAGGAAGACCCCCACAAATGGGGTTGCAGCAGCCCCGTTTTTAAGAACTCCACCACGGTTCTTCGGGGTTTGACCCAATGGAACGCTATTGCGAACCAGATAATTGAATGGTAGTTAGTCTTCGCGATGCAACTTGCATGTGGGTATGTGTCAAAATAGCTCATTAATGGTGTTCCTTTTGGGTTCCCTTTAAACCAACGGCAAAGATGCTACCCTCAAAAGACAACACAATATGTTTGTTCTGCTTTGCTCTGCCCAGAATCTTGGCATCTCGCACTCCGTATGGAATGGTTCAGTCAGGGTTCGAGAGAAGCCGAGCTCTAAAAGAATCGCCTCATGCAGCACCTGTATGACCTTGGATGCGGCGTGTTTTTTTTGCGTCGGGTACTTTTGGGGTGGCCATGGTGGCTTCAAATGGGGTTGGGTGGGTTACCCCACTTTTTTTGGGGGGTGCCCCCCTATTCATACACGTGCTCTCTCTCTCAGCCCTTTTCGGCGGCCTTTTGCCGCAGGCTGCCAGTCCCGGAGCACTGGAGCATCACGCTGGTGCAGCAGGAGGGAAGACCTCAACCCTGTGGCAGTGCGGGGAAGGGAGGTCTGGAAGGGAGCCGTTAGGGAGCTGGGTAGCCAAATTGCACATTTGAGCCTGGGAGGGAGCTAGAAGTTCTGTAAGGACTTGGTAGGGCACCTGCATCACACCTCTGCGTGAGATCCAAAACGCCTTTTTCCCATGTGCCCCACCAAGCCCTTGGAGGTTTCCTCGGCTACGTCGGAAGTCTCGGTGCCCGAACCCCTAGACTCCGAATTCGGATCGAGGAGGCCGAGGCCACGGACCTCCCGGCCGGAGCCTCGCTGCGTCTTTCGGCCCGCGTGGGCAGTGCCGAGGTCTCAACCACCCGACCGACCGACCGGCCGACCGACCGACGAGCTGAACAAGCAACCGACCGAACATGCGCAAATAAGCAACGCGGCTCGTTTGGGATAGCTTTCGGGAACTCGGGCTCCGGGCGATGCCGTTTGGCCAATCCGAAGGCCCAGAAGTTGCCACTTGCAAGCCTGCGAATTGATTTCAGCTTACCCCGAAAGACTTGTACCACGCCATGTAGACATCTGCATTGAATCCTCCTTTTTTTCTTTTTGGGGAAGCCCCCGACAAAAGACCTCTCTACATTGATTTGTAGCGGATCAATCGAGGGGGCCTGTTCATGGTTCCACCCCCAAACCTGTCTTATGACCTTCATTCTTCCTTTGGTCTTCCCTTAGGTGCGTAAATGGTTTGAACTTCTATTTCAGCTTCCCCCTAATCGGTGGTTCGGTTTGGCGGTTTGGAGGTGTTCCGGGGGTGGTTTTTCCATTTACCCTCTACAAGAGCCAGGGGTTCAACCCTCAAACCACCAATCCAAGTCTCCAATCAAGGCGGCCAGGGACAAGTTGCTTAATTAATCAATTTGTCCAAACCTGGCATCCAGTCAGGAAAACCACTTGTCGAAGCCACTGTCGATCCAAAGCGGATTGGAGGTCCAAAAACAGGACAACGGATTGGGGGTCAAACAGCTCTACAACACAGAGTGGGGGCTCAAAAGAAATAACATCATACCCTTCCTGGGAAAAAAAAAGCAAACACACACAAACACACAGCTAATTTGAGAACCACAATGTCACAAGACCTTGAGAGGGTGTTCATGCGGATGCGAGCAGCTGGAAGAAAAACAGGAGAAGCCTTGGGTGCGGTTTTCTAGCGATGGTCCAGCGCGACAGGTGGTGGATGAGGTCATCTCCGCAGACCAGCGGCGGCGCAAGTTGCTGGCCGAGGAGGCGGAATGGGTTGCACGATGAAAAATAATTCATGTCAGAAAAAACCAACAAGCCAAAAGGGGTGTGTTCTTTTCGTTGTTGGATGTTTGTCTCTCTTTTCTTGTTTGTTTTCCGCAGTGTGCAAAAACTCACCTGTCATGAGGTGCCCTTGTGTTGAAATCATGGCAGGGGAGCCCCAACATGGCTTCGGGTGTCCTTTTGGTTGTCCTTGACAGAGCCTAGTCAACCCCAAAAAGAGTTCCCTCTTTCTGCCAGGGTCACTGAAGAATTTCGAGAAGCGCTTTCTCCTTGGGCAACCGGCGGCTAGAGTCACCATGGTTGGCATCTCGTGGATTACTTGTTTCCGAGGCGGGAGGTGCCAATGTCAGACTGGTTGAGATGGAAACCAGGGAGGTTCTCGAGCTTTCAGATACTTTCGTTTGGATTGGATTTGGATTTGGAATTGGATCTGAACCCCTGGTTCTGGTAGAGAATGAGTGGGAAACCAACCCCCCAGAACACCACCACGGCCACCACCACGGCCACCACCGCTACCACCACCACCACCACCACCACCACCACCACCACCACCACCACCACCACCACCACCACCACCAATCCAAACGACCAACTAAAGGGAGGCTGAAGTCTACGTAGGCCCCAGAAAAGTTTGACAGTGTAAAGGAAAGTAGTCATCCAAACCCCAACTTTGATCATCAGAGAGGGTAGTTTGAATTGTTCCGATGGAAACAAGACACATCCATCGGTCATTGGCGGGCTTGGTCAGAATTTGGGATGTGTTTGATTGGTTGCTCGATTGTTTCTAATTTTTCCCGTCTGGACACAAGGGGGCACTTGCCACATGGCGCATGTGGTGAACACGCAGCCCTGGTTGTTCCAACGTGGAGATTCAAAGCGCCATTGATCTGCTTGTCAAACGTTCGGGTTCAAAAAGGGTGTGTCTTTCTTTGATGGTACCCTTTTTGGGTAGTTTTTAAAGGGGAACGAAAGGGAGACCAACCTCTTTTAGGGGTCCCGTATTTTGAGATCCCAAATCAATCCTTAATCCTCAGTGTTTCATGGATTGCGGATTTTCGGATCGCCCCCGTGAACAACCCAGCCGAGAACTGGGGAGTGAAAAGAAACATCTCTCACCGGCAGGATCTAGCTACGTTCTTGCCAGGTGTTTTGCCTGCAGGACCAAAAGCAATGCTGAATTGCAGAGTCCAGAACACAACATGCTTCGCGCACAATTGTCTGTTTCAATTGCTAGACAAGCCAATCCCGTCATTTTAAGACGGGTGTAGGGAAAAGGGCATGTTTCAAAATGAGAAAACACCCCCTAAAATGGTTTATCCCTTTGCCGGGAATCCGGGCACCAGCTCTTCTCGTATGTTCCGCGATTTTCTGTGCCAGGCGCAGCTCTTGACCAAGTTGGCACCTCGGTTGACTGGACGTGACATTCCTTTTTTTTGCGATTGTCTGTGGCGGTTGGTTGGTCAATGTTCAATTTAGGGCCCCCATTTTTGACCATGGGACACTTTTCCCATGTGGGAATGATCATTGTTGTCGTGGTTTCCACCAAATGGTCATCCCATGTAAAGGACCTGTTGATCAATCCCCATGTTGATGGGGACCCGTTCTCAAAATTCTTTTGACGAGGTTCCAATTCTTTAACGACAGACAGTTTGCTCGGGTAATTTTGAGGATGTCTTACCGAAATGGACCCAGGAATCCTTCTAGTAGATGGGTTCCGTGATTCTTGACACCGATCGATCTGCAAAGAGCACCGCTGTGATAAGCGAGGGGTTTGGGTCGGCAAACCATCAGACAGGTGTATGTTCTTCTGTGCTCGGCTGAGACATTCGGCCGGCGGTTCCCAGCCGTCCACGTTATTTTTTTTTTCTTCTCCGTTTTTAAATACATAAATAAAATAAAATAAAATAGGAAATAGATATATATATATATATATTTAAGGCTTTTTGGGCTTAGTGGAAGTTTAAATTCCACCCACTCAAAGTTATTCCCTGGTAGCAGGGGATCTCAGGACAGCCCTAACATCAGATCAGGATTTCTTTGGTCGGCCTGGAGTTCTCATTGCCGCGTGGAGCCTCACCGCGCTACCGCGAGGCTGGAGGCGAGTGACGACGTGGAGGCCGGGGTCTTGGAGTCGGCCGCCACATACGAAGGGTCGTAGCTGTCCAATTTTTGGTGGATTTGCTCGAAAAATACATGGCGATCCCTGGTTTAGCTGGTGGTTTCATCATCTACCAGGGATATCCATCTATTTCCCATAAAAGGACACCTATGCGAATGGTGGCTCCCAAACAACGATTTCAACTTCTCCTACTGTGGATGAAATCATGCACCTAAGAAACAATGGAATGCTGATACCCCTGCAAATACCAACAAACAATGGCTTTAAACCATGGTTTGAAGTGGTGCAGGATTTATGACGAGATCTCTTTTTTTTCATGGGCACTGATACTTTGGGGAACCACCGTTATTAAAATGGATGTGTTTCAGAGCTCAGGGAGATCTGCGGGTGCTTTTCAGAAGATTTTTGTTTGCCGGCTCAAGGACTTTCGACTGGGAACTGGCGTAAGGTGATGCCAATGTCTGTGATACTCCAAGGAGATGCCCTAGGCCCTAGACGAAGAGGGATGGGAATCCAGGAGTAGTTTTCAGGTGGTTTGCCTCTCCTTTTCCATCAGCTGGAGGTGCAGCTGGAGGTTCAGCCGCTGGAAATGCAGCAAGCAAGCAACACAGGGGCATTCTGTCATATCTTGCTGAATCCCCGAAGTTCCTTGGATTCTGCTGATACGCGGCAGCGGTTTTTCCGAGAATGGTTGAAAGCCGTAATTTTGCGGGTGGAAGAAAGACACCAGTGGGACTCCCACTGGGTTTCAGTCTACTTGAGGTTTGCAACCAATGATCCAGAATCAGAACCCTTCTTTACGTGGGGAATTGAATAAAGCTAACCAGTAGGTGTGGAAATCCGGCCTACTTTGCCTTGGATTTGAAGTACCAGGCTTTGATTCTGAAAAAAAAGGGGTGTCGTCTCCTTTTCCCTTGGCTCGTTTTCGCCATGGCCAATGGCCTGGAGATTTTGTGTCAAGAGGCTTCTGAGCTGCAGCAGCTCTGCGACAAGCTGTCTTCAGTGGCGCAAGACCTGGAGGCCGGGCGCTTGGGCGTTGCTGCCACTCGGCGCGCGGGTGTTGGGCCCTTGGGCTTTGCCGGTGGCAGTTGAGGGCTTGCCATGGGGGCCAAGTGTTCGCAACCACAGGGCCGGCAGGAGGCCAAGGAGACGAAGGTCCAAGGTTTCAACACATCGAGGGGCATGGGCAGTTGAGCCCAGAGTTTGAAGGATGTTGGCCGAGGTCCAATGTTGGGACACGAAATGCTTGAAATGCGGTGCTTGGTCAGCTTTCCAAACATGGGTGGATCATCGCCTGGCTGCCATTTTTACCATCAGGCTGGTTGGCCCGTTGGCCCAACTGAAGTGTGTGGCGTGGTATCCATTGTTCTGGGGCCCCGGTGGGGCGTCTGGCTGATCTCGATCGAACATGGCAGTGGCAGCTTAATGACGGCAGGCAGCGGGAGCAGAGGCGGCTGAGGCGCGAGTTCTTGCTTTGTCAAGGGAAGGCTTTCTGGCGGTGAAGATCTGGCCTAAATGAGTACTACTAGTTTACTCCATTCATGGCTGATTTGAGGTTAAAGCACCCCGCCCCATTCGAGTGATTCACAGCCCTTTGATTTTTAGTCAGTTTCCTACGCGCTTTTGCCAAGCGGGAGCCGGGAAGCTTCCTGTGCTTCGATAGATGCAAGGGACAGCGAGTTTCTTCGCCTCCAGGGTTGGTATCCTAGTTGCCCAGTGGGTTGCTTCCTTTTCTCTTTTTTTTGGGAAGGGCTCCCTTTTAACTCAACCAACCAAACAAAAGATGGCCTTTTTTCCTCTGGCCACTGGGCATCTGAGGCATGCTTGTGTTCTTAGGTGAAGCTTTCAATGTCAAAGTTTCAATGTGCAAAGACCTCCAGATGAAAAAGCAATGTTTGGCACTCATGCTAACCGACGCGTACCATCGGATGCAGTCCAGGCGAGAGTGAGGAAGATTCTTTGCGGCCTCGGCTTCACAGTGGAGATGATGGATGGCCCAGTGAATGTTCTGCTCGGTCCCTGGTTTTGTATCGTACAAGGACGCCTGAACATACATCGAATGGCGACCTTCGCGTGTCGGAACAGGGAATGGAACAAAACGCAGGAGTGTTTGGCGGCGCGGTACCCTTCTCGCCTACAACCATTTGTTGGGTCTTGCCATTCGACACATACCCAATTCCTTGGTCAAACTTCAATTGCAACTGGCAATGAGGTCGGGCGGCTGGAGGATGCGTGCCTGCCTTGGAGCAAATCCAAGTTTCCTTGGCTGGCAAAACTGGTCAGAATGTGGGTTTGTCTCTTTCTTTCAGGCTCGGTACCACCTTTTTTCGGTGGCTTATTCAGGGAAACCAATGGAAAAACGTTAATCAATTTTGGGGGGTCCAGCCTAAAAAGGACGAGCCGCCCATAGACGTTCGAAGCCGAACCGGTCTGTGAGTGGGGCCCAGGCCTAAAACTTCCTGATTTCCAAGAGGTCCTCTTGGGGCAACCTGCGCAATTCGGAGCTCACATCTAAATGGGTGTGGCTCAAAATTAAACAGGAGGGGCAAAACGCAGGTTTTGGTCCATGTTTCCATTTTGGGTACCGGTTTTTTGAGCCACAGCCAAATGGGGTCCTTTTTCTAGGGGTTTCCCTTTCAATCCACCAAAACAGGAAAAACCGAGCCTCAAGACGAGCCAGATGGATGCTCTGCTTGCTTCAGGCTGCCTCTTGACATCAGTTGGGTCGGGTTGGCAATCCTAAATGACACAAGTTGCTGAGTCCATAGTGTCTGCACACTGACCTGCATGGGTGGTTCAGACACACACCCTTTCTTGCCCAACGGCGGCACGCGAAATCGCTTCGACACGCAAAAATATCCCTTTGGGAGATCTCCTTCAACTCGCAGGACTTGGGAAGCCAAAAAACAGAAGCCCTAGAGAATCTCGATGCTTTGTGATAATTTCGGGTTATTCTATGGAGGGGTATTTATTTTAGGATGTGCTTTTTTTTGGATTTTATTTTCGCTTTTGGCTTCTTGGCTTCTTGGCGTTTTGGCTTCTTGGCTTCTTGGCTTTTGGCTTCTTGGTGGCTTTTTGGCTTTTTGGCTTCTGGGCTTTTCGGCTTTTTGTTGGTTTATGCGGCTTTTGTTGGCTTTTTGGCTTTGGCTTTTCGCATCCTCTGCATTCCCAGTTCCCCCCCTAGTTTTTACGAGATTGAATTGCACCCCTATTCGAATCATCACTTCTGCGAACATCATAGGGGCTGCCGCCCCCCCCCCCAACCCCCCCGCTATGATTTTTTACAGGGACTGAAATGCCCTCCTATTTGAATCATGCTTTTTTTTGACCCCGTCAACCCGCCAGCTACTTTTTCGATTTTGATACCCACGATTTGTTGGTGATGCTAGGGATGTTGGTCGGGGGATGTTGAAAACGGGGATGTTGACGGGCTAGTGCGGCTAGTGTAAAATGCGTCAATTTCGCGAGCAAATGCTGTAAAATACGACAATTTACTGGCCCGGATGAAAACACACTAAAAATCCAAAAACAAATCCGAAAAACAATTCCCAAAGTAAATCCGCACCCTGATTCTATTTGTGTATATCTTTGTATGCATTTTTGTAGTCTTTGGTCTTGCGATTCAAACTGGGTTCAATGGCATTGCTTGAACCTCGTTGTTCGGGTTGAGATGGGTTGAGGAGCTGGTCGAGACCGGTCCTTTCCAGTCATTTCCCTGAGAAAATTGGATCGGCCGACCCATTTTGGGCACGGAGAAGACGGACAAAGCTGCTCTTTCCGGCGTCCCTGTACAAAAAAGCCACCCTCAAAAAACGTCGAGCCACTTTTTAACGGGTGGGTCCCCCAAGAAATAGTTTCCCTTTCCAAATGGGAAGTACGAACTCAAAAGACACCCACATGGGTGTGGCTCGAAATGAAAGAGCTAGGGCAAACCGCAGCTTTGGCTCCTTCAAGGTGCCATGTTGGGGATTTTCCCTTTTTTTGAGCCACGCCATATTTCAAGACCAAGCGCAGACTGTAGGCGTGTCCCTGGCGAAGGCGCTCTTCCTAGAGCCAATGCCCAAGTCGAGTCGAGCCGGGTTGAGCCACAAACACTGGTCAAACACGTTCGGCAGTTGGACCACAACTTGGATTGGGTTGAAGCAAAAGTGGCGCTTTTAGAGTATTAGGATCATTTAAAAGGGAAGCTGAAACCGTGACTGATTGCCCTTACTTGTTTGTAAAGAAGTTATCTGAAATTTGATGGTTTGGGAACAACTTGCAAAATGGGTTTCCTAGATGTCAGGCCTTGAACCTTTGAGCTGGGGAGAGCTTAGGATGAGCCCCCTCTATAGAAGTAAAAGGCTGAGGCTTTGGTTTTCAGTTTTCACAACACGCAAACTTTCGTTTTTTTTGGGCGGGGGGGGGGGCAAACAAAAAACAACTTTCCACGATAGAGGACCCCTAAAACAGTCACAGGATCCTGAATTAGAAAAACAGTTTCTGCAATAGAGGGTACTATTGCTAAAGAAGGTCTAACGTTAACTCAGAGAGATCCTGCGCGGCGCAACCGCCAAACCTCTCTCGGAACCAGGCCTCGAAGAAAATCCGATCGCTGAAGGCACTGCGTAGCATGCAACACACGGCTCGCTTGTTGCGGTTGCGGTTGGATTGGTATTATGATACTTGTCAAGATCTCAAACCAGATGCGGGTCATTTTTGTGTTTTCCTTCCACGCCCTTCTGAGACGGCGACGGCTCCAGACAAACCCAGGTGAATAGTTTCCTGTTGCGCTTCCTTTCGCAAAGCACTCCCAGTTTCCTCATTTTTTGGGGCCCTGTTCCCCTGAAAGCTGTGGGGTCTCTGTTAAAAAGGCTCCCCACATGGCTGGTGGATCTATGGGCTTCCCATTTGGCTTAGGATGCTCCCCCCCGCCCCCCGCAAATTTTGGCTGGAGAGAAGCTGCTGGGTTGCCACTGGTTGCCCGAATCTGAGGCCCGACCTTTTGCTGCTGGCAGGGTGACCCGGTGACCCAAACGAGGGCTGGTTTTGTGTCCGGCTTCTATGGCTCATGGGTTGAAAACACGGGGGTTTTTCAGATGTCCCAGAAACACCACACACCAATCTGCCCATGTCTTCTTGGAAAATGCCACGGTCATTTTGACCGACCGGACCTGTTGGTTCTGCAATCCTTTTGGAGGCCTATGGCCCTGGCCTTTCTTCGAAACTTGAGGACCAGAGATTTGCACAGTCGAACACCTGCAGATGCCTGTGATGTGGTGTCCGCGCAATGAGGGTGGGAGATTGAACAGCCTTCTGTCTCGGTGGGCAGGCAGGAGAGCGAGCAGGAGGGCAGGCGGACAGGCAGGCAGACATCAAGCGGGCAACAACTCCCCATGAAATGCACCAACATAGAACTAAGCACCGAATGCAACAAGCACATCACATCAGGCTAGGTCCCGGAGAAAAAAGCAAAAAACCGTTGTGTAGACTGTTTGGGACGTTGGGTTCTTGTGGTGGTTCTTTGCCGCAGAGCCATGAAGTTGAAACACAAGACCAATCTTCTAGGGGTAACTTCCATTTCCATTCTTTCCAGGGATCCTTCTTTCTAGAAAGCCACCCAAAAATCTGGGGAAATGGCGATCGGTTTTTGAAAAGAAAGATTCCCCTAGAAATCTGCATGTTGTACCTCGCGCCTGCGCGGGGTTCCCGATGCTGAGAGGTCGTCGGCTTGTGTCCTTGGCCGCGGGACCTTTCCGCGGCAACACATTCAATTACGCGCATGAGTAGCAGATAAGACCACCTGCTGCGTCTTAAGGTGGGGAAGCCCCAAAATGGTCTGTTTTCCGTTTGGCCTACCCCCAAAAGGGTACCCTCAAAAGGGTACCCTCAAAAGACAACTGGAAACACAGATCAAGTTCCCTGCAGAAAAGCCAGCGCCGAAGGAGCCCGGGTGCAACGTGTGCTTGCGTTCGAGTGCACGCCTTTGGGTTATTGGGGCAAAGTGTGTTGAACCAACCAGGCGACCACTTTTCCGGGGGGAACCCAAGAAGAGGTTGTTGAAACAATGGGTGTTTAAACGTGTTCAGACGGCTACTTCTGGTCTACAGTGCACTCGCTAAATAGGGGGCCAGAGTCTAAGAAAGGGTGTTTAAGCACGGGTCTTTCTTTTTTTGAGGGTACGCACTTTTCGTGGTTTGAAAGGGACATGACCAGTACTACCGAAGCCATTTTGCGAGGTCCAGCCTAACAAAAAGGCACCGGCCCAGGACGAGCCAACCAATCACCTGGACCTGGATGCTGTGCTCTTAACTCAGAGGGAGATGCGTTTCATATGGGCTGTTTGGCAAGGGCAATATGAACCATGAGCGGCACGTTGGTAGAACCCAAGTCAGTGGGTGAATTTGGTTCTTAGTTCAGCGACACAAGCCAGGTTCAGCGCGGCCCAACATTTTTTCGTCACGAATTGTCCGGAGTTCGACACGCCGAGGCTCTGGCTGGACGAATACCTCAGCGAGTACCCCAAGCAGGATCTCCCAGATTTCTGGGAGACGTGGCATTCCTGGCTTAGGTCTGGGTGAGTTGAAGTAGGTGTTCGGGAGTGGTTCAGCTTGGCTCAGAGTCAGCTTAGGGTTGGGTTTCATGGGGTGCCCTGTGTGGTGCTTTCCCTGTCGGGGTTAAGGATTCGCGATTTTGAGCCACATGAAGGGCTTCGGTTTCTCTCCGGCCCACTCGCTAAGGACCCTGCTGGTCGTCTCCCACGATGCCGACTTCTTGGACTCGGTGTGCACCGACGTCGTCCACCTCGAGGCCATGTGACGCCAACGCGGCATCCAACGCGTGAGCCGCCGCTAGCGCGCGCCGGAGCAACAGCACAACTCACCTGGGTATGGGTCAAAATTAAACCACCAGGAATTGGACTGCAGGTTTTGGTCCATGTTTCCATTTACCGGGATTCCATTTTGGGTACATATTTTTGACCCACAGCCACCTGTTGAGTTGGCAAACTTCGAACTTTCGTGCGGGGTAGTCAAGGGGCTCAGACAGAACAGTGAAAAAACTGAGCTTCGGGCTTGTAGCTTGTGTTTGCTGCTACCATTGACGTGTCCCATGTGTCAGGAGAAGAAGCTGATCCAGTACAAGGGGGGCTACACAGCGTCTTTGTTGCAATCCCTTTGACAAATCCGATGCATTGCTCCCCAACCAGCCAAGCGTCAAAAAGTTTGCTGTCTGATATTTCTCAGTGTGGAAGTAGTTCAGAACGCTCTATGCTTCTTTTGTTGGCCCTATCCTCAACCTGAGCGTGAGCGCTCAGCCTGTGTATGCGGCCTAAGGAGTTCCGGAGGGGACATGCCGCCCGCGTGCGCGAGCGCGAGAAGGAGCCTGGGGCCCAAGAAGCTTTCCTTGTTTCCCGTGTCGGCGCTGGCTTAGGGACGTAGCTGCGAGCTGAAGTTGTTGTGTTGTTTGGCAGCTACCCTCCTGCAGATTCACCAGGAACCTGAGCAACCGCCATTTGTAGAGGACCTTCCTTTTGGGGGGAACCCCTTTCGGGTTCTTTGTGTAACTCGCGATGTGTGGATCCTTCCGAGTTCGGCGAAGTCCGCATGCGAGTGGACCGAAACCCATGCCCATTGCATGAGGTTCAAGAAGCAGCAGGAGGACAAGAAGGCTGGAAAGAAGGTGCACCAGGATGAGGCGCCAGCCTGAAGCCACTTGACATGAGGATGTGTCGATGTGTGGGAGGCAACATTGTTGTTTTTAACCCTTTCGTGGTCCCTATATAAAGCCTCAAAAAGGCACACCCATGCACCCCAAAAAGAGAGAGGCGTCCTAGAGTGGCTTATGAGATTCTGCTTGTTGAATGCGCGAATGACCCTTCGCGAGAAATGCACATTGAACGTCGCCATGCACCAACATTCAAGCGCACTCCTCATCCGCCAGATGGTGGAGAAGATCAAAGACTACGTGGCTGCCTTGGCTGTGAATGACGCTGGGAGATGTCCCTGTGCAGTTGTGGCAGTGTTTTCTTTCTTTGATGGTGCCTTTTTTTGAGTGGCTCAATTTACATGGAAGCACACTTTTTTGGGTACCATTTGGGAAAACCCACACACAAAGCGGGGGGCAACCCCTTATGGCCTTGAAATTGGCTGGTTGCCAGCCTTCGGCAGAACCGGTTTCGGCAGCTGGGCCCAGGGGACCTTGGCCATAGGAAACCACGCCTGTCAGGCCGTGACTCAAAGCATTTTTGGGGGTCAGGGAAAACCTGAGAGACAATTTTTTTGAACGGCCGCTAGAAGCTCCTGTGCCAAGAGGGACCTTAGAAGACTTGCATTTTGTGATTTTGTTTCATTTTTTCGGCCTTGGAAGAGTTGTATGAATCCCTGAGAACACTTGGGATCAACACGACCTCACATCTCGGAGCAACCGTGGTGCACCTCATGGCACATCTTTTGTGTTCTTAAGGCATCTGAGGGCAAGGGTAGCAAAAGCCAGAAGGCGCTGGAAACCCGTGCTCTTGGCTTAAAAATGCACCTTTGGCCTTGAAAAGGGGATGGATGAGCCCTAAAAGTGGCCTGATTGAGGGTTTAATAGGTCGTAGCTCCTAGACCCCCTTTGGAGGTCCATGACATGTGCCCATCGCCCACATCTGCTCTGAGGTCGTGAAGTTCCGCTTCTTGCCACCTGTGGGTGGTGATCGAGGCGGAATATCTGCCTGCCTGGCTGAAGTTTGAATCTGATCTCACAATTCCGGGGACCATAAGGGTCGTTTCTCAACAGGGTTCCGATCGCTACGAAAGGACAATCATGTGGGTGTGTCTTTTTTGAAGGTACCCCTTTTTGGTCTGTTTTAAGGGAATCCAAAGGAACAACATCCATTTTGGGGGTCCCCTAAAAATAGACACAACAATGCATCGAAAGGAGCGCATTTGTTATTCGTACAGGTCAATGGCCCTAGCCAATCTTCTATGATTCTTGAATCCTTTTCGCCATTGATTGCCTTGGCCAATTCCACAACGGCCTGAAAGCTTTCGCGTACATGACAGGACGCGCGTAGTTTGGTTGAGAAATTCAGCTGCTGATTTCCATGCAGAATTTGATTTGCACCAGCTACCTTCTCGATGCGCGTTCCCCCAGGTTCCCGGTGAAGGATTCCCCTTCATTTTCTGAACCAACGACGAGGTTTCGGATTTCCCCTGGGTGAAATTCCAGCTGGGCTGAGATTTTTGGATGTCTCCGCCCAAAGGGCGAGAGATTCCAACCGCGCCAGGTCCATGATGTGGACTTCAGTTACACAGGCGGCGGGCCGTTGAGTTCAAGCGGACTCTGCTTTCAGACGTTGCATGTTAGAGAACAGTGGCTACTCAGCGGGCTGAAGTATGGCTTTTCAAAGTTCAGTGTCACAGGTCGTTGCATTGACAAGGCAAAGAACAGGTCAACATTCAATGCTGCCTCTGTGCGATTTCTGCTCAGCTGGCGGTTTTGAGCTAAGCAGAGCTTCCAACTCAAGGTCTGCACCTTTCCTATTCTTTTCGGGAGTGTTTTTGGTTGGGGTAGCCTTTTCAACTTGGTTTGAAACAAAGCCACTGGAACATCCGCCAATCTTCAGTTTGAGACATACCCAATTACGGCACAGCTTGAGACATACCCAATGAAGGCACAATCAAAATCCGCGTAAGTTAGTAAGTGAAGGTTAGCAAGAGGCAGTCCTACCCCGAAATGGGTTCGGATATGTGCGGGTTGAATCTTTACCACGGAGTTTGGGTTCCCTCTAAAAGCAATGATTGTGCCTCAGGTACGCTTTTTAAGTTGGTTTCAAGGCAAGCCCAAAGAACGCTCACTTTGGGGTCCCTATCTTGACAACCGAACTGAGCAGCGCAAGCCGAACGCTGATTCATTCCCATTGGTCATTGTTATGGCCGTTCGACCTGGTTTTGTTTGGGGTAAAGCCATGTCGGTTTATCCAGCCTGGTTTGGCAATTAGAGGGAAGCCAAAAGGGAGCCAACCAAATTAGCATGATTCCGGACCCCACCCGTTGTTTAACTTTTACAACCAAGGCTCCACTTTTAGACTACCCCAAGGGTTTCTCTTCGGAGGAAATCAATCGCTGGGTTCAAATCTATTTTGGGATAATCCACAAGTGGAACCCTGTTACACAACTGGAGCCTTGTTTGGAGCCCGGGCCCTTGGAGAAACACCCAATCCTCGAGGCAAGAAGCCCTGGTTGCTGCACGGCCTCAACTTCCGAGTCGACGCCAGCGGCTCAAAAAACGGAGGTCACGGAGCTCTGGAATTGGTTGGAGTTTGGAGGGGTCGCCGTTTTCCTTTGGGTTGGTTTGACAGGAAGCCAAAGGGAAACAACACGGAATTTGTCGAATCCACAGTTTTTGACAAACCCAGTTGGTCAACTGTAGGGCAATAAACAGGGATTAGGAGCCTTTTGGGTGTAAGTTAAAGGGACGCCCAATTCCCGAATTTGGTTTAGTCCCCTTCACCTACCCACATGAGCCATATACTTTCAGTATACTGAAACATTTATCTTCATGAACAAGGCGTTCGTTCGCTTGTTGTAGGTTCTGTTTTGCAAAGATGTGAGTTGGTCTCATGTTTGCTTTCCCTTTTCCACAGCCCCAAAACGGCACCCCCCAAAGTCAAAGGACTACTTCCCGGTCGATGAAAGCTCAGGCAGCTACGCGAGTGGCAGTGGTCGGGCCCAACGGAGCAGGCGGGGGGGGGGTTCTTACAGACGCCCGGCACGTGTCGGATATGCTCATTTCATTGCAGTTCGAATACGCTCTCCAGGGTAGAAAAAAACATATTCTAACTGCAATATGTTTAAAAATATACTATTTGCCAGTCCGTCACAGTGTATGGGTAGGAACAAACCTCCAATAAGCTCAACAGCATGCGCCCGTCCATGCACATCCCCGGAAGCGTCCTTGGAGCCGCCCACAGCTTGCAGCTGATCCAGGAAGCACAAGGCCTTGACCTCTTTGCAGTTGTGTCAAGCGTGAAAATCTGCCATGGGTGGCTTGATTCAACAATTCTGCGAATCCGCGAGCCTTGGAACTCTACAGAGACCCCAAAGCTTCCAGTGGATCAGCTTCAAGTATGGGCGCTGATACGCAGTCGTGAGGGCGTTTGCTCAGGTAACCCTTTGTTGGTGGTTTGAATTGGTGGTCTGGGGATTTTTACCCATGGTTCTTGCAATGGTTCTTGCAGAGTGTAAATCGGAAGCTGATTTACGCCGTAGATCACATTTGAGTTCATTGCGGCATCTCTTGTAAACTTCAATGCTTTGACCCCAACAGCTGATTTTTTTTGCAATTGGCTATGAGTTGTACTGGGAGACACCTGGAAAATGGTTGCTGGTTGCAGCAATCTTCATGTATTTCTGATGGCCACCAAAGGGTCCAACCAATTAAACTCATGCCTATGTTGTGGATGAACAACATCCTGCACCAGTAGATTTTCTCAATCCCAACCGTTGCGAAGCCGATTTGGTCCATCCACACGGGGGACTTGCACAAAATCAAAACCATCAGGAGCCTATCTAGTTTTTCCATGTCTAGGGAACACCTACATCTGGACCGCTATGAGCCTCATGGTCAACCCCCCCACTTGATAGGATGGTCATGGACCCCTTTGACTGGGCAAGGTCTCTTAAGGGAGCCAGACACGTGCCCCATAGATTCGGAGTTTGGGCCATGGCACATATGTTCGCGAAGGGTTGATTGTGTGCAATCCTTTTGGGGTTTGGTTTGAAGCCAAATTCCTAGGGTTCAATCCCCATTGTAGTAATGGTTGACGCAATTTAGATGATGAAACTCCTGCAAGCAATGTTGTGGTTGTAGTTGTGTCCGCCGTTGTGGTTTGAATCTCAGGAAACCAAAAGCACACGATCCAATTGGTGGGTTGGGCGTGGTTCTTTTTTTTTGAGGCTACTCTCGAACGGAACAAGTGCGAAATCCAGTTTAAGGGAGTCCTATCTTTTTGGCACGAAGGTCTTTTTGAGGTGGCCCTGTTTGGGTTTAAAGGGCGCCCAAATCAAACAATCCATGTGGGTTCCCATTTGAGGCAAAGCTTCTGGGTGTGTCTTGCCCACCCGACAGCTTTGGGGTTAGATTTTGAGTGACATCCGACCGCTACAACCACGCCTGACAGGGCCTGTGACAACAGTTGCGACAGAGCCTGTGACAGACAGCTGCAACAGAGCCTGTGACAGACAGATGCGTGACAGAGACGGAGCCTGTGAAAGACAGATGCGTGACAGACAGCTGTGACAGAGCTTGTTGCAGACAGCTGCAACAGAGCCTGTGACAGGCTGTGACAGACAGCTGCGACAGTCCTGAGAGCCAAGAGGACTGCCGTGACAGCCCGAAGCTTGAGGCAGCGGTTGGGCCAGGACGCTGGCAGTAAGCAGCCAGCGCGAAGATAAAGGCTCCTGCCAGTGCCAGTCGTCTTGACGCTTTTGCTTTTTTGGTTTCTCTTGCTGGCCATGAAGGTTACAGCAGGAAGGCTTGGCGAGAATAGGTTTGTCTCTTTGTTTTGCGCAGGGAAAGCTCTGCACCACCTTCATGGCTACGTTGCCTGGGTCGGCGGGGATACTGGCACATCGCTGTGGGAATACCTTCGTCAATCACTTTGTGTGTGGCTTGCTGAGACACCCCGTGGCGGTCGTTTTGCTTAGCGGGCTGATTGAAAGTTTTGAGGGTCCTGCGGCTCTTCTCTTGGATGTGACACTTCCTTGAGAGTTAGCGCGTTGCGCTTGGCCGCAGCTACAACCGTTTTATGGGTCCTCAATTGTAAGACCACACAAGTCATGGGTGTGTACCCCTTTTTGGAGTGGTTTTAAAGGGAAGCCTAAAGGAAGCACCTTTAGGTTTGTCCTTTTCTTAAGGAAGACAGCTTTAGGTTCAAAGGCTCGTCTTTTTCTTTTTTTCACCGATCCGAAGTAAGACGCACCCCTTTGTTCCTGAAGGCAAGTCCACACTGCTGAACCTCCTGGCCAAGTTGCAGGAGCCCTGCCAGGGCGAAGTGGCCCAGAACCCCAGAGCTTTCCAGCTGGGATGCGTGGATGGATGTGGGTGGAGGGACGTGGGTGATGTGTGCATGGATGGATGCATGGCCGGCAAATTGATACGGGTTTAAATGTTTTGCCAGGCTACGCGACGAATGTGACTTGGAATGACTCCTACAAAAACCGTTCCTTGTTGCTTCCTTGGAAGGATCCCTGGATTTTGTCCCAACATCATGAGAACCTGCAAAGGGGCCCCTGGCGCCCTTTGATTAGTGGGGTCGCAGCCCCCATTTCGAGCAGACCAGCGCAACCCGACCCAGCCAGGCCAGGAGTACTTTGGGGAAGGGACGCGGGTTCCGTGTTTTCTTTCTCCTCGGAGCGGCCCTCACCTTCGGAGCGAGGTGCACTCCCGGGGCTTGACGGTTTGCCGCTACTCTCAGCACTTCGACGAGATCGCGCCGGCGCTGCGGCTCTCCGCGGTGGAGTTCCTGACCTCGCCGGACACCACTCGTCGATTCGACGTTTCGGGGTCCCTAGAGGAAGCTGAAATTCCAAGGTATGAAGTACAGAAACCGTGAAACCATGGGACTGCCCAGACCCTAGCTTTCTGACCAAAAAGAAAACCGGAGGAATCGCTCTTGTGGCAATTCCATATCCGATGCCGATGAGAATGGCTAAACCAAACTCAAAAAGTCGGTGTTGAGACCCGGGCCCCATTTTCCCATGTTTTGCTTCGGAAGCAAGACAACTATGGCTGGGAGCAACAGCGGGCTTGAACTTCTGTAAGGGCAGAAAGGACATGACGGTGCATGGCTTTAGTGCCCATGAGATCGAATTCACTTGGAAGCCTTGGGAAGCGTTCACGGCCAACAACGTGTCCAAAATAGGATTTTGCCATTTAGTTTCCCGGTCTTAGTTTGTCCTTTGAGTTTTTCTCCTTCCTTTGCTCTCTCTCTCTCTCTCACACACACACGCACGCACACAACAATGTTGCGGCGCATTGCGCAGAGTTGTGCAACGCGCGTAAGGCGGCGGCCCACAAGCTTCACAAGAGAGTAGGCTTCAACCCTACTGAAAGCACTTGACATTGACGGGTCCAGTCAGGACGGAGCCGGGTCCAGTCACTCCGTGGCGGATGTTTTTCTGCCTGGCAGCGGTCCGCGCAAGAGCGATGGAGCCTCCCGCGCGCGGATCAAGCTCTGGAAAGGGATCTCACATGCACCTGGGGTTGTCAGCACCCGTCACTTGGGTTGGGTTTAAAATAGAAAAGCTGAAGGCTGAAAAGCAGGGTGGTGGGATCAAGGGGTTTTTCCAACCACTTCTGTGATACAAGGGAATCTCCCCCTTTATATGGGGGGTTAGTCTTTGGGAAGCCATTTTTGTTGTATCACAGAAGTGGTCATCTCCCACAGCCCTGCTGAAAAGGAACCGAGGGGCCCTTGTTCCAGTGGCCGAATCAGGAGCTCCGGCGCTTTGGTGCTGGCACCGAGAACCCTGAGTCGCGGTGCCAGTTCGCCGGTGGTTTCGAGAGGGGCCCGTGGGATGTGTCGGAGAAAACTTTCTGGTGCGATTGGGGAAGAGGGCATGACCCTGAGAAAAGCCATTCCGTTTGGTTTCCTTTAAGGGAATCCCCTTCTGGTTCCTTCCCAACACACTGCCTATCGCACCAGCAAGAAAAGGCGTGTCAAAGGATTGGTTTGACTCCGTCGCAATGTATGTGACCTGAAGCCCTTGGAACTCGTTCGGCACTCCGGTCATACCATGACAACCGAGGCTGGCGCACAAATGCCTGGGACAGTTCGGACTGCCGGGGAGCCCAGGTGCCTAGGCAACCTGCTTTTTTTGATACGGGGGGTGGAGGCCCCTCCAAAAGTGATGAATCCCCACCAAACCCAGAGACATCCCCGTATCAATAAACAGGGATTTATTACTTAATCGGTGGTCAACAGAAGGCTTTTGAGAATCGATTCCTTTGCCTTTTGGATCCGCGCGTGTCAGCTGCAAATTCCCAGCCTTCACTTTGTACTCAGAGGCTGTGGGCCAAGTATGCAAAAGTCAATCCATCCAGTGCTCCGAGCCTTTGTCGGTCTTCGATATCACCAATGAGTGGGTCTTTTTTTGAGGGTGCCCTGTTTGGTTGGTTGTACAATAAGGACACCAAAAGGAAACCACCCATGTTTGGGGACTTCTGGAAAAAGAGATCCAACATGATAATTTGTTTCACATATGCGAAGGCAGCGCTACATGATCATTTAACTCACTGGTCTTTTGGACTTGAGAACTTCGGCCGTTTCACGGTACCCACTCCACTGCCATGTGGTCACTTCTCCTGTGTCTTTTCTTGGAGATAGTCGTGGACCCCGAAAAAAGCATTTGGGCTTGTCTTGGGACAAATGGGGTTGACCTCTTTTGGGACAGGTTTTAGTGAATGGTCGGATTTCGGTGCCCGGATTTTGAGACCCCACGTACCCTCCCACCCCTTCACATGGAACCTGACGTTCGGGACCCGGTCCCTTTAAAAGGGCAATGGTCCAAACCAGAACCCGCAAAAGAACGCCGGGTTCCATGTGAAAAGGGTGGGAGGGTAATCTACCTGCCTGGGTTTAAGCCTATCTTCGGGTTATCACCATGTCAATCGGACCAAAGCTTGGGGTCATCGGGCACATGTGTTAATTGGTGAGAAGGTTTGAATTTGGTTCTGTTTCTAGGTGTTATCAGACGCACTTTTGGATTCCCTTAGCCCGCCCTTAGGGGGTGACTTTGAAAAATGGTAGGTTCCATGTGGCCATGAATTTTAAGAGTTGGAACCACCTCAAAAGTGATTGGTGGACAACAATCCTCACCGAATTTTGATGTCCACCAAAGGATCCCTTATTAAAGCTCAAAACCTAAACTCTACAGAATCCAAGAATGGATTCGGTTTCCCTTTAAAACACCCAAGAAGCGTAAGTGCCACGTGTCAATTGGGTGGGAGGGTAGCGACCGACGCCTTGAGGCCGTCGCACGCCCATAAGCGGCCGATGGAGCAGCTGTCCGGGGGGCAGAAGGCCGGCGGAGGGAGAGATGAAGCGGGAGGGGGGGGGAGCCTTTTGATCGGGCACCCTTTCAGTTGTTTTTGTTCTTTTTTGTGTTTGTTTGTGTTTCTTTTTTTTTGGTTGGGGGGGAAGTTTTTTTTTTTTTCTTGTGTGTGTGTGTGTGTTTGTTCGTGTCTCTTTTTCTTGGGGGGAAACCAAGCCTTTTTTCTCTGGGGGGGGGGGGTGGTGGGACATTTCAGTGTTTTTTTGTTGGTGTGTTTGTTTGTGTCCGTTGGTTGTGGGGGGGGGGCAAGCCAAGTGTTTTTCTCTGCTCTTTTTTTTTGAGAGTGGGACGCCCTGTGGGCCCTGGTTTTACAGCGTTTTCAGCTGTTTTTCTGCTTTTTTATATCTTAGCCCGCCGAAAAGAGTAATTCTGCTGCATCTGTGCTTATTTGACCTGCGTAAGGTCTTCAGAAGTGTCAGATCTTGTCACCCCAAACAATTAAGAATCAGAGAGCCCAATGACTTGCCAACATTAAAAGCCATGTAGCGGTACTTCCACCAAAAGGGGCATTACCTGGAAATGCATGCATTACAACTACTTGTGGCATGGCTTCTCGATTGGATTGTGGGCTTGCCTTTTCAAGTTTCTGGGGTAAGAATACTTTGATCATCCCAGTTCACAGACTAGCTGGATGAGTGGCTCCACCCCTGGTTGACAGATCTTGATGCACCATCATGTGGGAGTCAGGGGCCCGAGGTTCCTAGGTCACTACCTTCAGTTGCCAGAAACCTTTTCTGGATCATCAGAAACATTTGCTGGAACGAGAATCTTGGATTTCCACCTTGCATGCCTGTAGCTCACCAAGGGGTTCGTGGAATGAAGGCCTCTGCAAGTTGTGGTGAGGCGCCTTCCCCCACTTTGTGACAGAAATACACTTACCATAGGCTACCATGCTACCTGAGCTTGAGGATTGAACCTTTCCATTGGCCATGGATTGCTGGTAGCTCGTGTTCTCTTCCCTTGATATGCTGAATTGCGTGCAGATCACTAGTCATATTGCCAGTAGATCATGAAATGTGAGTGGTGAGGCAGACCACCTGCAAGTGGGCAACATTAATTTCTACCTCACCAGGAATAGGTTGTCGAGCTTCTATGTTTAGTGGCGGCATGCAACAGTTGGCATGAGAGGATGTAAGATAATAACTTATTCTACTTGCACCTCCCACAGGTCATCAACATAATTTCTGGTAAGTAGATCTCATGGTCAACAAAACCATATGTTCATAAAAACAAGAAGCAATGGAACACAGGAATGCTCTGCACCACATGAAAAACAAGGCTTTTTGGTGGAAAAACACAGATTTCACAGAACCGAGGTATCCATGTGTAGTGCCAGCTAAGGCCTCCATGTTACCCGTAGCAAGCTAGCAGCATGATGACGCTGCTGCACATTGGCCTAATGCTTGACACACAAGGCTGTATGTCAAAGCCAGGTACACAGAAATATTCTATCCTGTCCTCCCCAACTGAATTACCTTCGGGAGTGTGATGCACAAGACAAGCTATGAGAATACTACACGCAACTGGGCCCACAAGCGAAATGCATAAACTGTGTTGTGCTAGAACTATAGCCTCAGTGCAACCAAGCCCTTTGTTGCTGCAGGTGCTTGCTCACTAAAGGTGAAGGCAAAGCAGCAATCAATGTCGGTGCTAGTTACAGAGTGTTTTGTAGCTAACAGGGCTTCTAGCAACCACTTCTAATCCTGGGGACATGCGTCTTTGTGTGGGGGGGGGGGTTCCGGGAGGGGGGGGGTCGGCCAAAAGAAAAAAAACGAAAGCAATAAATAAATAAATAAATAAATAAATTTATTTATTTATTTATTTATTTATTGTTTTCGTTTTTATTTTCATTTTATTTTTTTGGCCGCCCCCCCCCCCCCCTCCCATCTCCAGAAACCCTCGAAACTGCGCCCATTTCAAACTCATGGCTTTGCGACCCCCCCAAGATAAGCACAATTTTGACCTGCTCTTGTTATCTAATAAGGACAAACAAGACAAATGGAGTTATCAAATGGACGAACAAACCTCAATTCTGATAAATTTGCGTCACATGTCTGAAATCACTGCGTTTTCAGAAACACTGTAAAACAGGGGCCCCTATAGCGCCCCTTTCTGTTTTTTTTTTTTTTCCTGGGGGGGACATGTTGATACATACTCAACTACCCACTTTCAGATGGGTTTCGAGGGAGCCCAAAGGAAACCCACCGCCTTTTCTTGACACATACCCCGGGGGTGTTACGTGTTTTGGGTACCCTGCTTTGCATTTGGAGGAATTGGCCTCTTTCGTGCGGGGGTGTCTTTTTGGACCCGTTTGGATCCGAGGGAAACGACGAGATACCCTCCCAGCAACTAACACGGAAGTGCAAAAAGGCCAACTAACCAAGAGGAAAGTCGTCTTTCTACAGGGCTTTGTGCACAAACCCATGTTAGCTGGTGGGAGGGTACCTATCCAGGAGGGAGCCTGCTTTGGGACGCTGGACGCCATGTTTGCACGTGGGATCCTTTGCTTGGCGCTTGATGTCTGGGAAAAAGCGCTGGCGACGGTCACTTGGCATGGCAGCACTGGTCAAGACATGGCTCTGAAATTTGAGGAGGCACCGACACCCTGCAAATGGTTGGTGAACACAAAAGCCCAGATGCTGGTAGATGATGTCCACCAAAGGGTTCCAATTAAAATGCATACCTAAATATCAGGTTTCAACATTTCCAGCAGTCTGTGGTTGATTTGGAAGGGACCTTGGCCTGAACTCTCGAAAGTCCCACCAAAAACCAGGAACCTCACGAGTCTCCCATGTGTCTTTTTGTAGTTGGACCCCCCAAAACGGCTTAAAAACCTCCCAAATGGCTTCAAACCCCAAAATTGTTTTTTGGACCCTAAAACGGTTTTCCTCTTTTCCCTGAACCAAATCCCGGGGAAGGTGCCTTTTGCTTCGAAAATCTTGTACTACCCGCCAGGCCCGGGTCTGCTTTGCCAGCATCACCTGCAGGCGAGCGGAGAGCGGAGAGCGGAGAGCGGATAGCACTGCCGGAAGGAAGATGCGGCTGGGTGACCATTTCTTTCTTTCTTTCTTTCTTTCTTTCTTTCTTTCTTTCCTCTTTCTTCTTTCTTATTCTTCAAGGGGGCGGGGATTCTATCTTGTTTTTTGTCTCTTTTTGTTGCGGGGGGGGAAGGAGGGGGGGAACGCCTTTTTTTGTTGGCTTCAGGGAAGCGCACCGAAGACCAGGCAGTTGGTCCCCCCTACTTTGAAGACCAAGGCCGGGAGGGACTTTTTTCTTCTTTTTTCCTTTAAAAACAATATGTATCTCCGAGCCAGCTGCAGGCTGTAACAGCTTCATGTTCGAAGCTTGCAACACGCAGATTTGGGATCTTTGGCGCGGTTGGCACGGAGTCTGCCATACTCACTCTGGTCGGAGAAGTCCAGACATTTGGCCAAAACTTCCTTCGGCCAGAAAGCCGGAGATTCTCATCTTGGATGAGCCGCCGGGCCCCCGAGTTGAGACGCTCGCTTTTTGACGCGAGGCGCGCGCCAGTCCACCTCTTGGAACTTCTGAAACCGCAGCCTTGCTCGAGACGTCCTCGTTGCATTTGAAGCCGCCGTGCCCATGGCATCAGGCAGGGGAAGCATCGGATAAGTGAAGTAGGACGCAACGCGCTTTGCACCACAAGCGGACTACATGAGCCGGCTTTAAATCGGCATTCTTTGATTGGTCACTGCCGCTGTCAAAACCCTGATGGTGGACCCTGTAGTAGGAATTTAGACCAGTCTAAGGCTTCCCATCAGGAACTATGACCTTGAGTTTTGATGGCACACGTGTGAGGCATTGATTGCTCATGCTTGACCTGGGCACCTGGAAATGATAGTTTGCTTTTGATTCCCTTTAGTGCAAGCTGCAAAGGTTACCCCCGCAAGAACAACAACACCGCACCCATTTTGGTTGGCTGAGCGTGATTCTGACAGGCAACACTGGACCAGTGTTAAGACCTGATCTCGCCCACACAGGCCGCAAATCCAGGAATTTGCAAAAACACAAAAAATACTCAGAAAAAACCCAATCCGAAAAACTCAATCTGAAATAGTCTGAATCTGGGAAGACTCAAAAGAAACTCAAAAAAAACTCAAAACAGACTCAAAAAAAACTCAAGCAGGGGTCTGGGGAGGGTTCTGGGGGGGAGGGGCAAAATGCAAAAACCACCGCAGAAAACACAAAAAGAACTCAAAAAAAACTCAAAAACAACTCAAAACAGACTCAAAAAAAACTCAAGCAGGGGTCTGGGGAGGGTTCTGGGGGTGGGGGAGGGGCAAAATGCAAAAACAACCGCAGAAAACACAAACAATACTCAAAACAGACTCAAAAAAACTCAAAACAGACTCAAAAAAAACTCAAGCAGGGGTCTGGGGAGGGTTCTGGGGGTGGGGGAGGGGCAAAATGCAAAAACAACCGCAGAAAACACAAAAAAAACTCAAAACAGACTCAAAAAAAACTCAAGCAGGGGGCTGGGGAGGGTTCTGGGGGTGGGGGAGGGGCAAAATGCAAAAACAACCGCAGAAAACACAAAAAAACTCAAAAAGAACTCAAAAAAAACTCAAAAAAAACTCAAAACAGACTCAAAAAAAACTCAAGCAGGGGTCTGGGGAGGGTTCTGGGGGTGGGGGAGGGGCAAAATGCAAAAACAACCGCAGAAAACTCAAAAAAAACTCAAAACAGACTCAAAAAAAACTCAAAACAGACTCAAAAAAAACTCAAAAAAAACTCAAAACAGACTCAAAAAAAACTCAAGCAGGGGTCTGGGAGGGTTCTGGGGGTGGGGGAGGGGCAAAATGCAAAAACAACCGCAGAAAACTCAAAAAAAACTCAAAACTGACTCAAAAAAAACTCAAAACAGACTCAAAAAAAACTCAAAAAATAACTCAAATCTCCTGCTGTGCTTTTTGTTGTGTTTAGGTTGAGTCTCCTGCTGTGTTTTTCTTGTGTTTTTTTGGAGTCTCCTGCTGTGTATTTTTGTGTTTTTTTGAGTCTCCTGCTGTGTTTTTCTTGTGTGTGTTTTGGAGTCTCCTGCTGTGTTTTTCTTGTGTGTTTTTTTGAGTCTCCTGCTGTGTTTTTCTTGTGTTTTTTTTGAGTCTCCTGCTGTGTATTTTTTGTGTTTTTTTTGAGTCTGTGTTTTCAGTTGAGTTTTTTGGCTGAGTTTTTTCTGAGTTTTTTTTGAGTTTTTTTTTGTTCCGCTAAAACCTCTCCTGTCTGAGCCCGTCTGGTCATAAGACCAGTGGCGATCATCGGTGCGGGATGGACTGGCTTGCAACTTCTGCAGACACTGAAGGCCAGAGTTTAACAAATCCATTTGTCACGAGGCGGACGCTCATGGGAAAATGTTTGCTGGAAAACCTCCTAGTTGCAAACGGGCTTGCGTGACGCATGCTGCGTGCTCATGTGACATCAGCTAGAAGAGAGCAAGCTACATATGTCGCGCCTTGGCCCCGTTTCGCATGCCTTCACTATTTTCTCTGTTCTGATCAATGCCGGATCTGTTTTTTGTTTCTTTCTTTTTTTGTTTCTTCTCGGATTGTACTAGATCATGTTTTTGAGGGTATGCTCTTTTGAGGTTGGTTTGAGACAACCAACTGATGAAGGCAAGCTTCCCCTATTCTGATCCACCTATTCCATTTCTCATCTTTTTTTACCCTTAACAACCACCAAAAAGGCCCCCCCCCCAAAAAAAAACACGAAAAACGTGCTAAAGATGCGGCATACCCATTTGGGCGTGTCACTTTTTGACGGTGCCAAAATTTTGGCGGTTTTAAAGGACAACCATCAGGAAACCCCCCCAATTCTTGGGGGTCCCCCCCAAAAACAGAGACGCCCCATTCTTCAACAAGGAGCTGGGCATTGATGCTGAAATCTTCGACAAGGGCAGCACCGTCGGAGGCTTCTGGCCACGGGGTTCGCTCCCATGACTTGAGATCCAGCTGACTTTTTTCTGGGGAACCCGTCCGCAAAAATGGCTTGAGGCGCATCAGCAAGCCTCCAAAGCTGTGAAAGGTCCACTTTTTGGAGATGTCGGTCTTTTTGTGAGAAAAGCATTGCTTCCAAGGCGGCAGGATGCTTTGTCGTAGATCCGGTTGAATGCAGGCTTGAAACTGATGGTTTGAGTTTCTCAAACCTGAAGTTAGAATTGCCGGCAGTTGGTGCGTTAGGGAGGGACATGGGGGGCTTTGAGACATCTCCCACACAAAGCCATAGAACTCGATGTCCCGTGTCAAAGGCTGGTTGTATAGGTCCACATATGAACCCATGGCCATTTTGGACCATTTAAGGGTTGAGTTCCCAAATATAAGCCAGAACTACCGATTAGTTAACGCAAAACTACGGGGGGTTTGTATATGGACGTATGCATTCAGCCTTTGATATACGAGGAGCCTGGGTACTTTTCACCGTGGCTATGTGCGAAAGCTAGCCGACGATCAGTGGCAGCAGCTCTGTTTCCGCGAATAGCATTGGATCACAAGATCGGGGGAACAGCAGATGGATAGTACTGTATCTCCCCAATTGTCACTCACAGTCACCAACAGTCACTGATAGGAAAACACAACTACCCAATGGGTCTGTGTCAAAATTGGGGGACCCCAAAGATGTGGTTGTTCTTGCGATGTCCCTTTAAACCAACTAAACCGTCCTGTAAAAGGTACCAACTTCAAACAATACTTCCCAGCGTCTCAAGGTAACTTTGAACGATGGATGTTGAACCCATGAAATGTTAAACATCTGCAATCTTGACTTGGTTCTAAAGACAGAAATCGATCCCCCCCAGAAGGGGCAAAAAAAACGCCAGGGTTGCCAACAATTATCGGCCCGAAATTCTCCGCCCGGACTGACAGGGACTTGGTCACCTGAGATGAGCTACCACGCCCTGGCATTGCACAGCCCGCGCTGGATCAACTGCCTCACCGCGAACAACGAGTTCTTCCCCTTCAAGCGCATGGACCGAGAGAGCTTGGACACCAAAGCAGATGCCAAGGAAAGAAGCGGTGAACATGGGAAGTTGTTTTATTTTTTGGTTTCCCGTTTGGAAGGTCCCTCTTTGAAGGGACAAATCAAGCAGTGGTAGATGCGTTTAACCAGATTCTGGCTCCCTCTAAGGGACACTCAGAGGTGTTTCAATAATTGTTTCAGCCTCGGTCGGGGGTTGAATCGCCCAACGTTGAAGGAAATGCACGAACTCCTCAACGACTTTGTGGACAAGCAAGGCCAGGGATACGATTTTAACCCTTTTTTGGCTTAAGCATCACAGGTGACCCTGAATTGGTGGTTTAGATTGGCGGTTGGTGACATACCCATATGTCACGGTCCAAAGACCTACTTACTTGGGGTTGGTAGGGATGGTCATGGACCCTTCTACAAACAACCCATGAAAAAGGTTCCTAGTAAGGAAGCCATGACCATGACAACACGACCCGCTGTTTCATGATTTTCATGGACGCCTGAGGCTTGAAGTCAAAGATCCACTGCAAATCGCTGGTCACAGAAATCTCCTACCACACCAAGTCAGATGAAGCTTTCCTCAAGGTGACATCCGACGGAAAAGAGGTGGAGAAAGGACCCAGTCCAGCTTGGGAGTTGCATTTTGAGGTCCTCGAAATTAGATTAGGTACTTTTGGGGGGTTGGCCTGAACACATTTTCGTTTGTGGAGTGGCTGTCGCATTTTGAGGGGTTCAACATTTGATCGCTTTGTGCGAGTCAGGCGTTTGCTTTTAAGCCACCGTTTTGATGGTGTTTGAGGATGTCTTACTACAAGCTATTACAATGGACCCAGAAAGAGGGTGTTGCATTTAGGGGTGCCTCTATATCAGGAAACCCGCTCCAACTCGGGTTGGTATATCTTGAGTTCCCCGTAACCCACACAAAACTTGGCGGTTCCCAGCCGGTCTTGAGGCCTTTTTGGGTTTCGCGGAAGAAATTCCGTTCAACCCACTACAAGTTAGACGCGTAGCAGGGATCTAAGGACAGCCCAGAAAAGGATAGCCTCACTTACTGCAGGCGGCTCGGAGGCCTCGTGCCGGCCATCTTTGTTGTTCTTGAGCAGACATGGGGTGTGTCTCCCAATAGGCAACCCGGAAATTTGGCGCCTCTTGGGGTCAAAATGGTGTGGTTTCCTTTCGGTTTCCAGCGATTTCAATTTAGCGCAGGGTGTTTTGCAAAAAAAAGACACGCGCAGGACCCTACAAGCTGGTGGTCTTCGCGTCTCTAGCGACCAAGCCTGCTATGCCGGATATCGCGAATCATGGGTTTGAGGGCAAGGTCATCCACAGCAGCGCCTTCAAAGACCCTGTCATGCAGGACGCGAAGCCCGAGCGAAGCCCATGTGTGTGAACTTTAAGTAGTCATGCTATTTAAGTACATTTTATGGTGTGACACTTTATCTCGATTTTGGACTCAATCTGCAGGAGTTGGGCGGCTTCCATTTTGTTTGCGAGGGAGCAAGTACCGCTTGGGTGTTTTTTGTGATTGCACCCCCTAAGACGCCTTGTTTGCTCAAAGGGGAAGGCAAAACGAGCACCATGTGTTGGGGCGGCCTTTGCGCTTGAGCCTCGCCCTTGGATCGTTGAGATCCGGATCCAATGACGCCGCTAGGAGATCCTGGCAAAGAAGCAGCGGGTGCTGGTCTTGGGCGGCGGGAAGCCCGGTGAAAGATGGGGTTGGCCACCCGGGGCGTTCACTCATCGGCCCGGTTGACACGACTTATTATTGTTTTTGTGGGAGGAGGATTGGTTTTCCCTTTGAGATGTCAGCCCTCGAGAAGGTGACCAAATCTCATCCTTGGTTGGTGGCCTGGATTGGGGATGGGGACGTCACCAATCCAGGTCACTTGGGGGTAAGCAGAATATCTCCTTTGGCTAGTTTCTTCATGACTCTTTTGGAGGGGATTCGTTGTCTCTTTCAGATCAACCACTCCAACAAAGTGCCAAAATGGGTTTCGGCGAGTTTTCCCGTGGAAGATCCTCTTCAGGAAGTCGGGCTGTGACATGATCTGCACCTTCCAAAAGCAGTGCTACGAGAACGTGACCTGGCTTTTCCGGGCGCCCTACTGGTTCTTGAAAATGGAGGCGACGTTCTCCGATGGGTCGAATCGAGACCTCGCGGCTGGGTTTCAGCGGTGGTTGTGTGTGTGTGTGTGTGTGTCGTTTTAGGGGTAGCCGTTGTTAGGTTGGTTTGAACGGACACCAAAAGGAACACCGCCATTTTGGTGGTCCCCATAAAAGAAAGACACCCATCATTCCCACAAGTTGGCCAAGAAGGTTCGGATCCAACCTGGTTTAATTTGGATTACAAGCCGATATACGCCCAACCTGAATTCCCATCTGGAAATTCAACAGCCAATGGGTCGAAGGGGCACTCAGTTGAATTGGTTTGGTCTCGCTTCTCAGCATTCTTTTCCTGAGAACCGAGCAATGGGTCGTCACTCAGAAAGCGTGCCTAACCGAATTTCAGGCGGCCTTTCATCGCCGGACCCTGTTTTCGAGACTCCGAAGCTTCGTGGCAGTGCTCCTGCACCTGCTGTTCCTGATCTCGGACCAACTGGCTCTCTTCAGCCTTTGGCTGATCGGCTTCCTGGCAATGCCCATGTCCAAGGAGACCAGGATGAAACGGACGGACACGTGGTCGTGTTGTGGGGTCTCGGACCGTTGCTATGGTTGTTGCAAAGTTCAAAGGGAAGCCGCATGGAAGCCCCATGGAAGCCACACGGAAACCATCCATTTCAAAGGGCAGTGGTGCCTTCTTCGGGACCAATCCAGGTGTCAATTTCCTTTGTGGCCCCCCTGCAGGGCGCATTTCCCAGCCACTTTGACGGGCGGCGCTTTCACCAGGGCGTGCTGGACGAGCGTCAAGTTGACTTCATTCAAAGAGTTGACCCCAAGGTGGGCCAACCTGTTGAAAACAATAGACTTACCTCTTAAAAACGATAGTGCCCGCAGATGTGGCGCTGGACTTTTTCAGGTCTGTCCCGCACCACCACCCCCCCCCCCCCCTCACCCTCTTGAAAAACCCCCACCCCCCCAACCCCCCCTCACCTACGGGGGGTCCACCCCCCCCCCCCCCCTGCACAGCAAGGGGTGGGGTTTGCACCACCCCCCCCCCCCCGCAACTTTGGTACCACCACCCCCCCCCCCCCACCTTGAGCAGCTGTGCAGCTAAATCTTGGTGCCACATGTGAGCAGGGGTGCAACTAAATCTTGCTACAAAAAATCTTCAAAAGTGGCGGGCGGGCGGACGGATGTTCGAAGTGATGATTCGAGTAGAGGCGCAGTTAAAGCTTGTTGCAAAATGTACTAAGTAGCGGGGGGGTTGGGGGGGGCGGCAGCCCCCCCCATGATGCTCGAAGAAGAGCTTGTTGCCAAATGTCCTAAGTAGCGGGGGGGTTGGGGGGGCCGCCCCCCCCATGATGCTCGAAGAAGTGATGATTCAAATAGGCGTGCAATGCAACCTAGGTGGAACATCAAGGAGTGATGATTCAAAGAGGGCGGGCGGATGTTCGAAGTGATGATTCGAGTAAAAATCTTCAAAAGTGGCGGGCAGCCCCCCTATGATGTTTCAAGGGTGAAGGTGTGATGATTCAAAGAGGGCGGGCGGATGTTCGAAGTGATGATTCGAGTAGAGGCGCAGTTAAAGCTTGTTGCAAAATGTACTAAGTAGCGGGGGGGTTGGGGGGGGGCGGGAGCCCCCCCCATGATGCTCGAAGAAGAGCTTGTTGCCAAATGTCCTAAGTAGCGGGGGGGTTGGGGGGGCCGCCCCCCCCATGATGCTCGAAGAAGTGATGATTCAAATAGGCGTGCAATGCAACCTAGGTGGAACATCAAGGAGTGATGATTCAAAGAGGGCGGGCGGATGTTCGAAGTGATGATTCGAGTAGGGGCGCATCTAAATCTGGGTGCCAAATGTACCAAGTAGCGGGGAGCTGCGGTCAATCCCTGCAACAAATCTAAAAAAGCAGCCGGGGGGGATTCAAAGAGGGCTGGCGGATGTTCGAAGTGATGATTCGAGTAGAGGCGCAGTTAAAGCTTGAAGTGTACTCAGTAGCTAGCAGCAGTCGTTTCGGGTGGTCCACAGTCTTCTTCTCAGGCAAGCCCGAAAAGTGGTGACGGAAATGGAAATGGAGGGGGTGGTGGTGGTGGTTGCGTGGGTAGTGGTTGTGGGGGGGGGGGGGTGGTGGTGATCATAGTGGGCGGGGGTGGTTCTAGCATGGGGGTGGTGGTTCTAGTGAAGATGGGGGTGTGGTGGTTTCTAGTGAAGGAAGATGTGCAGGGGGGTGGTGGTGAAGGGTTGGGGTTAGACATTGAGGTGAGTCAAAGGTAAGAAGGGGGGGGGGTGGTGGTGGTGACTGGAAGCAACGCAGCGAGAGGGGGGGGGGGGGTGGTGGTGCTGACGCCTGACCTTCATGGTGATCAGGCCTGAAAAACAGGAACTCTCTTAAAAACACAACTTTTTGGGTAACATGGGCTATATGTCTGTAAAAGATTAACTTCCCCAGGGCTTGGAGTTTTAAGGGGTAAGTAGAGCACTGGTCTTTTTTTTGAAAGACACAGCGGGTCGGAGGTGTTTTTGGGTTTCAACCACGGTATAGACAACCCAGACACTCACGGTTTTCTTTTTGTGCTGTTGTTCTTTGGAAGTTTTCTTTTGTTCTGTGAATTTGGCGTGGTTTCCCTTTAAAATCAGCCACCTGAAAAGAGGATGCCCGTTGTTCTCCCAAACTCCACTCGGCTTTTGAAGAGGTTGAATCGCGTGGAGCCGAGGTGGGAGAGATCAACTGTCTCGGCAAGAAGGGCATGATCCTTGAAAGTGGCGAGGCCGGATCCAAAGACCTGACCCAATATGGGTGTGGCTCAAAAAACAGGAATTCCAAAATGGGTTGCCCTTCTAAGTGGAAACATGGGTACCAACACCCGCGGCTTAGCCCCTCCTGTTTAATTTTGAGCCACAGCCATATTATGTAACCCTTGGTGGTTTGGATTGGTGGTTTGGGGATTCGAATCTGTACAGGGTAAATTGGAAAGCCCCCCCCCAAACCACCAAACCACCAATCCAAACCATTAAGTAGAGGGAAGCTGATAGACGGGTAACCAACCGTACAACCCGCCTTTAAACAACCCAGCCACCCACCCTTCCCCACCCCTAAGCCAACCCTACACAATTCCATCGCTTGCACCAAGGGATAGCGCTTGCCCTTCGCATCCGAAAGGAACCCGGCTGTTAGAACCGATAGGGGTCACCCAACCGAAGACCGATCTATGATTAGAATCAGAATAGATATATTAAGACGTAGACATCGGAATTATGCTAAAGAGAGGAACAATACCAATGATACGAATGATACCAATGAGACGGACAGCAACAAACACAAGATCAAGACAAACATGAAGAAACACAAGACGAATAATAAGCCAAACAAGCAGAAGAAAACGAAGAAGCAGAAGAAGAAGAAGACCAATAGGAAGAAGAAGAAGAAGAAGAAGAAGAGGAGGAAGACAAAAGATGAAGAAGACAACGAAGAACAATAGCAGCAAGAAGACGCATACTCAGACAAGAACCATAGGAGAATACTAATAAGAAGGATCATAATGCTAATAACAGTAAGAATAGTATGATCAGAAGAAGCTGAAGAAGAAGCAGACGAAGCAAAGACGGAGACAAATAGGAGGAAGAGGACACATGATCACAATAGTAAGACAGAGAGGCAATGAGGAAGAATAGGATGAATAGGAAGAATAAAAGAAGACGGTGCAGACGAATAACCTGCAGCGATTAGACAGAGAAGGACCACACTAGTAATAGGAAACTCCAATTAATAAGACTTAACCCAAGAAAGCGGTGATGACGAAGAACAATAACGATGGGACAACCAAGAACAAACATGATAATAATGAGAGAAGAAAGCGAGGGACGAAGAAGACGGCGACGACAAAGACGAGGAGCAAGAAGACCAGTAACAATAATAGTGAGAAGAAGCAACAGAAGACGGATAATTATTTGAAGCCGCAAAAGCAGAATAAGACGAAGAAGCAAAAAGATAATATGACTTACAAAACATGACAGGAATAATAGCAACACTACTACTATGAATAATGCAAGTAACAATGATGATAATAATAATAGCTATGATAATGATAAGAATAATGATTATACTTAAAATAGCAACGGCAACAACAGCAATAGCAATAGCAACAACGACGACGACGGCGAAGGATGATGACAACGACGACGACAGCGACGACGATGGATGATGATGATGATGATGATGATGATGATGATGATGATGATGATGATGATGATGATGATGATGATGATGATGATGATGATGATGATGATGATGATGATGATGATGATGATGATGATGATGATGATGATGATGATATTATAATGATGATGATGATGATGATGATGAGGATGAGGATGAGGATGAGGATGATGATGATGATGATGATGATGATGATGATGATGATGACGGCGGCGGCGGCGGCGGCGGCGGCGGTAGTAGTAAACATAGTGTATAACAATAATGATAATCCTAGAAGGAACTGCCATGAACCTGCTACTATCACTCGTAACAATGAAACCGATACTAGTAACAATGATAAACCACTGCAGAAGACAAGGACAGAGATAAATAGAAATGACGATTATCATATTATCCAAATTCGTTAAGAGGACACTAGAAAAGGGAACTAGAAGAAGAAAGCCAACACAAAGAACAGTAGTCACGGGTTCAGCCAGGTCATTCCCTGCGACGTGGTGATTTGTGCCACTGGATACGAGACTGGGTTTGACCAACTTCGGCTGCTCAAGGACGGGGTTTCCTCCAATTCCCTTTCTGGAGAAATTCCAAACGTGGGCAGTTTCAAGCTAGGCAATTGCAACTCTTGGGGACATCAAAAACTCCCAAAGGTGGCAGTTTCAAGGCTAAGCTTCTCAATTGCAACTTTCGGGGACATCCAACCCCTGAAGGATGGGGTTCCCGTGGATGTCCGCAACTCCCCGCTGTATCACCACGCCATCATCCCGAGCTTCCCTTGCCTCCTGAGCGCCACTACGGCGCCTAAGCCGTTGGGGTCAAACATACGCCAGGGCGGAGGTTTTGGTCCTTTCCCATCCAAATTTTGTGTACCTGTTTCTGACCCACACCCAATTGAAAGACTTGGGACCGACTTCTTTGCGTGGACATGAATCCCCAAAACATGCTCGCTGAGGCCACCGCATCCATGAAAAACTTACCCAAGTGCCCACAACTTCTGAGAGGTGAGCGGTGACAGAAGTGTCAGCCTCGTATGGATCGAGGTAGTTCACTCAATCCGTCTATCGTAGTAGTCCATCACTCAATCAATCCATCCGGTTCACTCATTCCGCTAGTCTCTCAAGACCTGCGGAATTGCAATGCGTCTGGTTCAGCTCTATAAAAACTTTGGGCCGCAGAATCGAACGCCCCTGGTGCATTTACCGAATGTGTGTGCTCAAAATGTGCCAAGAACCAGGCGTGGATGAACCTTTGTGTGTCACCGCGGAGGTTTCTTTTCTTACTTTGGGGGACCCGCCAAAACGTAGAGGGGTTTCCTTTATCTTCTTTGAACATCGAAAAAGGGTACCTCAAGAAATATCCATGTGAGATTGGGTCAACATATGAAATCGTCAATCCACTTGGTGTTGAGGACATGGGGGCCTCACACAATCTCCCACGGGAAAATAGGCGTTGTCCCAGCCAGCAAGAAGCCCTTCTGATTCTTTGCCATGGGTAAAAGGGGTAGACCCCTTCACTTCCAAGTTTTGCTTTGTTGGGGACCCAACAAATCGGACACCATGCGGAGTCGCGCACATAGCTCGGAGTCTCTTTTCCTTCCACTGTGTCCTCCTGGCGACTGGCGACTGAGGCCTTCTATCATTTCGGCCCGATCCGGGGGCTGACCTTGGCGCAGTACATCTCCTACTATCTGAACGAGCGACCAAGTGCTGAGATCATGCTGCTGGACGGCATGGGGCGTTGAATGCCTTTTGCCGTTCGCCCTTTTGAAAGCAACTCCTCATCGTGGTTCGGGTTCGAAAGCATCTCCTTCTATGTTATAAGGAGCCGTGAGCACGGGATCTCAAGTTGGAGCCCAACTTCGAAACGCCTTTCGGCGTTTCGATGCCTGCGCCCATTGGCTCCTTTGGGCTGTCTTTCATTTGCCCGGGCGACTAGGCCACAGCGCGCATGCAAGGGCGAAGCCAATGTAGGCAATGGTCTTGTGCGGGCTTCACAAATTTTCAGCCACAAAGCCAATGGGGCGAACTTCAATTCTCCCATGTCCTCTTGGGGAAACAAGTGGCACATGTGGGCGTTTCGCTTGACCCCTGGTTTTGGAAATAGTCGCAACACAGCGGATGTGCGCCCATCGCACATGACCCTTGGGCATTGGGTTTCGCCGGCCGGGCCCAGGCTCCCGTCTGCGCAGCGGAATTGGTGCCGACAAAGCCCCAGCAGGTGCTTCCTCTTCGGCGCCTGGGCCAAAGTGAGACCCAGAGACTTCGGTCAGGGAAGCCAAGGGATACAGGGGGAGCCAGTTGGATATGGTTGAGGATTCCCCCGTTTGATGCACCTTGACTTTAAGTTTGATATATATGGGATATGGCGCCAAGGGAATCCCCCCATATCCCCTCTCCCTCCGTATCTCCGCTAGTTCGCTTGTTCAATTTGGGAGCCTCGTGTTGCATGCCTTTTTTGGAGAAAGCGAGCGCCCTTTTCTGCCCGCGCTGTTGCAGCCAGTCCCTATTCCCTTTGGGCATTTGTTGGGACTTGTTTCGCGCTGGTGTTGGTGTAGTTTGGCGCAATTGCACACATGTCGAATACCGCTATGTGGTATACACATGAAGACATGGCCAGAGCTTCACTGCATGAGACTGGGAGCATTTGTTCTGCTTGGGAAAAGCATCGATAACCTCTTTGATGTGCAGTGTTTACGCACGCAATACGTACGCAACACATACACATCTTGGCGCGCACGAGACGTACTACACATATTGCGTATTGACATTGTTTGGACATACACCCATCGACACACATTTACACCCACACGCGCACATTCTGGCCGCTCTGTATTCAGCCCGCTCAAAAAAGAGCTCAGCGGCATTTTCATTTGAATAAAATCTTGCTTCAAGGGCGCAGGTCTTTCCAATGTCGTGGCGGTGAGCTTGACAGCGTCTTGGGGCATCGTGTTTCTAGCAACCGCCGCTACCCACGAACTTCCTCACTGCCTTTGCAGGTGGAACTCGATTTGCCAGGCAGAGCGCCTGCGACGATCCATTTCATCGGAATCAGATAGAGTTTGCTTGCCGGGGCGTGGCGTGCAAAAGCTCCTGTGTGGCGAGAGACGCGAGAGTCCTCCTAAAGCACGTGCCATTTGGGCAGATGGCTCCGTCTTTTCGTCAGATTTGGCCCCGCGATCGCCAGAACTCCTGACTTAGAGGCGCAGAACCCGAATGCTGACGAGGCGCTGCGCTGAGAGCGTGGAGACTTGCTACAAACCCGGCGCTGAGGACTCAAGTCGGACACTGTTGGCGTGCAAAACGCGTTCTGGCGCTTGACGCAATCGGCGCTCTTCTTTTTGGCCGCTGCTTCACGAGACTTTGGACAGGGTGCGTTTCTTCACGCAGCTTCTCTCGCGGTCGGCGCTTGGCGCCGACCCCGCAGCGGACCGCGCTTAGTGCCGGCGCCGCTGGCTGCGCGGAATGGCTCCTCCATGCCAACTCTTCCAGGTTCCGGCTGGAACGACCTAGCAAGCGTGGCGCGGAGTCCGGATCAATGAGGAAAGATTCTTTGTGTCCGGTCGTCAAAAGATGGCTTGCATTTGCTTAGGTACTTTTTCCCCCTTGTTGGTTTTACAGGGAACTCATCACTACTGGACATATTTCTTTCCTATTTCCAGTAAAACGTGCGCGCACCCAGACAGTCGTAGGCGTACACAAAAGTATGCTACAGACAGGCACATTGTTTTCAAATATGCGTTTCTAGATGCGGACTAAAAAAAGACAGGTCCTTGGCAACAAACGGACGGAGGTTTTCGCAGGGCCACCCGGCTTGAAATTTGCGATGCGCCATGTCGCACATTCCGAGTGCTGCGGTGAGCTAAGTTCAGCATATGAGCATATGGACGTGGATTCTGCGTCGTGAGTTGCCAGGCACAGAGGCAGAAGATGATTCCAGCCGCAGGGAGCGGCTTTCGATTGGCGGATCTCCCCTGATATCAAATGTGCAGTTTTCCGGGGCTTCTAATGGGCTATACAGCCACTAGCCACGAAAGAAACGCCACCTGCTACTGGTCACTAGCCACCAACCACTGGCCACTGTTCCTTTGTTTGTTGGGTGGAAACCATCCGAAACGCCCCACCATCTTTCGACCTCGTGGCTTAATCTTGAGGTTCATTCTCAAGGATTCACCGAGTGCCAAGTTCATACAGCTTTCAATGGGAAGAGCCAAAGGGAAGCGCCGAGTATTGGACTTCGAATTCCGAGAATTGGAATTTGGGCCTTCCAAAAGTCGAATCGCTCGGCTTTGAGGAAGCGACCAGATCTTCATCCGGGAGTTCTTGCTGATGATGCTGGACTTTGTCCGGGGCGGGATCCTGCCGCTGAGCCTTGGCTTTGAAGAGGTGTAGGACAAGCGCCCACCCATTCACCAGGCCAAGAAAAGGTTCCAGCGCCTCATCTTATGATGGTGCTTACAGCAAGGCCTAGATAAAGCTGTACAGGGTTGTGGGACCAAGAGATTTATCCCCACTTCTGTGGTACAAGGGAATCTTCCCCCCCTTTATATCGGGGGTTTGTCCTTGGTAAGGCTTTTTTGTTGTATCACAGAAGTGGTCATTTCCCACAGCCCTGAACCTGTATAACTGGGCTGGTAGAAGCATCACAAGGCTTTGGGCGCCTTACGTGGCTTCCTCGGAAATTTCTTCGTTTCGAGGTCCATCACCAAAGCTTCCCCTGGTCTTTTTTGCAACCACCGAAACGGCCGGCCGCTTCGCCATTTGAGACTTAACCAAAGCCCCATTCTCAATGTACAAGGCGGGTGTACCCTCCCAAATAAAACGTGGAGCCTCACAGGTCCCTTTAAAAGGGAAAAAAAGGTCTCCAGGACCGCCCGAAACGTCAGGTTCCACGTTGATTGCTGGGAGGGTGGGTCCCCAACACGAACGGAGTCATGTCCTTTCCGGAGAAATTGTCGGGGACGCGGCACAAAGTTTGCGGCCAGGACAACATTGGTGTGGTGGGTTCTGGAGCTGTACGTGGGTGGCGCATACAAGCCGCTGGAGTTGTCTGTGGGGAAGAAAGCTTGGAGCTGAGAGGCGTTGAAGAAACGATACGTAGGCGGAGAGCCAATGGCCCATTGGCCACTGCAGGGTGCAGAATGCACATCTGCTTGAATTGCTTGATTGTTTTTTTTTTCGCATCTTTGCGATGGTATTGCTTAGGCATAGATGTTTTGCATGCAAAAGCCAGGTTGCTGACTACATGCATCCTCTGTGCAGCTCGATTATTTGTAGATGAGCATTTGTTGTAGATTAGATAAGCATTGTGGGTGGGTCGATTGCGGTTCCTCATTTTAAGACGCACCCTCATTTGTAGATGAGCATTGTGAGAGACACTGCGATTCGAGCCAGAGTTGGAAAATTGAAGAGTTGCTTTCCCGTGCTTCAGTGCAACATGCTCTTGAACTAATTGAGGCCTCTTTGCCGCAAAACTGCCAATCCCCGAAGCAGCCCCCCAAGAAGGATCCCCAGAGAAGGCCGAATGCTTTCAGCGCTTACACAACCTGCAGTCGTCCGTAAAGAGAATCGTTGCAGAACCAAATCGCCACGACCCCTGAGCGCGTTTTTTGCCAAAGTGCATGAGATCTTGAGAGGGGTTGTTTGTCTGTGGGTCACAACTATGTACCCAAAATGAATCCTGGTAAATGGACACATGGAGCGGTCCCCTGGTGGTTTAATTTTGACCCATAACCATTTCAGAGGTTTGGCGACCTTTTTTCAGCTCAGCGCCCCTTTAAAAAGGGCGAGTGACCTGCTGCCACGACTTGGTTGCGGATCAGTTCTGGCAATGACCTTGTTTGGCGCCATCAACTCGCTCGAGAGATCCGAAAAGGTTTCGCGTTCATTTCGCATTGGCGCCAAAGGCCAGCAATGAATGGCAAGAGCTTTCGGCCATCTTTATGTGAATCAGGTTTGGGTTGTTTTTTGACATCGATCACTTTTGAGAGTATTGTTCTTGCTGTGAATGAGGTATGAGTTGTTTTTTGTTATGTGCCCCTAGCACATGGCCAGTCCCATTGCACCACTTTGCTGCCCCAAGCCAAATCCGTTCCTGAGCATGCCGGCACAAATCCAGTTGCCCGGAGAGTCTCAAGAGGACATGCCCAACCAACAGGCATGAACGCGCGCTGTCCTTTTGGAAAGGCTTACTGTGCACTTCCACATTTGTTGGTGCGAGGGTAAACACCAAAGGATTGTGTTTGAAGCTTGCTCGGTCATTTTGATCAAGGGCTGACTAGCCAACATATCAGTCAGCAGGCGCACCATTTCCTGGATGTCTTTGTTCTTTTGCGTTGACCATGGGGACATAATTATAATTGTGTCCCACACATCGTGTCTGCCGATTTTATAGCGAGCTCATCTGGGGGTATAACGAGCTCATGATACAGGTTCTTTACTGGGGGATCCCTTAATTCAGCTTTTGGAATGGTAAACATTGCAGACTCGTTTTGGGGATCCCTGAGTTTAGTTTTCAGCTTGGTTGCTCTTCTTGGAAGCACTGGAACTCTCGCCGGCCGCTTGCCATTCGTTTGAGGACAAACCATTTGGACATAGAGAGCGTGGAGGCGCTCATCGACGCGCTGAAGAGGCGCAAAGCGAGGTGCCACAAGAACCCGATGGATGAATCCAGCTTGTGGATTCGGGGAGTGCTTCTCAATCCTAACGGGCGGCACTGAAAGGGGTTCAAAAAGGGAGCCGGCCATCTTGATAAGGATTCAGAGAGGGTGGGTGATTTTTCAGGGTACCCTATTCAGCTTGATGTGAAGCCACAAACACCCAACTTAGGTCCGAATCAGCCAGGTTTCTTTTGGAGGGTACCATTTTCAGCTTGACTAAAAGGAAAACCCCAAGCCCATTTCGTTCCAAGCCAAGCTGAGAGCAGCCAGGTTTCAAGGCGGCCTGGTGCTCGTTTCCCACGATGCCAGGCTGATCAAGGCCGGAAAGGTTTGCATGCTTTTGGTGCCTACCAACTTGGCAGTTCGCCATCTGGTTTCTTGGACTCTTGGCCATGGGTCAGAACCTACGGCGATCCCATTTTGGGGCGGAACACCCATGTACCACCTATTTTGATGTTCACCAAGGGTGCAGGGTTTTGACCCACAGCCAGGTGTTTGGGGCTTGGACGCATATCCCACGGAAAGTTGAAATCTCTTCTCCAGGGAAGCGAAGCACGTAGCCTATGTGGCGCTTCGTACGCGAGGATTCCAACGAAATATGTGGCGCGAATGGGGATCGAAGAAAGTCCATGAAGGAAGGCTGAGAGACGAGCCCAGGCGATCTTGGACGTCACAACAATAATTGAATCCTGGAGCTTTTGGTGGCATCGTGTTGATGTGGATGAACCACACTTCAGGAGTACATTGTGTCAAGATAGGGGAACCCGCCCCCCCCGGCCAAGTGATTGGATTGCTCCGTCCTGAGCCCAATGTGCGGAGCCTGGTGAGAAGCTCCGGTCCTTCTCGGATCTGTTGCGAAACTTGTGTTTTACCACATGCTGATACCTCAGGTGACGGTGTTTCGGGTGATTTCGGGCTTTGGCAAAGCACGCCGCTCTTGCCTTAACATGATGTGACCTGACACTTCCTGATGTGATGGTTCTCACACTCGCTGGACAGCCAAACGGCTTGCGAACCTAATGCCAGCAAGCAGCAAAGCTGCTGCGAGTGAACGAATAAAGCAAACGCAAACCAGCTAACGCCACGAGCGCTACCGTGCGCTAATGCTTCGACAGCGCGAAGCCCCCCAAAATCAAAAGCAACAACAGCAACAACAGAACAAACACACAAAACAAAAACCTAGAAATGGAAAAGCAAGACTCTGGACATTAGCATCATGGCCATCTCTGCTGGTTTGCTGGGCTAGGCACGGTAGTGGAGCTTCTGCACCGCTCCCAGCGGGTGCGAAGCGCAGGCCTCCGGCTGCGACCTTTGGGCTTGCAGCAAGGGCGAGGCGTTGGCGGCCTCAGCGCGTTAAGGGCACAGGTGTTGGGGAGGAAGCTTCCGGCGGGTTTGGGTGGGCGCAATGGAATTTTCGTAATTAGGATTCAGTATTGAAGAGGGTGATTGATGGTGAGCTTAGGTTGGGTGAACTTGATTCAGGTCAGCTGGGTTGGGTCGTAGGATTCAGCATTTAAGTTGCTAATTTGATGGCGAGCTTAGCTTGAACTAGATTCAGGTCTCGGCTGTTTTGGCTGGCTTTAGTGGCACTTTGCTCCGAATTTGCTCCTCGCCCAGGATCGCCAAGGTTAGCAGCTTCGAGGAATACAAAAGGCGGGGCTGCATTTTTTCACCAGGCGTCTCCTTGGTGAGCTGCTGCTGTTTCAGGTGAGCCACAATCAAAACCCGGGTAGACGAAGGTTAGTAAGGGACGATCCCAACCATAACTTCTTAATCCTGTACATGGTTCTGGGATTACGACCATTTTAGTACCAGGTTTTGATTGCGACTCAGGTTGCCTTCCAGTAAGGACAAGACGAGTCCCACAGCACCCACGCCACTCTCTGATTTACCCATACATGAATGTCCGCCCCAACCCTCGAAAAATGGGGAGGCGAAAACCCCGAAATTGTGGTGTTCCGTCTGGTTTCCCTTTCTATCCCTAAAAAGGGTCCCTTCAAAAATGTACATTTTAGGGGGCCCCCCCCCCAAATTGATGTGTTTTTCTGAGATGTCTTTGCTTGCTCATCTCGGGACCGTTCAGAAAGCACTCAAAACATGGTGGGTTTCCCTTTAAAGCCATTGGAAAAAGGGGAACCCCCGCAAAAGGTGGGACCCCATCTTGTGGTTTTCCTTTGGGTTTCCCTTTTTAACAACCCCAAAAAGGCACCTTTGTGGCTGGCTATCTCGCCGCACAGGCAAGTGCTGGCCGAGCTGCGGCGTCGACAGGCGGCGGCCGAGCAGGAGGCATGGGAGGGGGCCCATGTGTGTGGAGGTGTTTTGGTTGATACCTACCTTTTTTGGGTTGGTTGAAAGGGGAATGAGTTTTAGTCAAGTTGTTTGCTTGAAAAAGTATTTGGTTTATTTGGGAGGGATATAAGGGAACAGCTAGCTCTAGCTGCCCTCACAACCAGAGGACGAGCCCTAGCGGAAACCAGGATCGAGTGGGGGCAGAGACCCCAGTCTCGAGTCAACAGCTTCACAGCTCTTATGGGATTGGCATGTCGACCGCCGAGCAGTACAGAGGTTTATCCGTACAGCGATATGATCTAGCCTGGTAGATGTGTGTGTGTGTGTGTTTTCGATGAGACCCCCTTTTTGGAGCACAGTTTTGGCCCCCCCCCAAAATCAAAAAAGGACACCCAAATCATCCTGACCGCATGAATTGGCCGTTCCCAGGCCGCCGACCATTTGTTTGAGTCTTCCACCTCGATGTCTCCTCACGCCTCTCCCTTTATTTGGCAACCTTAAACGGGTCCTAATAAATGGGTTTCAGCGAAGTACCAAAGGACCGTCATGCGTGTATCGTCCTGCACCCACTTGTTAGCAGCCATTTGGGTCACCCAAGTGTAACCCGCCACTTTCTGCAAAGGAGGCGGCTTGAAACTTTCGGGCAGAGTGCTTTTGGGGACGCCAGGGTTGGGTGCCAGGTTTGAACAACCGGTGCCCGCCCGCCTCTAAAGGGAAGCCTGCAGCCGGTGCAAGCAACAGTGGTTTGAACCATAGCTGCATTTGAGCACCTATTGGACGCCCGGAGTTTGTTTTGGGGTGCCCTGTTTCTCTTCCCCTTTCCCCTTTTCGGGCCCACAAATTGGAACAAGGGTACCCGGTTTCTTTCACCCCCTCTTTTTGGGCCCATGAAACATAAGGCAAGACGGAGGTCGAACAGCCGTGCGCCACAAGACGCGGGTCCCCAGAGACCGCTCCGGCACCAGGCGGCCCGGAGGGCCAAGGAGCGGCAGCGCCGCAGAGCCGCGGGCCAAGCCTTCCCAGAATTGGCTCCCCTTTTTGTTGGTGTTTGGCTCTTTTGGGGTCCCCTTCTTTTTTGTTGTTTTCCACGAATCAGGCAAACAAACAAAAGTTGGCGGTGTCCCAATTCCAGCCAAGAGTGCTGAGCTTTATGACCCCCTACAGGGTGCTTTTCTTTGTTTATTTGTTGAGAACTTCAGCTACCTGAGGGGGCAGACTTTGCTAAAATTATGAGGCCATAGTGATTTGCTGGAGGGAAGGGACGCAAGGCGAGGGGCGCCTGTATTTCATATTGTCCCTGATTCCAGGCTGCGAGGCGTTCTGCCACGCAAAGGCTTACCTGGATTCAGTCCCGAGCGCCATGGAATTTTGGGACACGCCGGTTATTTCAGTGTAGAAATCCTTGGTTTTACCTCTTGGCTCATGTCAGAAGTCTGCCACGTGCTTTGCCTCAGGCCCAGACGTTGGCAAGGCGCAAGTGACGGCAAAAGTGGATGCGGCGCGAAGGCTTATTAGGGTCTCCTTTTTTTGGACTCAAGGCAGCACCAAACGTCACCATCCGACCCCCTTTGGTGTGGCTGCTTTGCATTAGGAGCTTGATGAACTCTCTTTCACGGCTATTGACAGGCCTCTCCCACTTTCTCCGCGCACGCATTTTGAGGCTATATGTGATGCAGCCACTTTTGGCCGGAAGAGCTTCGTAGAAAATACATACGATACGCGGATCATGGTGTGAAGGACTTGTTTCGTGCAGCTCAGACAGCACTGGCCCATGAATCGGACAGCATGCAGAGTCCAAGCAGCATGAAGTTTTGTTTTTTCTTAACTAGATGCCCAGAGAGTGTAGAGCTTAATGCCAGGGAGCATTGCCTTCAATTGGGCACACCAATTGAAGAGGCCAGGGTGGCTGGGACTTCCACTCCCAGCCAGCGTGGCCGAATGGCACCTCTGCTCACACCCGCATTCGCTTTGCCATCCCTGGCGGTCGACTCTCGGACGGAGATCGACTGGGGGAGGTCCATGGGGGTTCTGAGCTGGTGTTGCATGCATTTTGACTGCCTTGCATGATTTGAGCAGATATGGCTGTGCGTTAGGGAATCTCTTTAGAGTGGTTGTACATAGTGACATTTACCGAAGGGTGCTTTCAAACCCATTCAAAACCTGGGTCAAAATCAAACCACCAGGGGACCGCAGGTTTTAGTCCTTGGTTCCATTTACCAGGGCAAGCCATTTGGGGTACATATGTTTGACCCGCAGCCATGTAATCGTATTGCCATACCGGGCACTGGGACTAAGGACTTGCCCTTGGACGATGCCATCGCCATCTTGAAGAGGCCGTTGGCTTGACCAAAGCAAGGGACCACAAATGCGGGAGCTTTGCATTTGTGGAGGAGGAAATGTGATTCCTCAGCGTTAAAAGTTGTGGGATGACCCACTTCATTACAAGGGCTTTCCACAAACACAGAAAGCGGATGGTTTTAAAGGGCGCCCCTTTTTGGCTTCCGGCTTTGTGGTAAGCCCTGTAGTCTTTGGCATGTAGTAGTTAGTAGGCTCGTAGTTCTTCACTCGGATGTGGCTCCCAAGCAATCTCCTCACTTTCTCATTTCAAGGAAATAGGATTATATTGTTTCTCTCCAGATCAACTTGGAACCCAAAACAAGGTTCCTCCGCAGATTCCTCGAAAGCGGATTCGCTCTTTGGGGGGTCCGTGCCGGGCAGATCTCGAGCATCCGCTTGCCATTGGAGGCGCCAGGTGGGCTACCAGTCCACTCCAAACCTGCCTCCTGCAAAGGAGCCTGAGAAGGACCTTCGGGCTTTAGCCTTCCATTTAGCTGAAAAGACTACTGAGTTTACTTTCCCTGGTTGGTTTATATATATATAGAGATGTATGTATGTATATATATATATATACATATATATATATATATTAGGTATACATATATATATATATATATATACATATATATATATATATATATATATATTTCCCTTGTTGGTTTTAAGGGGAATCGTCACTACTGGACATATGTTCTTCTTTTTTCTTAGGGGGCGAAACAGCAAATGGATCTAACCTAGCACCTGTGTACCTGGAAGATCCATGTCCACAAGGGGTGCCATTGATTTGGAAAGGTCTGCATCAGCTTGAGGCTTCCGGCGGATTCCAGCTTTAAAACCAACAAAGTGCTTGGCCCGCTGGCCTGTTCTGAGGCCTCAAAATCCGCTGAGGTTTCGGTTTGCCCTTGGCTCCTCAAAAAACGCCCATGGTTGTGGTCCATGGAGACCCAAAATCAGGGAAGCCGTTGGGTGATTTTGATTTGGGGCTTGTCCCATGTGAGACATGGACGCCGTGTCACTTGGGAAACCGAATAGGAATCCAACAGGTTGGACTTAAATCCAGGATGGCACTGGTTTAGATGGGTTCCACTGGTTTTGATGGGTTGTGTGCCATCCATTTACCAGAAAACAAAATGCACATTGATTTTTCCATGACACCTATGGACTCACCTATGAACTCACCTATGAACTCACATGGACCACCCCACCCCGCCCCACCCCACCCCAAATAGCTTCGGTTTTTCCTCTCGTCCCCAAACGGATCCCATCGCTTTCGAAGCCAACGGCCGGTGCCGCGTCGGAGGACTTGGCGCTGTCCACAGCCTCGTTGGCCACCACCGCCACCAGCTCGCCGCGGACCTTGAGGCAGGTTTGCCAAAAGGGCGGTGGGTTTGAGGGGAGGGCGGGGCTGAATTTTGGGTGGGTTTGGGGGGGGAATGTTGGAGAATGTTGCGTGGGTTTGGGGGGGATGTTGTGGTTTGGGGTTGGGGGGGGGGAATGTTGGCTGCGTGGGGTCTCCTTTTTTCTCTAAGACCCAACAGACAAGGGTGGCCTCAAGAACAGGAACACCTAGCAAGTGGGCTAGAACCATAGCTTTCAGCGGAGACAACCCAAAGGAGTGCCCAAAACCATGATTCGTCGAATTTGGCATTGGGACCCTTCTTGCAGTTCCTGGAATCCTAAAATGGGGACTCACCCCATTCCTGGGGTGCGTGTTTTTGTTTGCCACCGCATCGTTGAAGGGGAACAGGGGAGTCTGCAGAGTCCTGGTTTCATCCATTTGCTGAGAAGACTACTTGTTTATTTTTCCTTGTGGGTTTTTAAAGGGAAACGGTTTCGCTGCGGCCGGTCCGGGGGTTCTTTGTGCCACCTGTCGCAGGCTGCCGAGAAAGTTGCAGGCCGGGATGGGGGGATGGCAGAGGACCGTTCTCAGGACTCAAAGCTGTCTCAACATCGGGATTTGGAACCCCAAACTCCTTGAATCAAACATGAAACGAGGCACCAACGAAACAAAACACACAAACACCCACACAGAGAGAATGCTGCGACGCGTAGAGTTTGGGTTGCATAGTTGCATAATCGCACTGATGGTTTGGAGGGGTTTGCCACGCCCAAGCCGCCCGGATTTAGCCGAGGTCAACACAACCGGGCTCCTTCTAAAACCCGACATGGTCATCCGCCATGATTGGACGCAGAGCATGCAACTTCACAGCAACCGGGCCCTGTCCACCTCAGCCAGGGGGGGGGGGGGCCTTTTGAGGCGTCGGCGAACTGGAGCGCGTCCACCACGCTCCCGGACCGCATTCTCACGGAGGGAATCCAGCCATGGGTCAAAAGGCAGGGAGTTCCCTGAAAACGTTTTGGGACGGAGCCCTAGCTTTCAGCAGCTTGCCTGCTTTTGCCTAGGTCCAAAACCTGCAATCTGGCCAAAATCCCCAGCAGTTGGGGGGTGCTGGACAGAGTCGGTTTGCTTATGCAGCGCGAGGCCAGGAAAGAGGTAGGGTGTAGCTCCAGCCTTCTGACAGGGCTCGCATGCTTGGCCCCGGCTGTTGTCACGGTCACTTTGTTGCGAGCATTTTGAGGCTGAGCATTCCGCAGATTGCAGTGCAGCACGTCAAGCAGCAGCCAGGGGCCTAAGAATGCTCAGAATTCAGAGAGCATGGCCTCACTCTATGGGTCCTGACTCGCTTTGTGGGAAGACCATTTGAGTGGCACACAACAAGTTTGTTTCTTGCCAATCAAGTCAGGAAGCGAGCAGCACTTGGCGTCACACAGGGGCAGACCAGCGACTGATGCCCTGGGCTTCTATGTCACAGAACACGTGACAGAGATGCCTCACTGATAGCCCTGGTCTAGAAAACGCTTGGTGATCTTGGTGTGAATTGCACTGAACCAGTTGAACTGGCTTGATTTCAGTTTGGGCGACGAATCCAGTCTCATTTTGGCCATGGATCCGGCCATGGATCCGCTTGCTGGTTTCGCCTCGTCTGCGCTTTGCTTCCGAGGCGTGCCCACATACCCAAGGATCCCAAGGATCCGAAGGCGGGACTTTCCCACATTTTTTGAGGTCCGGTGGGTTTGCCACACGGATGTCCGTTTTCCTTGTGGTTCGGTTTTATGAATTTGTTTTTTGGCAGGGAGACGGAATCGCTGGCTGAAAATGGTCTTATGACTTGAAATGAGCCGTCGCCTTGAACTTCGTGGTTTCCTTCTGGAAAGAGTAAGAGAAACACAGTGCCAAGAACCCGGAGTTCCCTCAATTTGGGGGCAACATAGGGGCGAAACGGGCCAATGAAAACGTTGGCAACCGCCTTGCTCTCAATTTCATGGTCCCTACACATTCCCTTTTGGCCGTTCTGAACATCACCTGTGTGGCCGTGGCTAGGGATGTTTTTGCTGGGCCCCTGAGGCCCATGTGGATGGCTCGTCTTGATACAGGGGAACCCCCCTCAACAAAAACCAACAATTGGATTCGATTTTGTTTGAAGGGTTGTTCCCCCCAAAAAAAGACAACATAGCCCCCAGATTGCGAACAACTGCACCGGCACCCCAAACTGCATGCCCCCTAGCACCCTGCCCTCAATCTTGCAAAAATGCGCACGCGTCGTCACCTCCAGCACCCCGAACAGCACCCTGCCGTCAATCTCAAAACAGCACCTGCCACACTGCATACCCGGCCGGCAATCTCGCAAAAATCGCCCGCACCACCTCAAACAACCCTGGACCAGCACCCCAAACTGCATGCCCTTAGCACCCGGCCGTCAATCTCGCAAAAATGCGCCCACTTCAAACAGCACCACAAGCAGCAACCCAAAACAGCACCTGCACCAGGACCCTCAAATCGCATGCCTGTAGCACCCTGTCGTCAATCTCGCAAAAATGCGCCTGCACCGTCACCAGCACACCAAAACAGCCGCACCAGCACCCCAATCTGCATGCCCCCTGGCACCCAGCCCATCAATCTCGCAAATCACTTCCCCCTTATTAGAAGTTAGAACCCCCATAGCTTTCGCCTATCAGGGGGAAAAAGACCATTGGACTTTGTGTTGTTTTGATTTGCAACAAGGAAGGATTGAATCAAACAGCTTTTTGGAAGAAAACAGTGTTTTCCTTCCAGTTCCAAAAGGTGCAGAAGGCGGCCAAGCTGCCCAAGCTGCTGGCCAAGCCGCGCACCCGCCGCCCGTTCGCGAAGGTCGAGTGGGTGGGCCTTTGGTCGGTGAAGGTCAACGTGTTTGGCGGATTAACCCGTTGTGAGCCAAAGGGAAAGCCAAAGGGAGAAGCGTTTTCTTGGGAAAGCAAAGCGAAAAGCATTTAAAAAAGATAAAAATCTAGGGGTACCTTCGATGTTTGTTCTTTCCAGGGAAGCTTGTTTGTAGAAAACCTCCGGAAACCCAGGGAAAGTGGCTGGTTTTTGAGAAAGAAAGATGGTCGAATAGAATGGTGAATCAACCCCTAGAGCTTTGCCATGTTGTGGACATCAAAAAAAGACAGCCACATGGAAAACCTAGGGTTCAACCCCCTATTTCAAATGGTGCAAAATATATAAACCCAATTGAGATGAAGCTCCAAAAGCAAAGAACGGTGGTTACACTTGCCCCCATGGTTTCAACTCGTGGCAGTCTTCCAAAGTCGCAAACCACGCCCAAGGAAAGCAACGCACTCTCTGCTGACAAATGAAGCAGTCTCGATTCGCTATCACCCAGGCTTTCTTGGAACGGAAGCGCATTCTGACGACAGACACATGTATTCCCTTCTGATCCTTCACAGAGAGTTGACACTGGCTTTTGGCAATGTCTCATTCCAGCTGAGTTTCCCTTCAGGTTGGGTGAATCGACGTTCAGTCATGGGACTTTTACCCACGTTTTCTCAACTCTTGGTTTCCCGAGAACCAGCTTTCAACGTACGTTTTGCAGGCTTAACCCGAAGATTAAACAGCCAGCCGCCTTGGTCCATCTTTTTGGTTGCCCTAGCATGACTCAAGCCCTTTCAACCATTGAGTCAAGCTTCCACCACCCTTCTCAGTATCGTATCCCTGCCGTTTTCCCTTTGGTTTCCCTAAAAACCTCCGTGGCAACCACCCTTACCCCCCCCCCCCCCCCCCAAATAAATGGGCAAATCAAATCTGGGGTGCCCTCTTCAACAACTCTGGGAACCTGGGAGCCTGGGAACCCGGCACTGACACCATCTAAGGCCCCCAATGGTTCCCAGAAATTCTGGGCGCACAAACACCTTACCACCACAACTTCTGGGCCCGAAAAGGAAAACAAAAATAGAATAAAATCTGTGTTTCTTTTTTTTCCACCCAACAGCTGAAAGCTTTGGGGTCGATGAGCCCAGATAGGCTCCGGGGTGGTCCGGGGCAGCCCACAGGGAAGGTTCCACGAGGGTTCCGCCAGGGTTCCACGAGGGTTCCACAAGGTTCTGCGAGGGCTGAGGGGTGGTGCGAACACTAAAAAGAGCATGGCATGCTGTTGGGGATATCCCCTGAGCTTATTTTTTTTTAATCTAAAGAACAGATAGACTCCGAAAAAAAGAAGAAGAAACAAAGATCTAAACTTAAAGGGTCGAGAACCCCGGCCGAGCAAAGCGAGTTCCGAGGCGAGTCGTTTGGGCCGCTGCCGCAGGGCTGGCGCCCCTCCTCGCGAGGGCAGACGGTGTCGCGGCAAGCCGCCGCCGTGCGGGGCCCTGGAACGGGCGAAGGGGTGGGTGGGGTGGGTGGGGTGGGGTGGTGAGGGGTGGGGTGGGTGGGGTGCGTGGGGTGGGGTGGGGTGGGGTGGGTGGGGGTGGGGTGGGGGGGGGGAATTTGGTGGCCAAGTTTTTGTCTGGGTGTAATTGTTTTTGAGGTTGGACCCCCCAAAATGGATTCGGATTTCCGTTCGGTTTCCCTTTGAAAAACAAACATGGGTAGCCTGAGAAAAAATGACGCATCCACAATGGGACGTGAAGTTAAATCTGCAGGGAAGCGAAACGGAAATCCGTTGAGCCCCATCTTTTGTTTGGGGGAACCCCCGATTTTCATGGAGGACAATATTCAGGACATGTGCAAAATGGCCCATGCTCGGGCTCCTCGTAGGAGGTTTGGTTCCGATTGAAAAGCAGCAGCGCTCAAAAGGGGAACCAACAGGCGGTGTTTTACCTGGCCCCGTGGTCATTGCCCTGAGGAGTTGCTGAATGGGGGCTACCCATAAAGTGGGGTCACGTCCTCAAAACCCGGATAGATGAAGAATAGTAAGGGCAATCCCAACCACAAAATAGCTGCGGCCGCCTTCTTAATTCTTGAAGCACGCTTCTGGGATTGCGACCATTTTATTATGACTCAAGTGGGCTTCTTTACCGGGTTTTGCTTATGGCTCAAGTAGGCTCACGACTCGTTTCAAGCAGATGACAGGCCGTGGACTCCAAGCTGTTTCGGGAAAAGCCAAGTCCAACACCCGACCGAAACGGGGAGGTGTCTCACGTGGCTTGTCTGATTGCACTTGCTATGGATCAAATGGGTGGTTTCCCTAGGGCCTCCCTCCAAATCGTCAAGGGTAGACCTCAGACGAGATTCACCTATGTGGCAAGGGACCTAATGTGCAGAGACACGCACAGTTGCAAGCTGAAGTTCCGTGCACCGAGGGTCCAAATCTCCGAGACTGCTCATTTGGTGTCCGCAGCCATTTTGGCCGAGCCGCGGGCGGACCATGTGCCTGCGTCACCGGCCGCAATGGGTAGCAACCTGAACGTTTGTGCATCCAAGGAGTGCGCTCGCCTGGTGCACGACCATGACGACGAGTACCAGATGATGGAGGTCGCCTGCGTGGTGGACGTGGAAAACCACCGGATAAGCCCTTGGGCACAGTACCAAGACCCGCAAAGCTGGTGGAGTATCTCTCCACAGATAAAGGCACCAGAGGCCTATGTCGCCGATGCGCCCGACACTACGCTGATCATTGACTCAACCAGTATGGAGCAGAGGCGGAGGTGAACGAATCGATATTGGCAGTTTGTGAGAGGACACGGCTTCCCCCACACCCCCATTTTTCTCAAGCAAATCTGGGGCCTAAGCAAACCAAACGTGGCCAGAGCTCGGCAGATAAGATGTCAGCCGAGTTTCTGCCGTAAGCTGCGAGACTCTGCGTGCCTCGACAAGTGGACCGAAAAATTATGGTGCTGTGGTCTGTCTTCTTTTAGGGGACCCCCCTTTTTGGTTGGTTGTTACAGGACAGCCAAAGGAAACTAATCATCTTGGCGGTTACCCTGTTTCGAGACAAACTCACAAAGTTATCAGTGTTCAATCTACTATAGACATGGCCGATGTGAATCTGTGGCAGCCACTGCACGATCTTTCCCCGAGTCGGCATTGTCTTGCAAGCCTCGATGTTTGTTTTGTCGGAGCTTGGTTGCACCTGCGGCACTCTTCAATCCCAGTCCGATACATCGAGCTCTTCATTATCTCTTAGACATCATGTTGATCTGATCTTTTGGTCGGGAGCCACGTCCAAAGTGGTTGGTGGACATGACTCCGCACCTAAATGATGCTCGCCAACGGGTCCCGAATAATTGTTGAATTGTACTCCCTGGCTCGTTTCAGGAAATCGGCGAGAGCGGCTGAAATGTATTGAGATGCATATGGCAAGAGCCAGTGAGAGTACTCATCCCTGATCAATAACCCACCCCCCTTTCTGCCAGGGGGAGCTGCCTAATTAATAAGTAGGGGGGGGGTATTAATCAGGGGTCAAGCCCCTCACTATTGAGTTGCTCTGGCTTCAGCTCTGAATCTGTAGACTCACTCATGTCCCAAAGGGACGACTTGCATAGCCCAAGACAAACAATAGTGGTTATGCAGGGTGCCCCAAAACCCATCGCTGTAGGCCCTCTTGGTGGATGTCCATCTGGGGTAAGTTGCCCTTGAGCCACAACGCTAAGGGGACTCACCCGTAGGTGTGTCGATTTGATCGGTTTGTTTGGTTAGAAAATAGATGGGTTCCACTGGTTAGATCCAGGGACACCCATCTATTTTACCAAAGTGCACCTATGGACTGACCAATGTGACTCACCAATGTTACCAGTTGGTTCTGTCATAGTTGTTTTTAGGAGACCACCTAAATGGATTTGGTTTTGCCAAAAAGGGGAAGACCAACTCCAACGACGAGCGAGCCGCCCATTTCAGCTCGAGCCAAGGCGTTCTGGGGCATCACCCTGGAGGATGACGGCGACATGGGCAACGAGGAGGATTCGCGAAGTCGCGAAGACTCAGACGGCGTCGCCTCGACCACTCGACGGGTGTCCTTTTTATTTGAGTTGGTGCGTGTTTTGAGGTTGGCTCATATAGATCCTCGCATGGATATGGGTGAATGATTTATGACCATCCCTTTGTAGCTTTGCCTAGATACTTTTCTTGAGAGAGTTTTGTGGGCGGAAACGTTGAGGAAAACACCCATGCCCAAGTAATAACTTGTAATAAATGCCTGGTAAACCATGGCTGTGGATGGTTGCGAAATCCATTTCGCACCACCCAAGACACCATGTTTGAAACCATAACGTTTGTTGTGGTATTTAAAGGGGATTATATCATTCTAGGGTTTCTTAGGTGGTGCGAAATGGATTTCGTCCATCCACAGTAGTGCCTGTTTTGAGGTTGGCTCAAAGGGATTCAACAAGGACAAGCACCCTCTAAGCGAAAAACCTTTAATTTTAAAGGGTCAAATGGGAAAACCTGGTTTTTGGGCAAGTTTTGGAAAAATAAAGGTTTTCCAGGGAAAAACCTGGTATTTCACTTACATCCTTTATTTTGGCACTTTTTGCAAGCGAAATGTCGGATGTTTGAAGAACAGAGCAAAGGTGCCGGATCTCGAGCAGGTGTTGAAAGGGAGCCGCCAGGTTTCTTTCACTGCCAAATTGTATATTGGGTTTCTAGATGTTTTTTGGGAATCTCTTGTGGTTTCCTTTTGTACCGCCAAGTGCGCGATAGCCCCCTGCTCCTCAAGATTGGAGCTCAAAAGGCAGGGGTAGACGCGAGGGCGTGGTCAACCAAAACTCAACAATGCAGCGGGACAACCAACTTGAATGTACAAGTGTGCAGCTCACTACATGACCATCAGTAGCTCTGCGTGATTGACACATCATGCTCATCTTGGTACTTTTTTGTATTTTTAAAACATCAGGCAGTATCCCAAAGTGACACTTGCATTCTTTACTCGGCTCGGCGCACAAGCCAAATGCCAACAAAGCTGGCCTCCGCCTAAGTCGCACTTTCTTCCAGCACCTAACTTTGATTCGAGGGGAAGCACAGTCCAAGCCAAACATGTTGCGTAGTACGTGCTTGTGCCCGAAAACCTTCGGACGTTCTACCGCAATGTCATACAAAACCAGTTCGCTGCTCGCGCAATCTGGCCGTGTGCCCGCTTTTCTTTGCTGGAAAGCTTCTGGAAGGCCGAGCGCGTGCGAAAAAAAAAGGAAACCCATAAAAATCCCATACGAATCCCATAAAAATCCCATACAAACCCATATTTTCCCGAAAACCAGGTTTTTCCTAACCCGTACAAAAACCGTACAAATCCCATAAAAATACCGTACAAACCCGTACGCAATTTATGGGATTTTCAGCCTCTGCTCAAGCAGCTTTCCAGGCCCGAGCTGCCCGAAATAAGCTTGCAAGGTGACCCTGCGAAAAGCAGTCATTCATGTGTTCATCCCACGCGTCTTTTACTACCTGCTGTCCAGTGTTCAAAGTGGGTTAGGTTCTTTTGGCTCGCTCCAAAAATGATGTTCCTGCGACGTTTTAGACAAGCCTGCGAGAAGTTGCGGGATCAATGCTCCAGCACGGGACTTGGTTGTCAAACAGTGAGCATTTGCAAGACGGCCCTCCAGATGTATCCGACGCGAGCATTACGCAAACAGTCCCAAGCAGATTGCTCAGTGCCATACAAAATATGTATACACGTGCAGCTACCGCTTGCGGTGAACTGGGACTACTTGTTGCCCTTGTCAGAAAGTTCATATTCCAATGCTGTTTTAAACTTCCCGAGCCACGATCTGGGAAGCCTTCCCAACAAATTGTGGATTGACCATTGTTTCGAGTTCAGCAGGTGATTTGCAACAGGTGCCATGCTCAATGAGCTTGCTTGGATGGGATCGCTGGGCGGCCGTGGAGCGATTGACTGGATGTAAGAGAGCCAACAAAAGGATTATATTGAGGGAACCACAATCATAACTCACGCAAGACCATTCTGATTACAACGCAAAAAGTAAAAACCCGGTATTTCCTGGAAAAACCCGGATATTTTGCCATACCTTTAAAATAAACGGATATTTGCTTAGAGGGCCATTAATTTGTTTTTTTTGCAGGGGTGTACCCTATTTTGTGGCATATCGAAGCGTTTTCATGGGGTGGGCACAAGTGCCAGGACTATTCCTCCAGCACCCAAAAGCACCAGAAGCCGCAGAAAGATTTCCCCTACGCAGCCTTGCATGCAGGGAAGCTCAGAGCGTCAAGTCGAGTTGGCCGTCCTTTTCGAGAGTGTGCACCATTTTCCAGATACCCTCCTATACCCGACGGTGTGCCCTGGATTTTTGCGTGCTTTCTTTTGTTGGTACCTCGGGCTTCCCTGGTTTCCAACCCACTTTATAAGGGGTGAAACAAACGCGTTTCGGGGAGCGGGGTATGAACATCAGGCCTTTTGGGTATGTAAAAGGGGTATGTACAAGCACCCCGGACTCCGCGGTGGAAGGCAAACTTCCACAGAGGAACTGCGACATCCGAGGCTGCAACCTCAGTGCCCTTGGGCGATCTGAAGGAGGCGCTTGCGGAGAATCAGTCCCCATCCCCGCAAATCGGATTCCCCCAAAAATGCCGCGGCGCGTTTTCTGTTGGTGTACCTTGTGTTTTGGTGGTTTTTGAGGGAAACCGAAAAGAAAGGGTCCAACCTGACAAGACACCCCCAAATGGTGGTGCGCCTTTCTGTTGAGTACCCGTTTCAGGTTGGATCGGGAAGGAATGCCAGCATCTACCTCTGACGGTTTTGGCTGTCCGTGCTTGGAGCGATTGTGTTTTTTGAGCGTATAGGGCTTCTCAAGCCAGATTGAAACCAGCCGTTTTTTTTCTTCTTTTTTTTCTTTCTGTGGACCACTATTTTGAGAAACGCTCATTTGGGCATGAACTGCTAGACCCTTAGACATCATTTAGAGGAATCTATGTTCAGCCACTTTTCAGGCAGGTGGTTCCCTCTTGAATTCCTAGCCATCAATGTTTTTCTTCTTTGGTTTGCAAGAAGCACTGTTTTCTTTTCTTTTTTAAGCAAAGACGTACAAAGGGTTGGAGAGATTGGAAGTATCCAGGAGAAGTCCCCTCAGGAACTCCACTCTGGCGGGTCACTTTGGGCTTGATTCATAGTCTGATGAGATGACATGGGACACTTCAACCTCCATGCTATCAAAGAAAAGGCATGGCAAGCGGTTAAAACTGGGCAGCCAATGGGACCGTAGTTTGTTGACTAGGAACTCAGAGCCATGCATTCATGTTCCTATTTTTGTCGTCCATTGCAGACGACCGCCCTCTTATGATTTCGGCCGCCAGGAAGGGTGATATCAACTTTGGCCGTCCCCATGGCTACTTTGGTCACTTTGAATGGGACTTTGTTGAGAAGAGGGTGCTTATCTCTGTGCATGCCACCCGCACCCTGTACAGTTTCTATTGCAAGAAAGTGCACCCATGTGCCATCCGGTTGTGTCATTTTGAAAGGGCTAGTAAGCTACCACATGTAATAAGATACGCTACAGGGATCTGTTCAGGATTTCCGCTGGGTAGGCTAGTTTGCAGGTTGGCCGTGTAACACATACCTACATGAACAGGGCCATTTCGCTTGTCCCCGTTCGTTGCTCTGCCCAACTCTGCAACTCTGATGCTGGGGATGCTGACTGATGCGGGCAAGAGGGTCAAATAATTCCCATGTCAGTCGGGGACTCCAGTATGGTAGGTCAACGCAGAAGGGAATTGTTTGCTAGGGCCCAGAATGGGTGCCCTTTTTTGAGGGACCGTCGGTATCCTTCTTGGTGTCCGTCTGGGAAACCAAAAGTTTCAAGCCGAAGCCAATTTGGGGGTCCAGCCTTAACAGCGACGCGCCCAAACGGATTTCGCGCCCTTTGCGACGCACCTCGCTAGGCCTGCGCCGTGTTCGAGCGCTTTGCTCAGAGCGATTCTGAGGACTGGGGTTGCCAGAGATGGCCGGGCCTCAAAATTTGTTGGCTGGGGCAAACAGCAGGATGTTTGTCTTTGGGATTCACACACCAAGGTGCCATTGATACCATTTTTGTGAGCAGCCAGATGTCTGTGTTCTTTGGGTCGACACCCCTTTTCACTTGGTTTAAAGGAAAACCGTAAAGACAACCACCATTTAGTTGTCCCTGGAGAAACACATGTTTTTCTTTCTTTTTTTATTAATAAATAATATCAAAATAAATAAATCCCCTCCCACTGCTTAACATGGAACCTGACATTTGGGGGTCCTGGATTGGACCATTTTACTTTTAAAGGGACCCCCTGTCACGTCAGTTTCCATGTGAAAACGGTGGGAGGGTAACTATGTTCAAGTGACAGAAGTCGGCGTTTCGCCAGGATCTGCTCGAGTCAACCATGGACATGCGTGACTTCGAGTGCCTTGGGCTTGTTCACAAAGCGTCCGCTCGGTCTATGCTCCATTGAGAGACATGAGTAATCAAAACCCGGGTAGATGAAGGTTAGTGAGGGACGATCCCAACCAAAAATAGGTGCGACCGCCTTCTTAATCCTTTACATGGTTCTGGGTTCACCATTTTTGTACCAGGTTTTGATTGTGACTCACATGGGGAACAGAACTCACGAAAATTAGCAACCACAAAGTAATCCCGAGAGCTGGTGGACTCTCTGGTTTCCAAAGGGGGAAGCCTTCGTTTTGGTTTCGGCTGAAATGAGGACCTCAAAAAAGGGGGACCCCAGCAACGGTGCGGTTTTCCTGGGCGATTCCCTTTAGGCCAACCTGAAAAGTGTCCCACCTCCCAAAAAATCTGCACACAATCCACGTGTTTCTTTTTGGGGCGGGTTCCCTTTCGACCAGAGAGCCTGGAGATTGCTCGAGTTTTATTGAGCTGAAGCGTGTGCCAACCGGAGAATCATCACATCCCAGCCATCCCCTTGGCCTTTTAGTTGGTTTAGTGGGGGTTTCCACTAAAAGTTTGAAGCTTTTAGCAGGGGAGCTGAGGAAAGCCCAGCCGAAAGTAAAGGGTTGCCTTGGGTCGCTGCCCAGAATGACAGGTTGGCTCCACAAAAATACTGCGGTGCTCCAAGTTGTGGTGGCTCTTACCCTTCCTCCCACAAACATGGCACCTGTGGGGAGGTACCTGGAAGATCAGTTTTCGTTTGACACGACCCCCTCTCAGGTGCCATGTTAGTGGGAGGCAGGGTGGTGTTTGTCAGGGTCCAATGTTGATTCCTTTGGCGAGGACAAAGGGGCAAGGTTTTCGTTTTCGGGGGCCAGGAAATTCAGTTTAGATGTTCAAACACAAGGGTCCCACCCAAAGGTTCCACGTTGGCCACCTGTTCTTGGGTGCTTGCACAAATGTTCTCAGGGTTCTTGGTGTTTTGGAACAGGCGCCCTTTTACAACCAGCGTATGCTTCCACAGTACTGTCCTTCGACATGTTTGGGGAAATTTGTGTGTTTTCCCACCAACCAGCAAAGAGTTGAAACAAGAACCAACAAGTGGTGCGTTTGGCTGGGAGTTGATCTTAGACATATTCAATTCAGCTGTCAGGAAGCTTCTTTGCAACGTGTGCAACGTGCAGCATGCACCTTGGCTCGATGTGACGCAGGCGGCAATGGGATGACACAATTTAACACAAACGAGTAGTTCAAAGTGGGAACAGTCTCTGAGGATGTCCGCCCTTTTGCGGTTTCTTTGCATGGTTTTGGGTTGATTGTTACCAGGTTGTGTGCGCATAGCCCCATTTGCAGCAAAGCTTCCCGCCTCAGTTGGTTAGCAAAGGCCCCCGGATCAGGCGTAAAGGGTCTTCAAACATGAGATCCTGGCGACCGGCAGTTCTGCTGGATGGCTAGGTGCAAGGTACGTCGCAGTCAGATTCTTGGAGCAAAACTCTCACCCTCTTCTTTTTGCATGCCAGAAAAATGCAACAAAACGAGCAGACAGACCCCACCCAACTGATGCCGTGGCAAGTGGACACAGCCCGGTGTTTGAAATTGTGGTTTCCGTCAAGGATTTTCCAAGTTTGCCCATTGGATGGGCCAAACAAAAACACGCAAAGTCTTCGTCATGGACCAGGAGACCAACCAACCTGGACATCTCTGACATCAATCCTGAAGGGCCAATGCTTTAGGTTTGGTTGTTTCAAACATCACTGTGTTAATGCCCACAGGCGAGTTTCCCTTGGTGTGATCTAAGGGGAGGTATTTCTGTGTGTCTCTGTGTCTATTTTAGGATACGTCTTTGTGTCCGGTTTTGGACCCCCCGCAAACCTCTCGGACACCGTCCGCGGCCATTCTGAGGTCAGTGAGTTGGCGCCGGAGTTTGTGAAGTCGGCCTTTCACACAGCGGACCGGGACCACACGGGAGACATCGACATTTGGGAGTTCGTTACCTGGTGCCTCAAAAGCTGGTCAGTGCGTCGTGCTTCTAGTTGTCACTGTAGGCAAACATAAAACGTAGAGGTAAACAGGTAAACATGCCGGGTTTGAATAAAACAAACATCGGGTGCTTCCTAGGCGATATGCCTTTCATAGGGCGAGTGATGTATGTTATGTGTTTTCCTTTCGTAGGGTTCCTTGAATGTTGGGTCTTGAATCATTACACTTCACCAGTTGGTGTGTCGCTCTGGATGGCGTGGCATTGGCCAGCAACTCCAGACTGGCCTGGCTATTGTCAGCCCGCGGACAGGGTTGCCCCACACGCGCCCCGTAGAGCTCCCTTGGTCATGGACTCCTAGGGGGGCTATGGGGGGGGCACTATTTTTGGATAGGCCGGATACGCCTAGAAGAAGCCAGGAGGGGTTAATATGGGAGTTACGCCCCCGTCCCCATAGCTCCCCTGTAAGGTCCATGACTTGGTGGCTGTGGAGAGAGGGCCATATTTAGAAACTGCCGGCCTTTAGGCTGCGTCCCTGGCAACTAATGCCAGCTTGGCCCTTGCCGGCCGATCCTTTGAGCATGTGCCAAACAAAGCTTGCTACTTGGCAGCGATGCAATTTACCGACATACCAGCAACCCAGCCGGCAATCAAACAATACTTGATCAGCTGGAGGTGCGGAATTGGCCGCGGCTGCAGTGTCACGGCCATGTCTTCACTGCTTTTGCAGGCGCACCATGGCCACGCCCTTCCCCACGAAATATGGGTTTGCCCTCTTTCTCCAGATCTGCCATGTAGATCGTCTAGGACCCATCTTCGACGGAGGCCTGATATCGGTAGTAGAACGTCGTACACAAACGGCAAGGTCGACGAGCGCGTAAATGCTGCCTGTCGTGGCTGAGATTTTGACATCACCACATGGGTTTATCTCGAAATGGGAATGAAGGGCACACCCACATGGTACTTCGCAAGCGGAGAACAGGTTCATAGCAATCCGAGCTCCACCGCATGGCGTGCGACGTGTGCGACAGCTTCGGTTTTTGTTTGTGCAGACCTCCGTTGCGTTCCCTTCGGCTGGAGAAGCGGAGATGCAACACGTATGACTTGTTGATACTGCGTGTATGTTGAGCCATGACGCTCACTGTAAGCAGAATGCATATATCTATACATATTTATAGATGCATATATATATATATATCTATATGTATATGGTTACGTGGATATGTATACTTCTTGATCACTTGGACCCCTTGTTGACCCCCTGGTGTTGGATTCTTCGTGAACTTCGGTAGTTTCTCCTTGGGTGCAAGCAGACCTTCGCAAGCCATGGGGATTTCCAAGATTTCCACTAGCCCCAAACCACCCCAAGAAGGTCAGGGTACGATATTACACCTCCCAACCTCGAGCTCTTCATCCTGGCAACTGGCAAGCCAAGATTGCACCTGCTCATCATGGCCTTGCATTCTCAAGGGGAAACAAAAGCAACTTGTGCCACTATTGCATGCCCTGTGGCTATGTAGTGGCCAGTGTCTATATGGCTGGGTGCACCAGTGACTTGCTGGTTCTCACGGAATCAAGAGGGGTGTGGGGAATGAACGTAGTCCCTCAAAGACACAATCGCCTGTCGAACCAAGTTGACTCCAGGGGCAAGCGCGATACGGTACATGTCTCGTAGTGGGTTTGTTGGCTGGCTGATTCACATTGATCAGGGTAACCTTTAGTTGGTTTGGCGGTTTGGAGTCGTAGCCCTGGTTCTTGTAGAGGGTTGGGGTTTACCCCAAAGCTACGGGCTCCAAGCCAAGGGGGAAGCTGAATTGAGCCATCAAAACTTGGGTGGATGCAGGTTAAGGGCCAGTGCCAGAAACAGTTCATCGTTTCTGACCTGGTTCTGGTTGATTACCACCAATTGGTGAGAGTTGTTTACCGGGTTTTGCTTGTGACTCCATGGACGCCCATCCATGTGGGGGGAAGGAGTAATTCCCCGCGCGGGCCATTCGTCGGACGGGCGCCAGGTACTCGGCCTTCAGCTTCTCGGAGGCGGTGTGCGTGAACAAGGTGGCGCGCTCCACCCGGAACGTGGCGCGGAAGCACGGGATGAGCATCCTGAACATCGAGCGCCCCTTGGAGATTTGGAGATGAGGGATTTTCGGGTTGAATTGCCGCGTTTTACGGCCTTGCTTTTGGTCTACCAACCATCTCAGCAGCAGCATCTGCTTGGACATAGGAACCAGTGACAGCCTGGCGTGGGGGTTGCCTTTTTAGTCAGGCTTGGCCAGACTGAAGTGACTGAAGATGTCAATTTCGAGAAACAAACCTTGCCCCCTTCATAGTAGGAGCTCGTTGCAAGGAAATCCCATCAAGGGCTGCAGTCCGTGCCATGCCTTCTCTTGCAGCAAGTGCTGGTTGACTGCTACAATATTTTTGTGGGTTACCCTACTAAAATAGACAGAACAAAATCGGGTACCCTTATTCTAACCTCTGTACTGGAGGACCTAGTGAAGGATGGCTCCCACTCGCTTCGGCGGTCCGGGGGCCTTTTCTGCCCTTTCCGAGCACCGCTCGCTTCAGGCTACAAGCGAGCCTTTGATAGCTCCCTGGCTGCAAGGTGGCGTGAACAACTCTCAGCCTAAACTTGGCAAATGTTTTTGTTTGGTGCTTATATGTTTGTTTGTTTGTTTTGTTTGTTTGTGTGTTTGTTTGTTTGTGTGCGTGTTTTTGAGGCTAGGTACCCTTTTCACCTTGGTTTTCAGGGAACCCAGAAGGACAGCCACAGATTTTGTCGAGACTACAAGGCTGTGCCTTTGTTGGACCCTGATGTTCGCTTGCTTCGCTCCAAAAGATTGGAGGAACGGGACTCTTGAACCAACGGCGTGTCTACCGTGGAACGTGTGAAGCTCAATCCAAGGTCGGTCGAACATAGGGCAACCTCCAAAAGTGGGTTACCCTGGTAAATGGAAACAAGGACCAAGAGCGGTCCATATTGGGTTGATTTCTGGTTTGATTTTGACCCATACCTGAAGTTCAAACCACTTAAGATGACAGGTTGTTCATCTTTCCTTGCCGCTCACTTTGGGGACGGGCCTCCGCGGGATCAGCTTCGCATCTCTGCAAACAGCCTGTCGATGTCTGGCGCGAGGATACGACCTGAACAACAACAACGTCATTGAGATTGCCCTTTGGCAGGAATGACGGATCTGGGCGAAATCAATCCTGCCTCGGCTACCCTTGTGGGTAAGCTGCGACGACCAGATCACTTCTGGATTGATCTCTTCCATCCAACCTGAAGCTTGAGAAAATCTGATTCGAGTGGGGTACCCAATAGCGACCATATTTGCCAAAGCGCGGGTGTTTCCTGCTTTACCCTTTCCGCACAGGAACTGAGGAGTGACTTTCGAGTTTTTGCAACCGGACAAAGTCGACATTCATTCATTTCCAAGTTGCATGTGTGCAAGATCCTTTCTCGGTGGGCCTTGTGAGCCCCGCATTTGGCTTGGCTCTTTTTTTGCTCGCCCTGCTCGCCCAGCACGAATTCAAGAGCATCATCGGAGATTTGCTGAAGATCCCCCCGGGCCTCGACTTGCCCAACGAGCGCGTGATGCAGCTTTGGCGCAACGCTGACAAGGCGCGGAGGCCGAAAATAGATTCGCGTCCTGAAGCAAACCAGCAGCGTTCCCCCTGCAAAGTCGAAACTTTCTGCGGCCGCCCGAAGAGGAGATTCAGCGTAGGTGGCGTTTTGGTTTCGAAGCCACGTGCAGAGACGTCAAAAAATGGCAGCCACGAGCTGGGGGATCAGACAACTAGGTGCCCCAGCTACGTGCCCTTTCTCACCCCTTTTTTGGTTGGGAGGGTTCTACTAAAATTTTGGGGGAGGGTTCCCCTACTAAAATAGACAAAACGGCCAAACAAAAAGCGGGTACCAACTTATTCTATTCTCTCTACTGGAGGACCTAGACCTCCACGGAGGCTCCGAGCCGGCGCCAGGATGGCAATGGCTCCATAGATTTCGACGAGTTCGTAGCGCCACCTGCCACGTTCGTGTGGGATCCGGTGAGGGTTAGTACTGGGGTGTCTTTCTTTGAGGGCAGAGGGTACCATTTTGGTTGATTTAGAGAGAGAAACCAAAAGGAAAGCCAAATCCATTTGTTGGGGCCGGAAAAACAAAGACAGATATAGCCACCATTTGCCTGAGTTGCATGCCTGAGTTGCATCATCTGAATTGGCACTATTGGAATTGGGGGCTCAGGCCCTAGGGTCAATAGTTGCGGTTATCTACAGCAGTGAAGGGGATGACATGGGCATCAACATGCCAGAGATCATTGGGGCATCAAGGCGCAGACAGGTATCAGCTACCCCGAACCGCCTAGTACCTCAATCAGCAAATGGAGCGGATGCATGATCATGCATGCCCACATCAGCGCAGTTGGCACAATGCCGTGTTTATACGTTGCTTGCCTGGGAATTGCAAAGGCTTATGAGGGCTGTCTGCTTCAGGGGAAGCAAATCACAGTGAAACCACTCTCAGGCAACCTCGGGGCTTTTGAGCACCCCCAGCCACCTGTCCAGAGGAAAGCTGATCTGCTGGCTGTAGGTCTGGCAAGTCACGAAAAGCTAGCGACTCCCTCAACAAAAGTTGGTTTCGTGAACTTTGGCGTCAGCCAACTTGGAGCCGGAATTGGCTTTTCCCAGGTTTTACGTCAAGGTCTTCGGGGATACCTTCGAGACGGACTTTGACCCAGTCACAGACTACTATCGGAGTATGCGCAGAGTTCAGTGACCTCAGGGTGTCTGCCAGCTGCAAACAAGCGTTTCAAGCACTCACGAAAGCCGCGCACACAAGCAAGGAAGCAAGTCAACACCAGTTCCTGCAGCTGGAACATCATAATTTATGCACGGCGCGAACTGTCCATCCGCGTCACCGGCCCCTTTTTCGGCAGTTTCCGCGGAAACACGGATTCGACCAAACAGTGTGCAAATCCCCCGGCAAGTGAAGCGGGTCTGTTTCCGACCGCAGAATGCTCGAAGTCTGCTGAAGCAGTCTCGATGAAGAAAGGCGCTCAACCTTCCGACTGCAGTGACTTGCCACTTTCCACGAACCCGATATAAAGTGGATGGACAAATCCTGCACCACCCAAGACACCATGGGAAACCATAACGTTTGTTGGTGTGCACAGCGGATCATATCATTCTGGGGTTTCTTAGGTGGTGCGAAATGGATTTTGTCCATCCACAGTATGACGTGTGTGGAGCATTGTATTGCTTGCTCCTTGCTGGTCACAACGCTCATGTTGTTCCAAACGAATCCCGCTTCCGGACCCTAAGAGCATCTTGTTGATGTGACACTGCTGACTGTATCCATGTCTGCCACTTTTGCTTAAATCGACACCCTGGCTTGCTCTGCCCAGTTGTAGCTGTCTTGCACTCTAGGTCCTTCATTTGTTTGCAGCACGGCCAGGAAGTCTCCAGTCTTTTGGGCATACACCATGCCTTGATTGGCCATGAACGCCTTGAACTCTCCCATGCATTTTAATCCTGTTCTCCTTTCTTGTAGAGAAGTTGTCGCAATAGAATCAACTGCCAAACCATCAAACAGGGACCCTGTTTCTATCCAGGTCCGGAGCCTTCGCGTGCAGGGCACCCCTTGCCTGCCAGCACAACGGAACTCATCCCCCCATTCCTTCGTACTTTTTCCTACAAAAGGCCTTTGACGCGCTCTCCTCAGACTCCATTTGAGCGTTGCCCTGAAATTTCGGCCTTCGAATGTCCAGGTATACCTTTTTCATGAGCGACGAACCTTCTCTAATTGGCACAGCCCCAGGGTGAAGTTCAGGGTCGCACGGGAAAGTCTCCGACAGCCAAATGGGGTCGTCTCAAAACAGGGGAACCTGCGAATTTGTTGATTTCCTGATGGTTTCCCTTGAAACCAATGTCCAAAAGGGTACCAACTCAAAAACGCAAAGCAAATGGCAGCGTCACACCTCGCAGTTGGGTTCTTCCGGAGCGCTGTGATTGTTCCTCGAAGAGGACTTCGCGAGTGAGTTGTTATGCCAGAGTCTGGGCAGGTCGTTGACATAGGTGCCTTTGCTTCCGCTTTTGAGAGGATAGAATCGACTTGGCCCTGGCTTTGTCTGTATTATGGGGAGTTTTTGGTACTCAGGTGCCGCTAGCTCCAGGGCAACTTGACTCGGCAGGAGTAGCAGAAGCATTTGGTCCCGTGGCGAAAACCCTCTTTCGCTTCCGCTTCATTGGAATTGATGTACGATGGAGAGGAGTTTGATAGCTGCCATATATTTATATATAAAGGGGGGGGGGTGTATATCCCTGGCAGTTTAGGGTAGTGGAAACCATCTGATTTATGCTCTGGCAGGGAGGTGTTTGGAGTCAAGATGCCGGCTGCCATAATACCGTTGCCTTCCATGCGCAATCTGAGATCTTGCACTTGGTTCGTAAATACGCAAATAGTTGCTTTCCCTTTCCTTCCAACACATCCGACAGAGGAATGACTGATTCGGGTTGCCCTTGATCCTCCCCTGGAACAGGGCTGAGGTGAACGCAGAGAGATCGTTGCTTGTGTGCAACATTGGAGGTTTCTCAAACTAGGCCCCCCTAAAATTGGTTGTTCCTTCGGTTTCCCCTTATCAGCAACCAAAAAGGGGGTCATAAGCCGTTTTGAGAAGCCTCCGTTGCGACATGCCGTCTTCTTTTTTCCGGCGGCCTGGTGGCAATGATTGCCACATCCGATTCCAGTCTGGCCCCTTCAAGAAGCTTGGTGAACCGACGTGGGAGTTGCCTTTGAGCTTGGCAATGTCGGACAGAACAAAGTGCTTCTCTTTCACCCGGAATGAAAAGCCAGCTCACGTGAGTCACGCCCTCAAAACCCGGGTAGTTGGAGGGTAGTTTTTGGACAATCCCAGCCATACATGGGTGCGGATCGGCTTCTCATTTCTTGAAGCATGGTTCTGGGAGCACGACCATGTTTGAATCCGATCGTTTTTGATGATGGCTCATGTAGGTCCAGGAAAGCTTTAAGGGTCCGATGTTCCGAATTTTCGGTTTTTGAGGCTCTGGGCACTTCTTTTTTGATCTTGTTTCGGATTTTGGAGCGGAAACGCAGGGAAGACCTAGGGATGGTTGTTCTTCATACCGGAGACTTTCGAAGGGGGCCAAGGCTGGGACGTACCTCGCGCATGGCCATCGATTGCTCGGAGGTCGGAGCTGTGGAGAAATCGGATCGCGAGTCGGTTCTGTGGACCTCGAACCTGCTCGCGAGTCGCATGAAAGATAGGTCCCCCAGCTAGGTGCCCTTTCTCACCCCTTTTTTGGGGGAGGGCTCCCCTACTAAAATAGACTACAGAAACAAGGGTGCCCTCATTCTTCTCCACAGTAAAATTTGTTTGTGGGGGACCGGGTCCCAAAGTGGTCGTTTTCTGTTTGGCTGGAATGGGGGTTGATCAAAAGGTCCATTACATGCGATGACCCTTAGGGAAACCACAAAAACCAATGTTCATTCCCACTAAATGGGAACAGTGGCGCATGGTCATTTTGGGGCCAGGAATATTGATCAACCCCCGAATCATTTCAAAAAAGGTGCCCTGAATCCAGACACTTCTTTGTGTGTGTGTGTCTTTTTTCCCTCTGTGTAGAAACCCCAAAAAGGGTAGCCTCCAAAAAAGACCCGGCTCGATCGGTCGGGTTTGGCATCGTCAAGAAGCGCGCGCCGCCTCGCGGCCTCGCGGCCCGAAGCCCGCGCCAAGCCCGCCGCCGGCGAAATTTTCCCCGCAGCCGCGCTTTTGGCGCCCCGGCGGCCGGGAGGCGCCGACATCGCTGGAGCGGAGGGAACTTCCCCAGAATTAGTTCCCCCCTTTTTGCTATTTTTTTTGGGCTTTGTTGGGGTCCCCTTTGTTTTCCACTAACCAGGCAAATATATATATATATATATTTTGCTCGGGTCCTAATTCCAGCCAAGGGAAGCGGAGGGAAGAGGAGACCAGAAGTTGGGGTTGCCCTAACAGCCAAAGGCCATGCAGGTCAACAGCACTGGGGCCCGTGTGAAGCAGAGTCGAGTGCAAACATGCCCGAAGATAGTGGCAAGCATAGACTTGCCCGGCTTGGTCAAGTCTCGAAAGCAAAAGGTGCATCTCAGCAAATCTGAATGTTGCCAGGCAGCTTTTGGAGGAGAATAGTGGTAAGGTAAGAATGACCAAACTTGGTGGCTCCCGGCCATCCGGTTCCTTAGCTTTTCATAGCCTTTTTGTGTTTAGTGGGGGTTTGCACTTAACCCCCTAAAAGTTACACTTTTAGCGGGGGGGCTGAGGACAGCCCAGCAAAGGCAAGCCTCTTCCTCCACCCAGCTCCTTGCGCATCTAGCAGCTCTCCCAGTTGGGGAGGTGTCCTTCGTTTTGGGGGCCCCCAAGTCGGGTGGTTTGCGTTTTGGTTTCGATTGTAGCCAAGGTAAGAAGGGTACCCTCAGAACAAACACCGCCCACACCCACACGCCCACACCCCGCACGCGCTCACACGCACACAGCCAGTTGCGACGCAGGTGTGGGCAAGGGAGATACCGATGCAGGCGCGCAGCTCCGTCCACCTTGAGGAGTCAAGCGTTCGCATGCGCAGGAAAATGACCGGCACGCTCATCATTTCAGTCTCAAAATGATTCGGCCCTCTGGGACCAACGGTTTCCACTTGGTTTCAAATTGAAGCTAGCCCCAGAAGGGGCCCTCAGCGCACTTACAGATCTCGGAATGTGTGATGCTTTGGAAAGTAAAAGACATGATCGGAAGGGCCGAATGAAGAGTCTTCTTGTTGATTGGCAGTTGAGTAAACATAGCCGCAATTTCCTTCTGGGTAACGGGGATGACACCAACATGGGTGTGTCTTTTTTTGGCAGGCCCGCAATAATTGTGGTTGTTCTTTTGGTTTCCCGACAAAGCCACAAAGGGGTACCAACTCTAAATAGACACCCAAATGGGTCAGAATACAATGTACTTGCTCTTAAATGGCACAAGGTTCTGACCTCATTTCAGCTACTTGAGGCGCCCACCCACGTGGACGCCCGAGGGTCGGGTAGCTGAGTCCTGAAATCAAGAGGTCACACAAACAACAGCGAGGGCATGTGCGCGCGCGGGTGTGTGTGTGTGTGTGTGTGTGTGTGTGTCTGTGTCTGTGTCTGTGTCTGTGTCTGTGTCTGTGTCTGTGTCTGTGCTGTGTCTGTGTCTGTGTCTGTGTCTGTGTCTGTGTCTGTGTCTGTGTCTCTGTCTGTGTCTGTGTCTGTGTCTGTGTCTGTGTCTGTGTGTGTCTGTGTGTCTGTGTGTGTCTGTGTGTGTCTGTGTGTGTCTGTGTGTGTCTGTGTGTGTCTGTGTGTGTCTGTGTGTGTGTGTGTCTGTGTGTGTCTGTGTGTGTGTGTGTCTGTGTGTCTGTGTGTCTGTGTGTCTGTGTGTCTGTGTGTGTCTGTGTGTGTCTGTGTGTGTCTGTGTGTGTCTGTGTGTGTCTGTGTGTGTCTGTGTGTGTCTGTGTGTGTCTGTGTGTGTCTGTGTGTGTCTGTGTGTGTCTGTGTGTGTCTGTGTGTGTCTGTGTGTGTCTGTGTGTGTCTGTGTGTGTCTGTGTGTGTCTGTGTGTGTCTGTGTGTGTCTGTGTGTGTCTGTGTGTCTGTGTCTCTGTGTCTCTGTGTCTCTGTGTCTCTGTGTCTCTGTGTCTCTGTGTCTCTGTGTCTCTGTGTCTCTGTGTCTCTGTGTCTCTGTGTCTCTGTGTCTCTGTGTCTCTGTGTCTGTCTGTCTGTCTGTCTGTCTGTCTGTCTGTCTGTCTGTCTGTCTGTCTGTCTGTCTGTCTGTCTGTGTGTGTGTGTGTGCGTGGGTGTGGGTGTGGGTGTGGGTGTGTGCGTGGGTGTGGGTGTGTGTGTGGGTGTGGGTGTGGGTGTGGGTGTGGGTGTGGGTGTGGGTGTTGGTGTGGGTGTGGGTGTGTGCGTGGGTGTGGGTGTGGGTGTGGGTGTGGGTGTGGGTGTGGGTGTGGGTGTGGGTGTGGGTGTGGGTGTGGGTGTGGGTGTGGGTGTGGGTGTCTGTGTGCATGTGGGTGTGGGTGTGCGTGTCTGTGTGGGTGTGGGTGTGGGTGTGCGTGTGCGTGTGGGTGTGGGTGTGGGTGTGGGTGTGCGTGTGGGTGTGGGTGTGGGTGTGGGTGTGGGTGTGGGTGTGGGTGTGGGTGTGGGTGTGGGTGTGGGTGTGGGTGTGGGTGTGGGTGTGGGTGTGGGTGTGGGTGTGGGTGTGGGTGTGGGTGTGGGTGTGGGTGTGGGTGTGCGTGTGGGTGTGGGTGTGGGTGTGGGTGTGGGTGTGGGTGTGGGTGTGGGTGTGGGTGTGGGTGTGGGTGTGGGTGTGGGTGTGGGTGTGGGTGTGGGTGTGGGTGTGGGTGTGGGTGTCTGTGTGCGTGTGGGTGTGGGTGTGCGTGTGCGTGTGCGTGTGGGTGTGGGTGTGGGTGTGGGTGTGGGTGTGGGTGTGGGTGTGGGTGTGGGTGTCTGTGTGGGTGTGGGTGTCTGTGTGCGTGTGGGTGTGGGTGTGCGTGTGGGTGTGGGTGTGGGTGTGGGTGTGGGTGTGGGTGTCTGTGTGGGTGCGGGTGTCTGTGTGGGTGTGGGTGTCTGTGTGGGTGTGGGTGTCTGTGTCTTTCTCTCGTCTGTCTCTCTGTCGCTCTATCACTTTCCCCTTCGGTCCAGGAAGGGCGGCAATATTACAGGATCCGGGCAAGCGGGACCCCCTGTTAAAACCAAAAAAACTACTTGCGAGATTTGGCAGGGGGCGGGTCCATAGGTCATGAGGGAACATTATGCGCCACGTGTTGGTTCAAATGTTTTCAGACCCTTCAGACCCCGGAGCTTTGGCGGTCTTGTCATGCTTTCACGATTGTATGAGCCATGATCAGCTGCGATTACACAAGTTGTCAATGAGTGCCGTCAGCTGCGCCTCCTCATGCCACAGGAACTCAGTTTGCCGTTGCCTGCTTTGAAGCACCAGTACACCAATAGAAGGCAACCTTCTGGCTAGCAGCAGGAAAATCCCCCCACGAAGCTCCAAGCCCTCAAAAGCTCGAGATCGCCTTTTGTAGGCTTGACATAAAGCCACACATCTTTGGCGCATTTTGCCAAGGGATGTTGGGACTTGAAGGTTTTGCCAACTCATGGGTTTTCCGAATTAGACCACCAAAAGTTCACCTTTGCCAACTCATGGGTTTTCCGAATCAAACCACTAAAAGTTCACCTTTGAACACTCATGGGTTTTCCGAATTAAACCACTAGAAGTTCACCTTTGCCAACTCATGGATTTTCCGAATCAAACCACTAAAAGTTCACCTTTGAACACTCATGGGTTTTCCGAATTAGACCACTAGAAGTTCACCTTTGCCAACTCATGGGTTTTCCGAATCAAACCACTAAAAGTTCACCTTTGAACACTCATGGGTTTTCCGAATTAAACCACTAGAAGTTCACCTTTGCCAACTCATGGGTTTTCCGAATCAAACCACTAAAAGTTCACCTTTGAACACTCATGGGTTTTCCGAATTAAACCACTAGAAGTTCACCTTTGCCAACTCATGGGTTTTCCGAATCAAACCACTAAAAGTTCACCTTTGAACACTCATGGGTTTTCCGAATTAGACCACTAGAAGTTCACCTTTGCCAACTCATGGGTTTTCCGAATTAGACCACTAGAAGTTAAGCTTTGCCAACTCATGGGTTTTCCGAATTAGACCACTAGAAGCTCACCTTTGAGCAGGGAAGCCGATTTCGCAACTCGCTCGACTGGAGGCCTGCCTTAGCCCTGGTGGTGGCGCTCTCCGTGGGCGCCTACTCCGCGGTGAGGCGCAGGGCGAGTCAGGGCGCGCGAGAAATGGCGACTCCGAGTCTCCGGATGGGTCCAAGCCCCTTCAAGGGGTAGACCGCATGTTGTGAACATGTCAGGATCCCTGATTTGGGGTAGATCCTCGCTTTTTTTTGGGGGGGGAGGAGGTCTGAAGTCTGAAGGAGACTCCAGGAGATTTGTTCGGCAACGACTCGGTTGACGGCACTGGGGGGGTTGGACGTTGGGGAGCGCTGGTTAGACCAACCAACAAGAAAGAACGTGGCCTGTTGCGCGCCCATGCCGCACTTGAGCTGAATGGGCACAGCTCGCTGCCCCTTTTCAGCCAAAGTGTCGTGGATTTGAATCCCGGAAGTATTTCGGGCTAGGGGTTGATGTTGAGTAAGAAAGCCTCCCAGGATTTGATGTCATACTTTTTGGGGCAACAACTCAGCAAGCTTCCAAGCTGCACCCTGGTTCTTCCTGCGAAGATTGCTGGCCAGGAGCCTTCGCCATGAAATCAGGAGTCAAGAGTTTTCTGTGGACGAAGCCCAGTGTTTAGGATGTCTTTTTCAGTGCGATGGGGCCGTGATCCTTGGGCGTTTTCACGTGGAAGGGCCCGGATTGAGCAACTTGGATGAGTAGGGCAGCGTTTCCGCTGAAAATGATCCTAACAAGTGATCCGGAATCGCTTTGAACTGAGCCAACCCACTTATTCATCAACTAGGCTTTACTCTCCAGATGAGCAGAGACGAAATCACAATCCGTAGTCGAAACTCCTTGATTCCCTCCGGCAGTTTGTTGAAGTTGACGAATCCTGGGCCCTCAAGGCCATTGCTCGTTTTTTTTTTTTTGGTTTTTTGTTTAAATAACATCAACCATCCTCTATGAATCAAGCTGGGCTTCAAGATGTTATGTCATGATTCATGATGGTTTTGCGGGTTCTCAAAATTGGGGAACTCCCAAAACTGTGGGTTTTCCCCATGAATGTCCGTTTAAACCATCAAGAAACGATGCCCTCAACTTGACTGCTATTGGGTTGGATCTTTAGACTTCAACTTTTTTTGTTGGACATCAAGGTGTTGTTTGACTAAACACCCAAAAAGTGAAAAACTTTTTGCAGGGGGGTCGTTGCAGCAACTCTTTTTTTGACTAAACTCCCAAAAAGTTGTCAACTTTTTGCAGGTCAACAGCAACCGAGTCAAAAGGGACACCATCGCCTTGTTCCGAGCGACCCAGTGCTCCGGCCAAAGCGGGCGCTGCATTTCCCTGGACGCTGAATCCCACTGGCAGGGCGGCACAGCGCAGCGCCATTCTGGAATCTCCTAGCCGACCCTTTGAAAAAAGGGGTGTACCCAAAATGGTGTTTCTTTTCTTTTTTCTTTTTTCTTTTTTTTTTCTTTTTCGGGGGGGGGGGAAAATAGTAAAACATATCTTGAAAGAAGTAAAATAATTTTCAGAACAACTTACCAAAATATAGAATATAGGTTTATAATTCAATTATTAAATAAGGTTAATACATTATTCATATTCATGAACCTTATCTAATTCCTTGAAAAATAATTTTACTTCATTGAAATATTATATAAGGTTAAGAAGTTATTCTACATATTAACCTTATACAATTTTATGTAAAATATTTATTAATAAAAATAGTGTTAATTTTCTTCTGCCTGTTTCATTTCTAAATTTCTTTTATGCTTATTTGTTTTAAGATGTTGCTTTTTTAAACATTGAGAAAAATAGCAGTCACAAATAACACACTGAATTTTTATACTGTTCCATGTTCTATTACTTTCAAGTGTTTTATTTCTATATTCATCATCTTCTTTATATCTTTTTCTATGCTCCTCATTGTATCTATCTTTATGTTTAATTCGGTTATTCCTTTTGTTTTCTGAACATTGCCTGCATTGTTTATTATCTTTATTAAATTCGTCAAATAGTTTCATTCTACCACAGTTTCTACATAATTTTCCATTATCAGTTTTGAATGAACCGTTTTCCAAAATTCCTTCATACATTTTACCTTTAATTAAAACACAAATGTTTCCTTCCATAGTTCTTATAATAGAATGTCCTTAAACCTTTAAATACATTTTAAGAAATTCCTATAATCAATATTCCTTAACTAAATTACCAAATTCCCAAAATATAAAATCCCCATAATTTCAAAACATAAATCTTACAATGTTTTTATTGTAAGGTTTATGGGTTAAATAAATATCAACTTGTCATTTTTCATCCATCCCAGCTTTTGGGGATGCCCCATCCCAGCTTTTGGGGATGCCCCATCCCAGCTTTTGGGGATGCCCCATCCCAGCTTTTGGGGATGCCCCATCCCAGCTTTTGGGGATGCCCCATCCCAGCTTTTGGGGATGCCCCATCCCAAAATTTCATTGTTTGGGGATGCCCATCCCAAAATTTCATTGTTTGGGGATGCCCCATCCCAGCTTTTGGGGATGCCCCATCCCAATCCCAAACTCGTTTCCTTAGTCCGTCAAACTCACCAAAATCTCACAAATCAATTCAACAGGTATTTTGTATAAATCTTCCTGCTTATGTATTACATAATTATCTCCCCATTCTGCTTTAGTTTTTGATGGCAGTCGTTGCGCAGTTTCAATATGTTTATTATTCCTTATGTTTCCACAATCTCTATTACATAAATCTCTAGGTGTCCAATTCGTAATGTTATTCCAAAGTCTAGTGTGTTTTCTGTAATTAAATCCATATTTGCAATAATCAACATCTTTAAAATCAAACTCATTCATAAACTCCTGATTTTTTAATAATCCAGTTTGAGGATTTTCGATTACAAAATATTTAGGATTAAAAATATTTGATAATCTCAATAGTTTTTAAAACTATACTATTAGCATATTCAATATTCCTAATTCCCCTAGTTTTTGCTACACTATATTCAGTGCACGGGGGACTGCTCCAAATAAAATCAAAATGGTTTCTGTCAAATTGTTTATAATCCCATTCCAAAATATCACAATTAATATCAGCATTTTTCAAGTCTAATGAGATGACATTAAAACCTAATGACTTTGCTATGGTTCCTACACTTCCAGTTCCACTAAAAAATTCTAATAAATTCATATTGTTTATTAGAATGATTTAGATAATGTTTTAGAAATATACATATTTATCATCTTCCTTAATAATCTTATAGTATTCTAATGTTTGTTCTTTTGGACTTTTGATTTGTCCCTTATTTAACATATCACAATATTTTTTACGCTTCGTGTCATAATCACCGCTGGGTCTGCCTATCCCTTTCTTTTCAAAGATTTTGTCAATCTTTTCCTTCTCTTCATTGTTATCTTTTGGTTCGTTTGCCTTTGCATCAAGTTTCTGGTCAATAGTTTTTATCATCTCGTACAACAGTTTAACATTTTTACTAACTGTCATTATTTTCTTTGATAGTTCAGTAATAGCATCATTCTCAACTTCAGACATTTCTATATATATTTATTTATATAATTATTTATTTAAATATTTATTTATGCGTTTTATTATACAGTTTACCTGAATAATCTAATGTTATATATGTAAATAAATTATATTCTAACAGTCTTTCACCAATTTTATTGTTCATTTTTATTAAACCTTCCTCGTCACCTGTAATTTCAAAAAAGTTCAATATTTTAACAAATTTATCCGGTTTAGTTATACCTTTCATAAAATATTTATCATTGAATTTAGCATCAAACCAATAAAAATATTCTTCGCTCAATTGTTTAGCAAAGTTTTCATCACCATTGAATAGGTCTTTAATTTCTTCATCGTCAAAAGTTATAACTCTATGGTCTTCTCTATTCATAGTTGGCATTATGATTATACAAATAATTAGATATTTATTTATTTAATTATTTATTTATAAAATTGATTTAATGTAAAATCTACTCTTTAAATACTAACTTATGTCCCTGTTGAAACTAACATTAATCAAATGTTCGTTAGTTTCAATAACCATATCGCCTCCTGATTTTTTCTGAATATTAAAATATTTATCTGTTTTTTTTAAAAGAAAACATACATGGGACACAACTAACCTTAACACCATCTTTTTTTATCTACCGTCAATTCATTCTTAAAATTCATAACATGATTACATTTATCGCATTTTACAGCTTTACTTTCACCCTTTGATTTAACACTTTCCGTTGTTTTTTTCCGAGCTTCAATATCTGGCATTGGTCTTTCTTTGCTTTTACTCTTTTTCTTTCTTGGCATTTATATTAATATTTACATTTTTATTTTTGGTATATTGTATTCCTAATTTTATTAATTCTAATGTATAAAAGCATACTTTCTTACATCTGTTGTCAGTTATTATTACTTGTTCTATATTCTCTACTTCATCTATTATATCAATATAATCTGAATAACTTCTATCCATATAAATAATAAGATGAAATAATCATTAAAAATAATTATTTGATCTTATTATTTTCATGCATAATAGAATATTGGTGGGGCACAGCACTTGGGTTTTCATTGCACACGCGAGCAAGACACAAAACTAATTATCTTCAATGCTTATTGATTGAAGCAATGGAAAACCTGTTCCATTATGTTATTTACCGCCACTCATAACATAACGATGTTCCATTTAATATTAATTATAAATAATTTTCTAAATATCTTTAATATTATTTTATTATGCCTGATGTAAAACCAATTGACGAAATCAAATATGACTTTAAGCAAAGCAAGCACGAGGTCGTCCCTAAATTGCCGATGAGAGCTATGATTGTGGGCCCGTCAGGCTCTGGAAAGAGCACGCTACTTGTATCAATGATACTTGATATTTATAGAGGAGCATATGAAAGAATTTTTATCTGGTCCCCATCAGTAAATTTGGATAGTATTTGGTTGCCTGTTAAAAAATACATTAAGGAAGGTTTGAAAGTAGATAATGATAAGGAACCGTGTTGGTGGGATGAGTTCAATGTTGAAGATTTAGAAAGAGTTATAGAAACTCAAAATAAAATAATTGAATACCAGAAAAAACAAGGAACGAAGAAATTATTTAATATTTTGGTAATTTTGGATGATGTATCTGATAATCCAGCAATAACAAGAAATAACAAATTGTTAAATTCTTTATTCTGTAGGGGACGTCATAGTGGAATATCAACGCTTGTCAGTCTTCAAAAATCATCAACCGTGCCACCAATTATTAGAGTAAATATAAGTCATTTGTTTTATTATAAAGTTAGAAATTTTAAAGAGATAGAAATATTGCAAGATGAATTATCAGCAATTGTTAGAAGCGATAATTTACATGAAAGCAAGAAACTAATTTATAAAATATATGAGACTGCCACTGATGAACCGCATAGTTTTTTATATATTAACCTTTTAGAAAAGAACCCAGATAAAATGTTTATGAAAAACTTTTCACAATATTTGAAAATAACTAATCAATAACATTAAATTTATTGTTTAATGTTTTTGATTTAAATTAATGAAGCGTTGCATAAATTCAACGCAGGTAATTTATATATTAGTTTGTCCGATTTTTGACTTTCTAATTTTTCTATTCGCGCCACACATTCTTGAATAGATTTAATTATTAAAGTATCCGCTCTTGTTTTTTCATCTACTCTTAAATTCTTAATGTCTTCCATACTGTTATTTTCATCGTTTTTACTTTGACCAATACCCATTATATATTATTATTTAGATTGTTTTTTCAATTCCTTAATTTATTTTTCTATTTTTTCAACTTTATCTATCACTTCCAGTAAAGCTTTATGTAATAATATTGGAACTTTTGTATATTCAATACCTAAATATTCACGTTCGGTATGAACTACATTACTAATTTCTTTCGGAACTGCTTTTAATAAATCATCAGCAATATAACCTATATGGATTGCATCCTTATCGTCTCTATCTTTTCTTTTGAATTTTTTAGGTTTGAATTTCTTAATCATACTAATACAATTACTTTTAAGTAAATCTACATCATATTTCAATCTTGCATCGGAATTATCTATTAGACTTCCATTTATGGTTACAGTTCCGGCAGTAATATCAATAGCATCACCTGAAGCATCTTGAATATCATTTACAAATAATGTTTTTGTATTAACAACTGTTACATTTTCATTAAAAGTCGATGGAGCATTATTTGTAAAACTTTCAGTATTTACTGTTGTTCCAAATGTCTTATCAATAGATAATAAAACAGAAGGTGTAGTAGAACTATCAGCAACTCTAAACGCCGTGTTTGATGTTCTGAATATTACATCAATTGTAGATAAACTAG